TCTACCAACTGAGCTATGAAGGTGCTTATAGATAAAAACGCAGAAAACATAGTGGCTTCGGCGACACACTTTGCCAAAACAACAATCAAGCCACCTGGTCAATGAAAAAGGATGAACAGTGCATATACAAATGAAATCTGGTGTTTGGAGCAGGAGTTGAACCAGCGACCTTTGGACCACAGCGTTTCAGGAACTTCTTAAAGTCATGTGCTCTACCAACTGAGCTATGAAGGTACTTATAGATAAGAACGCAGAAAACATAGTGGCTTCGGCGACACACTTTGCCAAAACAACAATCAAGCCACCTGGTCAATGAAAAAGGTTGAACAGTGCATAGACCATTGAAATCTGGTGTTTGGAGTAGGCGTTGAACCAGCGACCTTTGGACCACAGCGTTTCAGGAACTTCTTACAGTCATGTGCTCTACCAACTGAGCTATGAAGGTGCTTATAGATAAAAACGCAGAAAACATAGTGGCTTCGGCGACACACTTTGCCAAAACAACAATCAAGCCACCTGGTCAATGAAAAAGGATGAACAGTGCATATACAAATGAAATCTGGTGTTTGGAGCAGGAGTTGAACCAGCGTCCTTTGGACCACAGCGTTTCAGGAACTTCTTAAAGTCATGTGCTCTACCAACTGAGCTATGAAGGTGCTTATAGATAAAAACGCAGAAAACATAGTGGCTTCGGCGACACACTTTGCCAACATAACTATTGAACCAACATGGTCAATGGAAAAGGTTGAACAGTGCATACACCAATGAAATCTGGTGTTTGGAGCTGGAGTTGAACCAGCGTCCTTTGGACCACAGCGTTTCAGGAACTTCTTAAAGTCATGTGCTCTACCAACTGAGCTATGAAGGTGCTTATAGATAAAAACGCAGAAAACATAGTGGCTTCGGCGACACACTTTGCCAAAACAACAATCAAGCCACCTGGTCAATGAAAAAGGATGAACAGTGCATATACAAATGAAATCCGGTGCTTGGAGCTGGAGTTGAACCAGCGACCTTTGGACCACAGCATTTCAGGAACTTCTTAAAGTCATGTGCTCTACCAACTGAGCTATGAAGGTGCTTATAGATAAAAACGCAGAAAACATAGTGGCTTCGGCGACACACTTTTCCAACACAACAATCAAGCCACCTGGTCAATGAAAAGGGATGAACAGTGCATATACAAATGAAATCTGGTGCTTGGAGCTGGAGTTGAACCAGGGAGCTTTGGACCACAGCGTTTCAGGAACTTCTTACAGTCATGTGCTCTACCAAATGAGCTATGAAGGTGCTTATAGATGAAAACGGAGAAAACATAGTGGCTTCGGCGACACACTTTGCCAACACAACAATCAAGCCACCTGGTCAATGAAAAAGGTTGAACAGTGCATAGACCAATGAAATCTGGTGTTTGGAGCAGGAGTTGAACCAGCGACCTTTGAACCAGAGCGTTTCTAGAACTTCTTAAAGTCATGTGCTCTACCAACTGAGCTATGAAGGTGCTTATAGATAAAAACGCAGAAAACATAGTGGCTTCGGCGACACACTTTGCCAAAACAACAATCAAGCCACCTGGTCAATGAAAAAGGATGAACAGTGCATATACAAATGAAATCTGGTGTTTGGAGCAGGAGTTGAACCAGCGTCCTTTGGACCACAGCGTTTCAGGAACTTCTTAAAGTCATGTGCTCTACCAACTGAGCTATGAAGGTGCTTATAGATAAGAACGCAGAAAGCATAGTGGCTTCGGCGACACACTTTGCCAAAACAACAATCAAGCCACCTGGTCAATGAAAAAGGTTGAACAGTGCATATACAAATGAAATCTGGTGTTTGGAGCAGGAGTTGAACCAGCGACCTTTGGACCACAGCGTTTCAGGAACTTCTTAAAGTCATGTGCTCTACCAACTGAGCTATGAAGGTACTTATAGATAAGAACGCAGAAAACATAGTGGCTTCGGCGACACACTTTGCCAAAACAACAATCAAGCCACCTGGTCAATGAAAAAGGTTGAACAGTGCATAGACCATTGAAATCTGGTGTTTGGAGTAGGCGTTGAACCAGCGACCTTTGGACCACAGCGTTTCAGGAACTTCTTACAGTCATGTGCTCTACCAACTGAGCTATGAAGGTGCTTATAGATAAAAACGCAGAAAACATAGTGGCTTCGGCGACACACTTTGCCAAAACAACAATCAAGCCACCTGGTCAATGAAAAAGGATGAACAGTGCATATACAAATGAAATCTGGTGTTTGGAGCAGGAGTTGAACCAGCGTCCTTTGGACCACAGCGTTTCAGGAACTTCTTAAAGTCATGTGCTCTACCAACTGAGCTATGAAGGTGCTTATAGATAAAAACGCAGAAAACATAGTGGCTTCGGCGACACACTTTGCCAACATAACTATTGAACCAACATGGTCAATGGAAAAGGTTGAACAGTGCATACACCAATGAAATCTGGTGTTTGGAGCTGGAGTTGAACCAGCGTCCTTTGGACCACAGCGTTTCAGGAACTTCTTAAAGTCATGTGCTCTACCAACTGAGCTATGAAGGTGCTTATAGATAAAAACGCAGAAAACATAGTGGCTTCGGCGACACACTTTGCCAAAACAACAATCAAGCCACCTGGTCAATGAAAAAGGATGAACAGTGCATATACAAATGAAATCCGGTGCTTGGAGCTGGAGTTGAACCAGCGACCTTTGGACCACAGCATTTCAGGAACTTCTTAAAGTCATGTGCTCTACCAACTGAGCTATGAAGGTGCTTATAGATAAAAACGCAGAAAACATAGTGGCTTCGGCGACACACTTTGCCAACACAACAATCAAGCCACCTGGTCAATGAAAAGGGATGAACAGTGCATATACAAATGAAATCTGGTGCTTGGAGCTGGAGTTGAACCAGGGAGCTTTGGACCACAGCGTTTCAGGAACTTCTTACAGTCATGTGCTCTACCAAATGAGCTATGAAGGTGCTTATAGATGAAAACGGAGAAAACATAGTGGCTTCGGCGACACACTTTGCCAACACAACAATCAAGCCACCTGGTCAATGAAAAAGGTTGAACAGTGCATAGACCAATGAAATCTGGTGTTTGGAGCAGGAGTTGAACCAGCGACCTTTGAACCAGAGCGTTTCTAGAACTTCTTAAAGTCATGTGCTCTACCAACTGAGCTATGAAGGTGCTTATAGATAAAAACGCAGAAAACATAGTGGCTTCGGCGACACACTTTGCCAAAACAACAATCAAGCCACCTGGTCAATGAAAAAGGATGAACAGTGCATATACAAATGAAATCTGGTGTTTGGAGCAGGAGTTGAACCAGCGTCCTTTGGACCACAGCGTTTCAGGAACTTCTTAAAGTCATGTGCTCTACCAACTGAGCTATGAAGGTGCTTATAGATAAGAACGCAGAAAGCATAGTGGCTTCGGCGACACACTTTGCCAAAACAACAATCAAGCCACCTGGTCAATGAAAAAGGTTGAACAGTGCATAGACCATTGAAATCTGGTGTTTGGAGCAGGAGTTGAACCAGCGACCTTTGGACCACAGCGTTTCAGGAACTTCTTACAGTCATGTGCTCTACCAACTGAGCTATGAAGGTGCTTATAGATAAAAACGCAGAAAACATAGTGGCTTCGGCGACACACTTTGCCAAAACAACAATCAAGCCACCTGGTCAATGAAAAAGGATGAACAGTGCATATACAAATGAAATCTGGTGTTTGGAGCAGGAGTTGAACCAGCGTCCTTTGGACCACAGCGTTTCAGGAACTTCTTAAAGTCATGTGCTCTACCAACTGAGCTATGAAGGTGCTTATAGATAAAAACGCAGAAAACATAGTGGCTTCGGCGACACACTTTGCCAACATAACAATTGAACCAACATGGTCAATGGAAAAGGTTGAACAGTGCATACACCAATGAAATCTGGTGTTTGGAGCTGGAGTTGAACCAGCGTCCTTTGGACCACAGCGTTTCAGGAACTTCTTAAAGTCATGTGCTCTACCAACTGAGCTATGAAGGTGCTTATGGATAAAAACGCAGAAAACATAGTGGCTTCGGCGACACACTTTGCCAAAACAACAATCAAGCCACCTGGTCAATGAAAAAGGATGAACAGTGCATATACAAATGAAATCCGGTGCTTGGAGCTGGAGTTGAACCAGCGACCTTTGGACCACAGCATTTCAGGAACTTCTTAAAGTCATGTGCTCTACCAACTGAGCTATGAAGGTGCTTATAGATAAAAACGCAGAAAACATAGTGGCTTCGGCGACACACTTTGCCAACATAACTATTGAACCAACATGGTCAATGAAAAAGGTTGAACAGTGCATACACCAATGAAATCTGGTGTTTGGAGCTGGAGTTGAACCAGCGTCCTTTGGACCACAGCGTTTCAGGAACTTCTTAAAGTCATGTGCTCCACCAACTGAGCTATGAAGGTGCTTATAGATAAAAACGCAGAAAACATAGTGGCTTCGGCGACACACTTTGCCAAAACAACAATCAAGCCACCTGGTCAATGAAAAAGGATGAACAGTGCATATACAAATGAAATCCGGTGTTTGGAGCTGGAGTTGAACCAGCGACCTTTGGACCACAGCATTTCAGGAACTTCTTAAAGTCATGTGCTCTACCAACTGAGCTATGAAGGTGCTTATAGATAAAAACGCAGAAAACATAGTGGCTTCGGCGACACACTTTGCCAACATAACTATTGAACCAACATGGTCAATGAAAAAGGTTGAACAGTGCATAGACCAATGAAATCTGGTGTTTGGAGCAGGAGTTGAACCAGCGTCCTTTGGACCACAGCGTTTCAGGAACTTCTTAAAGTAATGTGCTCTACCAACTGAGCTATGAAGGTGCTTATAGATAAAAACGCAGAAAACATAGTGGCTTCGGCGACACACTTTGCCAACACAACAATCAAGCCACCTGGTCAATGAAAAGGGATGAACAGTGCATATACAAATGAAATCTGGTGCTTGGAGCTGGAGTTGAACCAGGGACCTTTGGACCACAGCGTTTCAGGAACTTCTTACAGTCATGTGCTCTACCAAATGAGCTATGAAGGTGCTTATAGATGAAAACGGAGAAAACATAGTGGCTTCGGCGACACACTTTGCCAACACAACAATCAAGCCACCTGGTCAATGAAAAAGGTTGAACAGTGCATAGACCAATGAAATCTGGTGTTTGGAGCAGGAGTTGAACCAGCGACCTTTGAACCAGAGCGTTTCTAGAACTTCTTAAAGTCATGTGCTCTACCAAATGAGCTATGAAGGTGCTTATAGATGAAAACGCAGAAAACATAGTGGCTTCGGCGACACACTTTGCCAAAACAACAATCAAGCCACCTGGTCAATGAAAAAGGATGAACAGTGCATATACAAATGAAATCTGTTGCTTGGAGCAGGAGTTGAACCAGCGACCTTTGGACCACAGCGTTTCAGGAACTTCTTAAAGTCATGTGCTCTACCAACTGAGCTATGAAGGTGCTTATAGATAAAAACGCAGAAAACATAGTGGCTTCGGCGACACACTTTGCCAACACAACAATCAAGCCACCTGGTCAATGAAAAAGGTTGAACAGTGCATAGACCATTGAAATCTGGTGTTTGGAGTAGGAGTTGAACCAGCGACCTTTGGACCACAGCGTTTCAGGAACTTCTTACAGTCATGTGCTCTACCAACTGAGCTATGAAGGTGCTTATAGATAAAAACGCAGAAAACATAGTGGCTTCGGCGACACACTTTGCCAAAACAACAATCAAGCCACCTGGTCAATGAAAAAGGATGAACAGTGCATATACAAATGAAATCTGGTGTTTGGAGCAGGAGTTGAACCAGCGACCTTTGGACCACAGCGTTTCAGGAACTTCTTAAAGTCATGTGCTCTACCAACTGAGCTATGAAGGTGCTTATAGATAAAAACGCAGAAAACATAGTGGCTTCGGCGACACACTTTGCCAAAACAACAATCAAGCCACCTGGTCAATGAAAAAGGTTGAACAGTGCATAGACCATTGAAATCTGGTGTGTGGAGTAGGAGTTGAACCAGCGACCTTTGGACCACAGCGTTTCAGGAACTTCTTACAGTCATGTGCTCTACCAACTGAGCTATGAAGGTGCTTATAGATAAAAACGCAGAAAACATAGTGGCTTCGGCGACACACTTTGCCAAAACAACAATCAAGCCACCTGGTCAATGAAAAAGGATGAACAGTGCATATACAAATGAAATCTGGTGTTTGGAGCAGGAGTTGAACCAGCGTCCTTTGGACCACAGCGTTTCAGGAACTTCTTAAAGTCATGTGCTCTACCAACTGAGCTATGAAGGTGCTTATAGATAAAAACGCAGAAAACATAGTGGCTTCGGCGACACACTTTGCCAACATAACTATTGAACCAACATGGTCAATGAAAAAGGTTGAACAGTGCATACACCAATGAAATCTGGTGTTTGGAGCAGGAGTTGAACCAGCGTCCTTTGGACCACAGCGTTTCAGGAACTTCTTAAAGTCATGTGCTCTACCAACTGAGCTATGAAGGTGGTTATAGATAAAAACGCAGAAAACATAGTGGCTTCGGCGACACACTTTGCCAAAACAACAATCAAGCCACCTGGTCAATGAAAAAGGATGAACAGTGCATATACAAATGAAATCTGTTGCTTGGAGCTGGAGTTGAACCAGCGACCTTTGGACCACAGCGTTTCAGGAACTTCTTAAAGTCATGTGCTCTACCAACTGAGCTATGAAGGTGCTTATAGATAAAAACGCAGAAAACATAGTGGCTTCGGCGACACACTTTGCCAAAACAACAATCAAGCCACCTGGTCAATGAAAAAGGTTGAACAGTGCATAGACCATTGAAATCTGGTGTTTGGAGTAGGAGTTGAACCAGCGACCTTTGGACCACAGCGTTTCAGGAACTTCTTACAGTCATGTGCTCTACCAACTGAGCTATGAAGGTGCTTATAGATAAAAACGCAGAAAACATAGTGGCTTCGGCGACACACTTTGCCAAAACAACAATCAAGCCACCTGGTCAATGAAAAAGGATGAACAGTGCATATACAAATGAAATCTGTTGCTTGGAGCTGGAGTTGAACCAGCGACCTTTGGACCACAGCGTTTCAGGAACTTCTTAAAGTCATGTGCTCTACCAACTGAGCTATGAAGGTGCTTATAGATAAAAACGCAGAAAACATAGTGGCTTCGGCGACACACTTTGCCAAAACAACAATCAAGCCACCTGGTCAATGAAAAAGGTTGAACAGTGCATAGACCATTGAAATCTGGTGTTTGGAGTAGGAGTTGAACCAGCGACCTTTGGACCACAGCGTTTCAGGAACTTCTTACAGTCATGTGCTCTACCAACTGAGCTATGAAGGTGCTTATAGATAAAAACGCAGAAAACATAGTGGCTTCGGCGACACACTTTGCCAAAACAACAATCAAGCCACCTGGTCAATGAAAAAGGATGAACAGTGCATATACAAATGAAATCTGGTGTTTGGAGCAGGAGTTGAACCAGCGACCTTTGGACCACAGCGTTTCAGGAACTTCTTAAAGTCATGTGCTCTACCAACTGAGCTATGAAGGTGCTTATAGATAAAAATGCAGAAAACATAGTGGCTTCGGCGACACACTTTGCCAAAACAACAATCAAGCCACCTGGTCAATGAAAAAGGTTGAACAGTGCATAGACCATTGAAATGTGGTGTTTGGAGTAGGAGTTGAACCAGCGACCTTTGGACCACAGCGTTTCAGGAACTTCTTACAGTCATGTGCTCTACCAACTGAGCTATGAAGGTGCTTATAGATAAAAACGCAGAAAACATAGTGGCTTCGGCGACACACTTTGCCAAAACAACAATCAAGCCACCTGGTCAATGAAAAAGGATGAACAGTGCATATACAAATGAAATCTGGTGTTTGGAGCAGGAGTTGAACCAGCGACCTTTGGACCACAGCATTTCAGGAACTTCTTAAAGTCATGTGCTCTACCAACTGAGCTATGAAGGTGCTTATAGATAAAAACGCAGAAAACATAGTGGCTTCGGCGACACACTTTGCCAACATAACTATTGAACCAACATGGTCAATGAAAAAGGTTGAACAGTGCATACACCAATGAAATCTGGTGTTTGGAGCAGGAGTTGAACCAGCGTCCTTTGGACCACAGCGTTTCGGGAACTTCTTAAAGTCATGTGCTCTACCAACTGAGCTATGAAGGTGCTTATAGATAAAAACGGAGAAAACATAGTGGCTTCGGCGACACACTTTGCCAACACAACAATCAAGCCACCTGGTCAAGGAAAAAGGTTGAACAGTGCATAGACCAATGAAATCTGGTGTTTGGAGCAGGAGTTGAACCAGCGACCTTTGAACCAGAGCGTTTCTAGAACTTCTTAAAGTCATGTGCTCTACCAAATGAGCTATGAAGGTGCTTATAGATAAAAACGCAGAAAACATAGTGGCTTCGGCGACACACTTTGCCAAAACAACAATCAAGCCACCTGGTCAATGAAAAAGGATGAACAGTGCATATACAAATGAAATCTGTTGCTTGGAGCTGGAGTTGAACCAGCGACCTTTGGACCACAGCGTTTCAGGAACTTCTTAAAGTCATGTGCTCTACCAACTGAGCTATGAAGGTGCTTATAGATAAAAACGCAGAAAACATAGTGGCTTCGGCGACACACTTTGCCAACATAACTATTGAACCAACATGGTCAATGAAAAAGGTTGAACAGTGCATACACCAATGAAATCTGGTGTTTGGAGCTGGAGTTGAACCAGCGTCCTTTGGACCACAGCGTTTCAGGAACTTCTTAAAGTCATGTGCTCTACCAACTGAGCTATGAAGGTGCTTATAGATAAAAACGCAGAAAACATAGTGGCTTCGGCGACACACTTTGCCAACACAACAATCAAGCCACCTGGTCAATGAAAAAGGATGAACAGTGCATATACAAATGAAATCCGGTGCTTGGAGCTGGAGTTGAACCAGCGACCTTTGGACCACAGCATTTCAGGAACTTCTTAAAGTCATGTGCTCTACCAACTGAGCTATGAAGGTGCTTATAGATAAAAACGCAGAAAACATAGTGGCTTCGGCGACACACTTTGCCAACATAACTATTGAACCAACATGGTCAATGAAAAAGGTTGAACAGTGCATACAGCAATGAAATCTGGTGTTTGGAGCTGGAGTTGAACCAGCGTCCTTTGGACCACAGCGTTTCAGGAACTTCTTAAAGTCATGTGCTCTACCAACTGAGCTATGAAGGTGCTTATAGATAAAAACGCAGAAAACATAGTGGCTTCGGCGACACACTTTGCCAAAACAACAATCAAGCCACCTGGTCAATGAAAAAGGATGAACAGTGCATATACAAATGAAATTCGGTGTTTGGAGCTGGAGTTGAACCAGCGACCTTTGGACCACAGCATTTCAGGAACTTCTTAAAGTCATGTGCTCTACCAACTGAGCTATGAAGGTGCTTATAGATAAAAACGCAGAAAACATAGTGGCTTCGGCGACACACTTTGCCAACATAACTATTGAACCAACATGGTCAATGGAAAAGGTTGAACAGTGCATACACCAATGAAATCTGGTGTTTGGAGCAGGAGTTGAACCAGCGTCCTTTGGACCACAGCGTTTCAGGAACTTCTTAAAGTCATGTGCTCTACCAACTGAGCTATGAAGGTGCTTATAGATAAAAACGCAGAAAACATAGTGGCTTCGGCGACACACTTTGCCAACACAACAATCAAGCCACCTGGTCAATGAAAAGGGATGAACAGTGCATATACAAATGAAATCTGGTGCTTGGAGCTGGAGTTGAACCAGGGACCTTTGGACCACAGCGTTTCAGGAACTTCTTACAGTCATGTGCTCTACCAAATGAGCTATGAAGGTGCTTATAGATAAAAACGGAGAAAACATAGTGGCTTCGGCGACACACTTTGCCAACACAACAATCAAGCCACCTGGTCAATGAAAAAGGTTGAACAGTGCATAGACCATTGAAATCTGGTGTTTGGAGTAGGAGTTGAACCAGCGACCTTTGGACCACAGCGTTTCAGGAACTTCTTACAGTCATGTGCTCTACCAACTGAGCTATGAAGGTGCTTATAGATAAAAACGCAGAAAACATAGTGGCTTCGGCGACACACTTTGCCAACACAACAATCAAGCCACCTGGTCAATGAAAATGGATGAACAGTGCATATACAAATGAAATCTGGTGTTTGGAGCAGGAGTTGAACCAGCGTCCTTTGGACCACAGCGTTTCAGGAACTTCTTACAGTCATGTGCTCTACCAAATGAGCTATGAAGGTGCTTATAGATAAAAACGCAGAAAACATAGTGGCTTCGGCGACACACTTTGCCAAAACAACAATCAAGCCACCTGGTCAATGAAAAAGGTTGAACAGTGCATAGACCATTGAAATCTGGTGTTTGGAGTAGGAGTTGAACCAGCGACCTTTGGACCACAGCGTTTCAGGAACTTCTTACAGTCATGTGCTCTACCAACTGAGCTATGAAGGTGCTTATAGATAAAAACGCAGAAAACATAGTGGCTTCGGCGACACACTTTGCCAAAACAACAATCAAGCCACCTGGTCAATGAAAAAGGATGAACAGTGCATATACAAATGAAATCTGGTGTTTGGAGCAGGAGTTGAACCAGCGACCTTTGGACCACAGCGTTTCAGGAACTTCTTAAAGTCATGTGCTATACCAACTGAGCTATGAAGGTGCTTATAGATAAAAACGCAGAAAACATAGTGGCTTCGGCGACACACTTTGCCAAAACAACAATCAAGCCACCTGGTCAATGAAAAAGGTTGAACAGTGCATAGACCATTGAAATCTGGTGTTTGGAGTAGGAGTTGAACCAGCGACCTTTGGACCACAGCGTTTCAGGAACTTCTTACAGTCATGTGCTCTACCAACTGAGCTATGAAGGTGCTTATAGATAAAAACGCAGAAAACATAGTGGCTTCGGCGACACACTTTGCCAAAACAACAATCAAGCCACCTGGTCAATGAAAAAGGATGAACAGTGCATATACAAATGAAATCTGGTGTTTGGAGCAGGAGTTGAACCAGCGTCCTTTGGACCACAGCGTTTCAGGAACTTCTTAAAGTCATGTGCTCTACCAACTGAGCTATGAAGGTGCTTATAGATAAGAACGCAGAAAGCATAGTGGCTTCGGCGACACACTTTGCCAAAACAACAATCAAGCCACCTGGTCAATGAAAAAGGTTGAACAGTGCATAGACCATTGAAATCTGGTGTTTGGAGTAGGAGTTGAACCAGCGACCTTTGGACCACAGCGTTTCAGGAACTTCTTACAGTCATGTGCTCTACCAACTGAGCTATGAAGGTGCTTATAGATAAAAACGCAGAAAACATAGTGGCTTCGGCGACACACTTTGCCAAAACAACAATCAAGCCACCTGGTCAATGAAAAAGGATGAACAGTGCATATACAAATGAAATCTGGTGTTTGGAGCAGGAGTTGAACCAGCGTCCTTTGGACCACAGCGTTTCAGGAACTTCTTAAAGTCATGTGCTCTACCAACTGAGCTATGAAGGTGCTTATAGATAAAAACGCAGAAAACATAGTGGCTTCGGCGACACACTTTGCCAACATAACAATTGAACCAACATGGTCAATGGAAAAGGTTGAACAGTGCATACACCAATGAAATCTGGTGTTTGGAGCAGGAGTTGAACCAGTGTCCTTTGGACCATAGCGTTTCAGGAACTTCTTAAAGTCATGTGCTCTACCAACTGAGCTATGAAGGTGCTTATAGATAAAAACGCAGAAAACATAGTGGCTTCGGCGACACACTTTGCCAACACAACAATCAAGCCACCTGGTCAAGGAAAAAGGTTGAACAGTGCATAGACCAATGAAATCTGGTGTTTGGAGCAGGAGTTGAACCAGCGACCTTTGAACCAGAGCGTTTCTAGAACTTCTTAAAGTCATGTGCTCTACCAAATGAGCTATGAAGGTGCTTATAGATAAAAACGCAGAAAACATAGTGGCTTCGGCGACACACTTTGCCAAAACAACAATCAAGCCACCTGGTCAATGAAAAAGGATGAACAGTGCATATACAAATGAAATCTGTTGCTTGGAGCTGGAGTTGAACCAGCGTCCTTTGGACAACAGCGTTTCAGGAACTTCTTAAAGTCATGTGCTCTACCAACTGAGCTATGAAGGTGCTTATAGATAAAAACGCAGAAAACATAGTGGCTTCGGCGACACACTTTGCCAACATAACTATTGAACCAACATGGTCAATGAAAAAGGTTGAACAGTGCATACACCAATGAAATCTGGTGTTTGGAGCTGGAGTTGAACCAGCGTCCTTTGGACCACAGCGTTTCAGGAACTTCTTAAAGTCATGTGCTCTACCAACTGAGCTATGAAGGTGCTTATAGATAAAAACGCAGAAAACATAGTGGCTTCGGCGACACACTTTGCCAACACAACAATGAAGCCACCTGGTCAATGAAAAAGGATGAACAGTGCATATACAAATGAAATCTGGTGCTTGGAGCTGGAGTTGAACCAGGGACCTTTGGACCACAGCGTTTCAGGAACTTCTTACAGTCATGTGCTCTACCAACTGAGCTATGAAGGTGCTTATAGATGAAAACGCAGAAAACATAGTGGCTTCGGCGACACACTTTGCCAAAACAACAATCAAGCCACCTGGTCAATGAAAAAGGATGAACAGTGCATATACAAATGAAATCTGTTGCTTGGAGCAGGAGTTGAACCAGCGACCTTTGGACCACAGCGTTTCAGGAACTTCTTAAAGTCATGTGCTCTACCAACTGAGCTATGAAGGTGCTTATAGATAAAAACGCAGAAAACATAGTGGCTTCGGCGACACACTTTGCCAAAACAACAATCAAGCCACCTGGTCAATGAAAAAGGTTGAACAGTGCATAGAGCATTGAAATCTGGTGTTTGGAGCAGGAGTTGAACCAGCGACCTTTGGACCACAGCGTTTCAGGAACTTCTTACAGTCATGTGCTCTACCAACTGAGATATGAAGGTGCTTATAGATAAAAACGCAGAAAACATGGTGGCTTCGGCGACACACTTTGCCAAAACAACAATCAAGCCACCTGGTCAATGAAAAAGGATGAACAGTGCACATACAAATGAAATCTGGTGCTTGGAGCTGGAGTTGAACTAGCGACCTTTGGACCACAGCGTTTCAGGAACTTCTTAAAGTCATGTGCTCTACCAACTGAGCTATGAAGGTGCTTATAGATAAAAACGCAGAAAACATAGTGGCTTCGGCGACACACTTTGCCAAAACAACAATCAAGCCACCTGGTCAATGAAAAAGGTTGAACAGTGCATAGACCATTGAAATCTGGTGTTTGGAGTAGGAGTTGAACCAGCGACCTTTGGACCACAGCGTTTCAGGAACTTCTTACAGTCATGTGCTCTACCAACTGGGCTATGAAGGTGCTTATAGATAAAAACGCAGAAAACATAGTGGCTTCGGCGACACACTTTGCCAAAACAACAATCAAGCCACCTGGTCAATGAAAAAGGATGAACAGTGCATATACAAATGAAATCTGGTGTTTGGAGCAGGAGTTGAACCAGCGTCCTTTGGACCACAGCGTTTCAGGAACTTCTTAAAGTCATGTGCTCTACCAACTGAGCTATGAAGGTGCTTATAGATAAAAACGCAGAAAACATAGTGGCTTCGGCGACACACTTTGCCAACATAACTATTGAACCAACATGGTCAATGGAAAAGGTTGAACAGTGCATACACCAATGAAATCTGGTGTTTGGAGCTGGAGTTGAACCAGCGTCCTTTGGACCACAGCGTTTCAGGAACTTCTTAAAGTCATGTGCTCTACCAACTGAGCTATGAAGGTGCTTATAGATAAAAACGCAGAAAACATAGTGGCTTCGGCGACACACTTTGCCAAAACAACAATCAAGCCACCTGGTCAATGAAAAAGGATGAACAGTGCATATACAAATGAAATCCGGTGCTTGGAGCTGGAGTTGAACCAGCGACCTTTGGACCACAGCATTTCAGGAACTTCTTAAAGTCATGTGCTCTACCAACTGAGCTATGAAGGTGCTTATAGATAAAAACGCAGAAAACATAGTGGCTTCGGCGACACACTTTGCCAACATAACTATTGAACCAACATGGTCAATGAAAAAGGTTGAACAGTGCATAGACCAATGAAATCTGGTGTTTGGAGCAGGAGTTGAACCAGCGTCCTTTGGACCACAGCGTTTCAGGAACTTCTTAAAGTCATGTGCTCTACCAACTGAGCTATGAAGGTGCTTATAGATAAAAACGCAGAAAACATAGTGGCTTCGGCGACACACTTTGCCAACACAACAATGAAGCCACCTGGTCAATGAAAAAGGATGAACAGTGCATATACAAATGAAATCTGGTGCTTGGAGCTGGAGTTGAACCAGGGACCTTTGGACCACAGCGTTTCAGGAACTTCTTACAGTCATGTGCTCTACCAACTGAGCTATGAAGGTGCTTATAGATGAAAACGGAGAAAACATAGTGGCTTCGGCGACACACTTTGCCAACACAACAATCAAGCCACCTGGTCAATGAAAAAGGTTGAACAGTGCATAGACCAATGAAATCTGGTGTTTGGAGCAGGAGTTGAACCAGCGACCTTTGAACCAGAGCGTTTCTAGAACTTCTTAAAGTCATGTGCTCTACCAAATGAGCTATGAAGGTGCTTATAGATAAAAACGCAGAAAACATAGTGGCTTCGGCGACACACTTTGCCAAAACAACAATCAAGCCACCTGGTCAATGAAAAAGGATGAACAGTGCATATACAAATGAAATCTGTTGCTTGGAGCTGGAGTTGAACCAGCGACCTTTGGACCACAGCGTTTCAGGAACTTCTTAAAGTCATGTGCTCTACCAACTGAGCTATGAAGGTGCTTATAGATAAAAACGCAGAAAACATAGTGGCTTCGGCGACACACTTTGCCAAAACAACAATCAAGCCACCTGGTCAATGAAAAAGGTTGAACAGTGCATAGACCATTGAAATCTGGTGTTTGGAGTAGGAGTTGAACCAGCGACCTTTGGACCACAGCGTTTCAGGAACTTCTTAAAGTCATGTGCTCTACCAACTGAGCTATGAAGGTGCTTATAGATAAAAACGCAGAAAACATAGTGGCTTCGGCGACACACTTTGCCAAAACAACAATCAAGCCACCTGGTCAATGAAAAAGGATGAACAGTGCATATACAAATGAAATCTGGTGCTTGGAGCTGGAGTTGAACCAGGGACCTTTGGACCACAGCATTTCAGGAACTTCTTAAAGTCATGTGCTCTACCAACTGAGCTATGAAGGTGCTTATAGATAAAAACGCAGAAAACATAGTGGCTTCGGCGACACACTTTGCCAACACAACAATCAAGCCACCTGGTCAATGAAAAAGGATGAACAGTGCATAGACCAATGAAATCTGGTGTTTGGAGCAGGAGTTGAACCAGCGACCTTTGGACCACAGCGTTTCAGGAACTTGTTAAAGTCATGTGCTCTACCAACTGAGCTATGAAGGTACTTATAGATAAAATCGCAGAAAACATAGTGGCTTCGGCGACACACTTTTTCAACATAACTATTGAACCAACATGGTCAATGAAAAAGGTTGAACAGTGCATAGACCAATGAAATCTGGTGTTTGGAGCAGGAATTGAACCAGCGTCCTTTGGACCACAGGGTTTCAGGAACTTCTTAAAGTCATGTGCTCTACCAACTGAGCTATGAAGGTGCTTATAGATAAAAACGCAGAAAACATAGTGGCTTCGGCGACACACTTTGCCAACACAACAATCAAGCCACCTGGTCAATGAAAAAGGATGAACAGTGCATTTACAAATGAAATCTGGTGCTTGGAGCTGGAGTTGAACCAGGGACCTTTGGACCACAGCGTTTCAGGAACTTCTTACAGTCATGTGCTCTACCAACTGAGCTATGAAGGTGCTTATAGATGAAAACGCAGAAAACATAGTGGCTTCGGCGACACACTTTGCCAAAACAACAATCAAGCCACCTGGTCAATGAAAAAGGATGAACAGTGCATATACAAATGAAATCTGTTGCTTGGAGCAGGAGTTGAACCAGCGACCTTTGGACCACAGCGTTTCAGGAACTTCTTAAAGTCATGTGCTCTACCAACTGAGCTATGAAGGTGCTTATAGATAAAAACGCAGAAAACATAGTGGCTTCGGCGACACACTTTGCCAAAACAACAATCAAGCCACCTGGTCAATGAAAAAGGTTGAACAGTGCATAGAGCATTGAAATCTGGTGTTTGGAGCAGGAGTTGAACCAGCGACCTTTGGACCACAGCGTTTCAGGAACTTCTTACAGTCATGTGCTCTACCAACTGAGATATGAAGGTGCTTATAAATAAAAACGCAGAAAACATGGTGGCTTCGGCGACACACTTTGCCAAAACAACAATCAAGCCACCTGGTCAATGAAAAAGGATGAACAGTGCACATACAAATGAAATCTGGTGCTTGGAGCTGGAGTTGAACCAGGGACCTTTGGACCACAGCGTTTCAGGAACTTCTTAAAGTCATGTGCTCTACCAACTGAGCTATGAAGGTGCTTATAGATAAAAACGCAGAAAACATAGTGGCTTCGGCGACACACTTTGCCAAAACAACAATCAAGCCACCTGGTCAATGAAAAAGGTTGAACAGTGAATAGACCATTGAAATCTGGTGTTTGGAGTAGGAGTTGAACCAGCGACCTTTGGACCACAGCGTTTCAGGAACTTCTTACAGTCATGTGCTCTACCAACTGGGCTATGAAGGTGCTTATAGATAAAATCGCAGAAAACATAGTGGCTTCGGCGACACACTTTTTCAACATAACTATTGAACCAACATGGTCAATGAAAAAGGTTGAACAGTGCATAGACCAATGAAATCTGGTGTTTGGAGCAGGAATTGAACCAGCGTCCTTTGGATCACAGGGTTTCAGGAACTTCTTAAAGTCATGTGCTCTACCAACTGAGCTATGAAGGTGCTTATAGATAAAAACGCAGAAAACATAGTGGCTTCGGCGACACACTTTGCCAACACAACAATCAAGCCACCTGGTCAATGAAAAAGGATGAACAGTGCATATACAAATGAAATCTGGTGCTTGGAGCTGGAGTTGAACCAGGGACCTTTGGACCACAGCGTTTCAGGAACTTCTTACAGTCATGTGCTCTACCAACTGAGCTATGAAGGTGCTTATAGATGAAAACGCAGAAAACATAGTGGCTTCGGCGACACACTTTGCCAAAACAACAATCAAGCCACCTGGTCAATGAAAAAGGATGAACAGTGCATATACAAATGAAATCTGTTGCTTGGAGCAGGAGTTGAACCAGCGACCTTTGGACCACAGCGTTTCAGGAACTTCTTAAAGTCATGTGCTCTACCAACTGAGCTATGAAGGTGCTTATAGATAAAAACGCAGAAAACATAGTGGCTTCGGCGACACACTTTGCCAAAACAACAATCAAGCCACCTGGTCAATGAAAAAGGTTGAACAGTGCATAGAGCATTGAAATCTGGTGTTTGGAGCAGGAGTTGAACCAGCGACCTTTGGACCACAGCGTTTCAGGAACTTCTTACAGTCATGTGCTCTACCAACTGAGATATGAAGGTGCTTATAAATAAAAACGCAGAAAACATGGTGGCTTCGGCGACACACTTTGCCAAAACAACAATCAAGCCACCTGGTCAATGAAAAAGGATGAACAGTGCACATACAAATGAAATCTGGTGCTTGGAGCTGGAGTTGAACTAGCGACCTTTGGACCACAGCGTTTCAGGAACTTCTTAAAGTCATGTGGTCTACCAACTGAGCTATGAAGGTGCTTATAGATAAAAACGCAGAAAACATAGTGGCTTCGGCGACACACTTTGCCAAAACAACAATCAAGCCACCTGGTCAATGAAAAAGGTTGAACAGTGCATAGACCATTGAAATGTGGTGTTTGGAGTAGGAGTTGAACCAGCGACCTTTGGACCACAGCGTTTCAGGAACTTCTTACAGTCATGTGCTCTACCAACTGGGCTATGAAGGTGCTTATAGATAAAAACGCAGAAAACATAGTGGCTTCGGCGACACACTTTGCCAAAACAACAATCAAGCCACCTGGTCAATGAAAAGGGATGAACAGTGCATATACAAATGAAATCTGGTGTTTGGAGCAGGAGTTGAACCAGCGTCCTTTGGACCACAGCGTTTCAGGAACTTCTTAAAGTCATGTGCTCTACCAACTGAGCTATGAAGGTGCTTATAGATAAAAACGCAGAAAACATAGTGGCTTCGGCGACACACTTTGCCAAAACAACAATCAAGCCACCTGGTCAATGAAAAAGGATGAACAGTGCATATACAAATGAAATCTGGTGTTTGGAGCAGGAGTTGAACCAGCGTCCTTTGGACCACAGCGTTTCAGGAACTTCTTAAAGTCATGTGCTCTACCAACTGAGCTATGAAGGTGCTTATAGATAAAAACGCAGAAAACATAGTGGCTTCGGCGACACACTTTGCCAACATAACTATTGAACCAACATGGTCAATGGAAAAGGTTGAACAGTGCATACACCAATGAAATCTGGTGTTTGGAGCTGGAGTTGAACCAGCGTCCTTTGGACCACAGCGTTTCAGGAACTTCTTAAAGTCATGTGCTCTACCAACTGAGCTATGAAGGTGCTTATAGATAAAAACGCAGAAAACATAGTGGCTTGGGCGACACACTTTGCCAAAACAACAATCAAGCCACCTGGTCAATGAAAAAGGTTGAACAGTGCATATACAAATGAAATCCGGTGCTTGGAGCTGGAGTTGAACCAGCGACCTTTGGACCACAGCATTTCAGGAACTTCTTAAAGTCATGTGCTCTACCAACTGAGCTATGAAGGTGCTTATAGATAAAAACGCAGAAAACATAGTGGCTTCGGCGACACACTTTGCCAACATAACTATTGAACCAACATGGTCAATGAAAAAGGTTGAACAGTGCATACACCAATGAAATCTGGTGTTTGGAGCTGGAGTTGAACCAGCGTCCTTTGGACCACAGCGTTTCAGGAACTTCTTAAAGTCATGTGGTCTACCAACTGAGCTATGAAGGTGCTTATAGATTAAAACGCAGAAAACATAGTGGCTTCGGCGACACACTTTGCCAAAACAACAATCAAGCCACCTGGTCAATGAAAAAGGTTGAACAGTGCATAGAACATTGAAATCTGGTGTTTGGAGTAGGAGTTGAACCAGCGACCTTTGGACCACAGCGTTTCAGGAACTTCTTACAGTCATGTGCTCTACCAACTGAGCTATGAAGGTGCTTCTAGATAAAAACGCAGAAAACATAGTGGCTTCGGCGACACACTTTGCCAAAACAACAATCAAGCCACCTGGTCAATGAAAAAGGATGAACAGTGCATATACAAATGAAATCTGGTGTTTGGAGCAGGAGTTGAACCAGCGACCTTTGGACCACAGCGTTTCAGGAACTTCTTAAAGTCATGTGCTCTACCAACTGAGCTATGAAGGTGCTTATAGATAAAAACGCAGAAAACATAGTGGCTTCGGCGACACACTTTGCCAAAACAACAATCAAGCCACCTGGTCAATGAAAAAGGTTGAACAGTGCATAGACCATTGAAATCTGGTGTTTGGAGTAGGAGTTGAACCAGCGACCTTTGGACCACAGCGTTTCAGGAACTTCTTACAGTCATGTGCTCTACCAACTGAGCTATGAAAGTGCTTATATATAAAAACGCAGAAAACATAGTGGCTTCGGCGACACACTTTGCCAAAACAACAATCAAGCCACCTGGTCAATGAAAAAGGATGAACAGTGCATATACAAATGAAATCTGGTGTTTGGAGCAGGAGTTGAACCAGCGTCCTTTGGACCACAGCGTTTCAGGAACTTCTTAAAGTCATGTGCTCTACCAACTGAGCTATGAAGGTGCTTATAGATAAAAACGCAGAAAACATAGTGGCTTCGGCGACACACTTTGCCAACACAACAATCAAGCCACCTGGTCAAGGAAAAAGGTTGAACAGTGCATAGACCAATGAAATCTGGTGTTTGGAGCAGGAGTTGAACCAGCGACCTTTGAACCAGAGCGTTTCTAGAACTTCTTAAAGTCATGTGCTCTACCAACTGAGCTATGAAGGTGCTTATAGATAAAAACGCAGAAAACATAGTGGCTTCGGCGACACACTTTGCCAAAACAACAATCAAGCCACCTGGTCAATGAAAAAGGATGAACAGTGCATATACAAATGAAATCTGTTGCTTGGAGCTGGAGTTGAACCAGCGACCTTTGGACCACAGCGTTTCAGGAACTTCTTAAAGTCATGTGCTCTACCAACTGAGCTATGAAGGTGCTTATAGATTAAAACGCAGAAAACATAGTGGCTTCGGCGACACACTTTGCCAAAACAACAATCAAGCCACCTGGTCAATGAAAAAGGTTGAACAGTGCATAGACCATTGAAATCTGGTGTTTGGAGTAGGAGTTGAACCAGCGACCTTTGGACCACAGCGTTTCAGGAACTTCTTACAGTCATGTGCTCTACCAACTGAGCTATGAAGGTGCTTATAGATAAAAACGCAGAAAACATAGTGGCTTTGGCGACACACTTTGCCAAAACAACAATCAAGCCACCTGGTCAATGAAAAAGGATGAACAGTGCATATACAAATGAAATCTTTTGCTTGGAGCTGGAGTTGAACCAGCGACCTTTGGACCACAGCGTTTCAGGAACTTCTTAAAGTCATGTGCTCTACCAACTGAGCTATGAAGGTGCTTATAGATTAAAACGCAGAAAACATAGTGGCTTCGGCGACACACTTTGCCAAAACAACAATCAAGCCACCTGGTCAATGAAAAAGGTTGAACAGTGCATAGACCATTGAAATCTGGTGTTTGGAGTAGGAGTTGAACCAGCGACCTTTGGACCACAGCGTTTCAGGAACTTCTTACAGTCATGTGCTCTACCAACTGAGCTATGAAGGTGCTTATAGATAAAAACGCAGAAAATATAGTGGCTTCGGCGACACACTTTGCCAAAACAACAATCAAGCCACCTGGTCAATGAAAAAGGATGAACAGTGCATATACAAATGAAATCTGGTGTTTTGAGCAGGAGTTGAACCAGCGACCTTTGGACCACAGCGTTTCAGGAACTTCTTAAAGTCATGTGCTCTACCAACTGAGCTATGAAGGTGCTTATAGATAAAAACGCAGAAAACATAGTGGCTTCGGCGACACACTTTGCCAAAACAACAATCAAGCCACCTGGTCAATGAAAAAGGTTGAACAGTGCATAGACCATTGAAATCTGGTGTTTGGAGTAGGAGTTGAACCAGCGACCTTTGGACCACAGCGTTTCAGGAACTTCTTACAGTCATGTGCTCTACCAACTGAGCTATGAAGGTGCTTATAGATAAAAACGCAGAAAACATAGTGGCTTCGGCGACACACTTTGCCAAAACAACAATCAAGCCACCTGGTCAATGAAAAAGGATGAACAGTGCATATACAAATGAAATCTGGTGTTTGGAGCAGGAGTTGAACCAGCGTCCTTTGGACCACAGCGTTTCAGGAACTTCTTAAAGTCATGTGCTCTAGCAACTGAGCTATGAAGGTGCTTATAGATAAAAACGCAGAAAACATAGTGGCTTCGGCGACACACTTTGCCAACATAACTATTGAACCAACATGGTCAATGAAAAAGGTTGAACAGTGGATAGACCAATGAAATCTGGTGTTTGGAGCAGGAGTTGAACCAGCGTCCTTTGGACCAGAGCGTTTCAGGAACTTCTTAAAGTCATGTGCTCTACCAACTGAGCTATGAAGGTGCTTATAGATAAAAACGCAGAAAACATAGTGGCTTCGGCGACACACTTTGCCAACACAACAATGAAGCCACCTGGTCAATGAAAAAGGATGAACAGTGCATATACAAATGAAATCTGGTGCTTGGAGCTGGAGTTGAACCAGGGACCTTTGGACCACAGCGTTTCAGGAACTTCTTACAGTCATGTGCTCTACCAACTGAGCTATGAAGGTGCTTATAGATGAAAACGGAGAAAACATAGTGGCTTCGGCGACACACTTTGCCAACACAACAATCAAGCCACCTGGTCAATGAAAAAGGTTGAACAGTGCATAGACCAATGAAATCTGGTGTTTGGAGCAGGAGTTGAACCAGCGACCTTTGAACCAGAGCGTTTCTAGAACTTCTTAAAGTCATGTGCTCTACCAAATGAGCTATGAAGGTGCTTATAGATAAAAACGCAGAAAACATAGTGGCTTCGGCGACACACTTTGCCAAAACAACAATCAAGCCACCTGGTCAATGAAAAAGGATGAACAGTGCATATACAAATGAAATCTGTTGCTTGGAGCTGGAGTTGAACCAGCGACCTTTGGACCACAGCGTTTCAGGAACTTCTTAAAGTCATGTGCTCTACCAACTGAGCTATGAAGGTGCTTATAGATAAAAACGCAGAAAACATAGTGGCTTCGGCGACACACTTTGCCAAAACAACAATCAAGCCACCTGGTCAATGAAAAAGGTTGAACAGTGCATAGACCATTGAAATCTGGTGTTTGGAGTAGGAGTTGAACCAGCGACCTTTGGACCACAGCGTTTCAGGAACTTCTTAAAGTCATGTGCTCTACCAACTGAGCTATGAAGGTGCTTATAGATAAAAACGCAGAAAACATAGTGGCTTCGGCGACACACTTTGCCAAAACAACAATCAAGCCACCTGGTCAATGAAAAAGGATGAACAGTGCATATACAAATGAAATCTGGTGCTTGGAGCTGGAGTTGAACCAGCGACCTTTGGACCACAGCATTTCAGGAACTTCTTAAAGTCATGTGCTCTACCAACTGAGCTATGAAGGTGCTTATAGATAAAAACGCAGAAAACATAGTGGCTTCGGCGACACACTTTGCCAACATAACTATTGAACCAACATGGTCAATGAAAAAGGTTGAACAGTGCATAGACCAATGAAATCTGGTGTTTGGAGCAGGAGTTGAACCAGCGACCTTTGGATCACAGCGTTTCAGGAACTTCTTAAAGTCATGTGCTCTACCAACTGAGCTATGAAGGTACTTATAGATAAAATCGCAGAAAACATAGTGGCTTCGGCGACACACTTTTTCAACATAACTATTGAACCAACATGGTCAATGAAAAAGGTTGAACAGTGCATAGACCAATGAAATCTGGTGTTTGGAGCAGGAATTGAACCAGGGTCCTTTGGACCACAGGGTTTCAGGAACTTCTTAAAGTCATGTGCTCTACCAACTGAGCTATGAAGGTGCTTATAGATAAAAACGCAGAAAACATAGTGGCTTCGGCGACACACTTTGCCAACACAACAATGAAGCCACCTGGTCAATGAAAAAGGATGAACAGTGCATATACAAATGAAATCTGGTGCTTGGAGCTGGAGTTGAACCAGGGACCTTTGGACCACAGCGTTTCAGGAACTTCTTACAGTCATGTGCTCTACCAACTGAGCTATGAAGGTGCTTATAGATGAAAACGGAGAAAACATAGTGGCTTCGGCGACACACTTTGCCAACACAACAATCAAGCCACCTGGTCAATGAAAAAGGTTGAACAGTGCATAGACCAATGAAATCTGGTGTTTGGAGCAGGAGTTGAACCAGCGACCTTTGAACCAGAGCGTTTCTAGAACTTCTTAAAGTCATGTGCTCTACCAAATGAGCTATGAAGGTGCTTATAGATAAAAACGCAGAAAACATAGTGGCTTCGGCGACACACTTTGCCAAAACAACAATCAAGCCACCTGGTCAATGAAAAAGGATGAACAGTGCATATACAAATGAAATCTGTTGCTTGGAGCTGGAGTTGAACCAGCGACCTTTGGACCACAGCGTTTCAGGAACTTCTTAAAGTCATGTGCTCTACCAACTGAGCTATGAAGGTGCTTATAGATAATAACGCAGAAAACATAGTGGCTTCGGCGACACACTTTGCCAAAACAACAATCAAGCCACCTGGTCAATGAAAAAGGTTGAACAGTGCATAGACCATTGAAATCTGGTGTTTGGAGTAGGAGTTGAACCAGCGACCTTTGGACCACAGCGTTTCAGGAACTTCTTAAAGTCATGTGCTCTACCAACTGAGCTATGAAGGTGCTTATAGATAAAAACGCAGAAAACATAGTGGCTTCGGCGACACACTTTGCCAAAACAACAATCAAGCCACCTGGTCAATGAAAAAGGATGAACAGTGCATATACAAATGAAATCTGGTGCTTGGAGCTGGAGTTGAACCAGCGACCTTTGGACCACAGCATTTCAGGAACTTCTTAAAGTCATGTGCTCTACCAACTGAGCTATGAAGGTGCTTATAGATAAAAACGCAGAAAACATAGTGGCTTCGGCGACACACTTTGCCAACATAACTATTGAACCAACATGGTCAATGAAAAAGGTTGAACAGTGCATAGACCAATGAAATCTGGTGTTTGGAGCAGGAGTTGAACCAGCGACCTTTGGACCACAGCGTTTCAGGAACTTCTTAAAGTCATGTGCTCTACCAACTGAGCTATGAAGGTACTTATAGATAAAATCACAGAAAACATAGTGGCTTCGGCGACACACTTTTTCAACATAACTATTGAACCAACATGGTCAATGAAAAAGGTTGAACAGTGCATAGACCAATGAAATCTGGTGTTTGGAGCAGGAATTGAACCAGCGTCCTTTGGACCACAGGGTTTCAGGAACTTCTTAAAGTCATGTGCTCTACCAACTGAGCTATGAAGGTGCTTATAGATAAAAACGCAGAAAACATAGTGGCTTCGGCGACACACTTTGCCAACACAACAATCAAGCCACCTGGTCAATGAAAAAGGATGAACAGTGCATATACAAATGAAATCTGGTGCTTGGAGCTGGAGTTGAACCAGGGACCTTTGGACCACAGCGTTTCAGGAACTTCTTACAGTCATGTGCTCTACCAACTGAGCTATGAAGGTGCTTATAGATGAAAACGCAGAAAACATAGTGGCTTCGGCGACACACTTTGCCAAAACAACAATCAAGCCACCTGGTCAATGAAAAAGGATGAACAGTGCATATACAAATGAAATCTGTTGCTTGGAGCAGGAGTTGAACCAGCGACCTTTGGACCACAGGGTTTCAGGAACTTCTTAAAGTCATGTGCTCTACCAACTGAGCTATGAAGGTGCTTATAGATAAAAACGCAGAAAACATAGTGGCTTCGGCGACACACTTTGCCAAAACAACAATCAAGCCACCTGGTCAATGAAAAAGGTTGAACAGTGCATAGAGCATTGAAATCTGGTGTTTGGAGCAGGAGTTGAACCAGCGACCTTTGGACCACAGCGTTTCAGGAACTTCTTACAGTCATGTGCTCTACCAACTGAGATATGAAGGTGCTTATAGATAAAAACGCAGAAAACATGGTGGCTTCGGCGACACACTTTGCCAAAACAACAATCAAGCCACCTGGTCAATGAAAAAGGATGAACAGTGCACATACAAATGAAATCTGGTGCTTGGAGTTGAACTAACGACCTTTGGACCACAGCGTTTCAGGAACTTCTTAAAGTCATGTGCTCTACCAACTGAGCTATGAAGGTGCTTATAGATAAAAACGCAGAAAACATAGTGGCTTCGGCGACACACTTTGCCAAAACAACAATCAAGCCACCTGGTCAATGAAAAAGGTTGAACAGTGCATAGACCATTGAAATCTGGTGTTTGGAGTAGGAGTTGAACCAGCGACCTTTGGACCACAGCGTTTCAGGAACTTCTTACAGTCATGTGCTCTACCAACTGGGCTATGAAGGTGCTAATAGATAAAAACGCAGAAAACATAGTGGCTTCGGCGACACACTTTGCCAAAACAACAATCAAGCCACCTGGTCAATGAAAAAGGATGAACAGTGCATATACAAATGAAATCTGGTGTTTGGAGCAGGAGTTGAACCAGCGTCCTTTGGACCACAGCGTTTCAGGAACTTCTTAAAGTCATGTGCTCTACCAACTGAGCTATGAAGGTGCTTATAGATAAAAACGCAGAAAACATAGTGGCTTCGGCGACACACTTTGCCAAAACAACAATCAAGCCACCTGGTCAATGAAAAAGGTTGAACAGTGCATAGACCATTGAAATCTGGTGTTTGGAGTAGGAGTTGAACCAGCGACCTTTGGACCACAGCGTTTCAGGAACTTCTTACAGTCATGTGCTCTACCAACTGAGCTATGAAGGTGCTTATAGATAAAAACGCAGAAAACATAGTGGCTTCGGCGACACACTTTGCCAAAACAACAATCAAGCCACCTGGTCAATGAAAAAGGATGAACAGTGCATATACAAATGAAATCTGGTGTTTGGAGCAGGAGTTGAACCAGCGTCCTTTGGACCACAGCGTTTCAGGAACTTCTTAAAGTCATGTGCTCTACCAACTGAGCTATGAAGGTGCTTATAGATAAAAACGCAGAAAACATAGTGGCTTCGGCGACACACTTTGCCAACATAACTATTGAACCAACATGGTCAATGGAAAAGGTTGAACAGTGCATACACCAATGAAATCTGGTGTTTGGAGCTGGAGTTGAACCAGCGTCCTTTGGACCACAGCGTTTCAGGAACTTCTTAAAGTCATGTGCTCTACCAACTGAGCTATGAAGGTGCTTATAGATAAAAACGCAGAAAACATAGTGGCTTGGGCGACACACTTTGCCAAAACAACAATCAAGCCACCTGGTCAATGAAAAAGGATGAACAGTGCATATACAAATGAAATCCAGTGCTTGGAGCTGGAGTTGAACCAGCGACCTTTGGACCACAGCATTTCAGGAACTTCTTAAAGTCATGTGCTCTACCAACTGAGCTATGAAGGTGCTTATAGATAAAAACGCAGAAAACATAGTCGCTTCGGCGACACACTTTGCCAAAACAACAATCAAGCCACCTGGTCAATGAAAAAGGATGAACAGTGCATATACAAATGAAATCTGTTGCTTGGAGCTGGAGTTGAACCAGCGACGTTTGGACCACAGCGTTTCAGGAACTTCTTAAAGACATGTGCTCTACCAACTGAGCTATGAAGGTGCTTATAGATAAAAACGCAGAAAACATAGTGGCTTCGGCGACACACTTTTTCAACATAACTATTGAACCAACATGGTCAATGAAAAAGGTTGAACAGTGCATAGACCAATGAAATCTGGTGTTTGGAGCAGGAATTGAACCAGCGTCCTTTGAACCAGAGCGTTTCTAGAACTTCTTAAAGTCATGTGCTCTACCAAATGAGCTATGAAGGTGCTTATAGATAAAAACGCAGAAAACATAGTGGCTTGGGCGACACACTTTGCCAACATAACTATTGAACCAACATGGTCAATGAAAAATGTTGAACAGTGCATACACCAATGAAATCTGGTGTTTGGAGCAGGAGTTGAACCAGCGTCCTTTGGACCACAGCGTTTCAGGAACTTCTTAAAGTCATGTGCTCTACCAACTGAGCTATGAAGGTGCTTATAGATAAAAACGCAGAAAACATAGTGGCTTCGGCGACACACTTTGCCAACACAACAATCAAGCCACCTGGTCAAGGAAAAAGGTTGAACAGTGCATAGACCAATGAAATCTGGTGTTTGGAGCAGGAGTTGAACCAGCGACCTTTGAACCAGAGCGTTTCTAGAACTTCTTAAAGTCATGTGCTCTACCAAATGAGCTATGAAGGTGCTTATAGATAAAAACGCAGAAAACATAGTGGCTTCGGCGACACACTTTGCCAAAACAACAATCAAGCCACCTGGTCAATGAAAAAGGATGAACAGTGCATATACAAATGAAATCTGTTGCTTGGAGCTGGAGTTGAACCAGCGACGTTTGGACCACAGCGTTTCAGGAACTTCTTAAAGTCATGTGCTCTACCAACTGAGCTATGAAGGTGCTTATAGATAAAAACGCAGAAAACATAGTGGCTTCGGCGACACACTTTGCCAACATAACTATTGAACCAACATGGTCAATGAAAAAGGTTGAACAGTGCATAGACCATTGAAATCTGGTGTTTGGAGCTGGAGTTGAACCAGCGTCCTTTGGACCACAGCGTTTCAGGAACTTCTTAAAGTCATGTGCTCTACCAACTGAGCTATGAAGGTGCTTATAGATAAAAACGCAGAAAACATAGTGGCTTCGGCGACACACTTTGCCAACACAACAATCAAGCCACCTGGTCAATGAAAAAGGATGAACAGTGCATATACAAATGAAATCTGGTGCTTGGAGCTGGAGTTGAACCAGGGACCTTTGGACCACAGCGTTTCAGGAACTTCTTACAGTCATGTGCTCTACCAACTGAGCTATGAAGGTGCTTATAGATGAAAACGCAGAAAACATAGTGGCTTCGGCGACACACTTTGCCAAAACAACAATCAAGCCACCTGGTCAATGAAAAAGGATGAACAGTGCATATACAAATGAAATCTGTTGCTTGGAGCAGGAGTTGAACCAGCGACCTTTGGACCACAGCGTTTCAGGAACTTCTTAAAGTCATGTGCTCTACCAACTGAGCTATGAAGGTGCTTATAGATAAAAACGCAGAAAACATAGTGGCTTCGGCGACACACTTTGCCAAAACAACAATCAAGCCACCTGGTCAATGAAAAAGGATGAACAGTGCACATACAAATGAAATCTGGTGCTTGGAGCTGGAGTTGAACTAGCGACCTTTGGACCACAGCGTTTCAGGAACTTCTTAAAGTCATGTGCTCTACCAACTGAGCTATGAAGGTGCTTATAGATAAAAACGCAGAAAACATAGTGGCTTCGGCGACACACTTTGCCAAAACAACAATCAAGCCACCTGGTCAATGAAAAAGGTTGAACAGTGCATAGACCATTGAAATCTGGTGTTTGGAGTAGGAGTTGAACCAGCGACCTTTGGACCACAGCGTTTCAGGAACTTCTTACAGTCATGTGCTCTACCAACTGGGCTATGAAGGTGCTTATAGATAAAAACGCAGAAAACATAGTGGCTTCGGCGACACACTTTGCCAAAACAACAATCAAGCCACCTGGTCAATGAAAAAGGATGAACAGTGCATATACAAATGAAATCTGGTGTTTGGAGCAGGAGTTGAACCAGCGTCCTTTGGACCACAGCGTTTCAGGAACTTCTTAAAGTCATGTGCTCTACCAACTGAGCTATGAAGGTGCTTATAGATAAAAACGCAGAAAACATAGTGGCTTCGGCGACACACTTTGCCAAAACAACAATCAAGCCACCTGGTCAATGAAAAAGGTTGAACAGTGCATAGACCATTGAAATCTGGTGTTTGGAGTAGGAGTTGAACCAGCGACCTTTGGACCACAGCGTTTCAGGAACTTCTTTCAGTCATGTGCTCTACCAACTGAGCTATGAAGGTGCTTATAGATAAAAACGCAGAAAACATAGTGGCTTCGGCGACACACTTTGCCAAAACAACAATCAAGCCACCTGGTCAATGAAAAAGGATGAACAGTGCATATACAAATGAAATCTGGTGTTTGGAGCAGGAGTTGAACCAGCGTCCTTTGGACCACAGCGTTTCAGGAACTTCTTAAAGTCATGTGCTCTACCAACTGAGCTATGAAGGTGCTTATAGATAAAAACGCAGAAAACATAGTGGCTTCGGCGACACACTTTGCCAACATAACTATTGAACCAACATGGTCAATGGAAAAGGTTGAACAGTGCATACACCAATGAAATCTGGTGTTTGGAGCTGGAGTTGAACCAGCGTCCTTTGGACAACAGCGTTTCAGGAACTTCTTAAAGTCATGTGCTCTACCAACTGAGCTATGAAGGTGCTTATAGATAAAAACGCAGAAAACATAGTGGCTTGGGCGACACACTTTGCCAAAACAACAATCAAGCCACCTGGTCAATGAAAAAGGATGAACAGTGCATATACAAATGAAATCCGGTGCTTGGAGCTGGAGTTGAACCAGCGACCTTTGGACCACAGCATTTCAGGAACTTCTTAAAGTCATGTGCTCTACCAACTGAGCTATGAAGGTGCTTATAGATAAAAACGCAGAAAACATAGTGGCTTCGGCAACACACTTTGCCAACATAACTATTGAACCAACATGGTCAATGAAAAAGGTTGAACAGTGCATACACCAATGAAATCTGGTGTTTGGAGCTGGAGTTGAACCAGCGTCCTTTGGACCACAGCGTTTCAGGAACTTCTTAAAGTCATGTGCTCTACCAACTGAGCTATGAAGGTGCTTATAGATAAAAACGCAGAAAACATAGTGGCTTCGGCGACACACTTTGCCAAAACAACAATCAAGCCACCTGGTCAATGAAAAAGGATGAACAGTGCATATACAAATGAAATCTGGTGATTGGAGCTGGAGTTGAACCAGCGACCTTTGGACCACAGCTTTTCAGGAACTTCTTAAAGTCATGTGCTCTACCAACTGAGCTATGAAGGTGCTTATAGATAAAAACGCAGAAAACATAGTGGCTTCGGCGACACACTTTGCCAACATAACTATTGAACCAACATGGTCAATGAAAAAGGTTGAACAGTGCATAGACCAATGAAATCTGGTGTTTGGAGCAGGAGTTGAACCAGCGTCCTTTGGACCACAGCGTTTCAGGAACTTCTTAAAGTCATGTGCTCTACCAACTGAGCTATGAAGGTGCTTATAGATAAAAACGCAGAAAACATAGTGGCTTCGGCGACACACTTTGCCAACACAACAATGAAGCAAACTGGTCAATGAAAAAGGATGAACAGTGCATATACAAATGAAATCTGGTGCTTGGAGCTGGAGTTGAACCAGGGACCTTTGGACCACAGCGTTTCAGGAACTTCTTACAGTCATGTGCTCTACCAAATGAGCTATGAAGGTGCTTATAGATGAAAACGGAGAAAACATAGTGGCTTCGGCGACACACTTTGCCAACACAACAATCAAGCCACCTGGTCAATGAAAAAGGTTGAACAGTGCATAGACCAATGAAATCTGGTGTTTGGAGCAGGAGTTGAACCAGCGACCTTTGAACCAGAGCGTTTCTAGAACTTCTTAAAGTCATGTGCTCTACCAAATGAGCTATGAAGGTGCTTATAGATAAAAACGCAGAAAACATAGTGGCTTCGGCGACACACTTTGCCAAAACAACAATCAAGCCACCTGGTCAATGAAAAAGGATGAACAGTGCATATACAAATGAAATCTGTTGCTTGGAGCTGGAGTTGAACCAGCAACCTTTGGACCACAGCGTTTCAGGAACTTCTTAAAGTCATGTGCTCTACCAACTGAGCTATGAAGGTGCTTATAGATAAAAACGCAGAAAACATAGTGGCTTGGGCGACACACTTTGCCAAAACAACAATCAAGCCACCTGGTCAATGAAAAAGGATGAACAGTGCATATACAAATGAAATCTGGTGTTTGGAGCAGGAGTTGAACCAGCGACCTTTGGACCACAGCGTTTCAGGAACTTCTTAAAGTCATGTGCTCTACCAACTGAGCTATGAAGGTGCTTATAGATAAAAACGCAGAAAACATAGTGGCTTCGGCGACACACTTTGCCAAAACAACAATCAAGCCACCTGGTCAATGAAAAAGGTTGAACAGTGCATAGACCATTGAAATCTGGTGTTTGGAGTAGGAGTTGAACCAGCGACCTTTGGACCACAGCGTTTCAGGAACTTCTTACAGTCATGTGCTCTACCAACTGAGCTATGAAAGTGCTTATAGATAAAAACGCAGAAAACATAGTGGCTTCGGCGACACACTTTGCCATAACAACAATCAAGCCACCTGGTCAATGAAAAAGGATGAACAGTGCATATACAAATGAAATCTGGTGTTTGGAGCAGGAGTTGAACCAGCGTCCTTTGGACCACAGCGTTTCAGGAACTTCTTAAAGTCATGTGCTCTACCAACTGAGCTATGAAGGTGCTTATAGATAAAAACGCAGAAAACATAGTGGCTTCGGCGACACACTTTGCCAACATAACTATTGAACCAACATGGTCAATGAAAAATGTTGAACAGTGCATACACCAATGAAATCTGGTGTTTGGAGCAGGAGTTGAACCAGCGTCCTTTGGACCACAGCGTTTCAGGAACTTCTTAAAGTCATGTGCTCTACCAAATGAGCTATGAAGGTGCTTATAGATAAAAACGCAGAAAACATAGTGGCTTCGGCGACACACTTTGCCAAAACAACAATCAAGCCACCTGGTCAATGAAAAAGGTTGAACAGTGCATAGACCATTGAAATCTGGTGTTTGGAGTAGGAGTTGAACCAGCGACCTTTGGACCACAGCGTTTCAGGAACTTCTTACAGTCATGTGCTCTACCAACTGGGCTATGAAGGTGCTTATAGATAAAAACGCAGAAAACATAGTGGCTTCGGCGACACACTTTGCCAAAACAACAATCAAGCCACCTGGTCAATGAAAAAGGATGAACAGTGCATATACAAATGAAATCTGGTGTTTGGAGCAGGAGTTGAACCAGCGTCCTTTGGACCACAGCGTTTCAGGAACTTCTTACAGTCATGTGCTCTACCAACTGGGCTATGAAGGTGCTTATAGATAAAAACGCAGAAAACATAGTGGCTTCGGCGACACACTTTGCCAAAACAACAATCAAGCCACCTGGTCAATGAAAAAGGATGAACAGTGCATATACAAATGAAATCTGGTGTTTGGAGCAGGAGTTGAACCAGCGTCCTTTGGACCACAGCGTTTCAGGAACTTCTTAAAGTCATGTGCTCTACCAACTGAGCTATGAAGGTGCTTATAGATAAAAACGCAGAAAACATAGTGGCTTCGGCGACACACTTTGCCAAAACAACAATCAAGCCACCTGGTCAATGAAAAAGGTTGAACAGTGCATAGACCATTGAAATCTGGTGTTTGGAGTAGGAGTTGAACCAGCGACCTTTGGACCACAGCGTTTCAGGAACTTCTTACAGTCATGTGCTCTACCAACTGAGCTATGAAGGTGCTTATAGATAAAAACGCAGAAAACATAGTGGCTTCGGCGACACACTTTGCCAAAACAACAATCAAGCCACCTGGTCAATGAAAAAGGATGAACAGTGGATATACAAATGAAATCTGGTGTTTGGAGCAGGAGTTGAACCAGCGACCTTTGGACCACAGCGTTTCAGGAACTTCTTAAAGTCATGTGCTCTACCAACTGAGCTATGAAGGTGCTTATAGATAAAAACGCAGAAAACATAGTGGCTTCGGCGACACACTTTGCCAACATAACTATTGAACCAACATGGTCAATGGAAAAGGTTGAACAGTGCATACACCAATGAAATCTGGTGTTTGGAGCTGGAGTTGAACCAGCGTCCTTTGGACAACAGCGTTTCAGGAACTTCTTAAAGTCATGTGCTCTACCAACTAGGCTATGAAGGTGCTTATAGATAAAAACGCAGAAAACATAGTGGCTTGGGCGACACACTTTGCCAAAACAACAATCAAGCCACCTGGTCAATGAAAAAGGATGAACAGTGCATATACAAATGAAATCCGGTGCTTGGAGCTGGAGTTGAACCAGCGACCTTTGGACCACAGCATTTCAGGAACTTCTTAAAGTCATGTGCTCTACCAACTGAGCTATGAAGGTGCTTATAGATAAAAACGCAGAAAACATAGTGGCTTCGGCGACACACTTTGCCAACATAACTATTGAACCAACATGGTCAATGAAAAAGGTTGAACAGTGCATACACCAATGAAATCTGGTGTTTGGAGCTGGAGTTGAACCAGCGTCCTTTGGACCACAGCGTTTCAGGAACTTCTTAAAGTCATGTGCTCTACCAACTGAGCTATGAAGGTGCTTATAGATAAAAACGCAGAAAACATAGTGGCTTCGGCGACACACTTTGCCAAAACAACAATCAAGCCACCTGGTCAATGAAAAAGGATGAACAGTGCATATACAAATGAAATCCGGTGTTTGGAGCTGGAGTTGAACCAGCGACCTTTGGACCACAGCATTTCAGGAACTTCTTAAAGTCATGTGCTCTACCAACTGAGCTATGAAGGTGCTTATAGATAAAAACGCAGAAAACATAGTGGCTTCGGCGACACACTTTGCCAACATAACTATTGAACCAACATGGTCAATGAAAAAGGTTGAACAGTGCATAGACCAATGAAATCTGGTGTTTGGAGCAGGAGTTGAACCAGCGTCCTTTGGACCACAGCGTTTCAGGAACTTCTTAAAGTCATGTGCTCTACCAACTGAGCTATGAAGGTGCTTACAGATAAAAACGCAGAAAACATAGTGGCTTCGGCGACACACTTTGCCAACACAACAATGAAGCAAACTGGTCAATGAAAAAGGATGAACAGTGCATATACAAATGAAATCTGGTGCTTGGAGCTGGAGTTGAACCAGCGACCTTTGGACCACAGCGTTTCAGGAACTTCTTACAGTCATGTGCTCTACCAAATGAGCTATGAAGGTGCTTATAGATGAAAACGGAGAAAACATAGTGGCTTCGGCGACACACTTTGCCAACACAACAATCAAGCCACCTGGTCAATGAAAAAGGTTGAACAGTGCATAGACCAATGAAATCTGGTGTTTGGAGCAGGAGTTGAACCAGCGACCTTTGAACCAGAGCGTTTCTAGAACTTCTTAAAGTCATGTGCTCTACCAAATGAGCTATGAAGGTGCTTATAGATAAAAACGCAGAAAACATAGTGGCTTCGGCGACACACTTTGCCAAAACAACAATCAAGCCACCTGGTCAATGAAAAAGGATGAACAGTGCATATACAAATGAAATCTGTTGCTTGGAGCTGGAGTTGAACCAGCGACCTTTGGACCACAGCGTTTCAGGAACTTCTTAAAGTCATGTGCTCTACCAACATAGCTATGAAGGTGCTTATAGATAAAAACGCAGAAAACATAGTGGCTTCGGCGACACACTTTGCCAAAACAACAATCAAGCCACCTGGTCAATGAAAAAGGTTGAACAGTGCATAGAACATTGAAATCTGGTGTTTGGAGTAGGAGTTGAACCAGCGACCTTTGGACCACAGCGTTTCAGGAACTTCTTACAGTCATGTGCTCTACCAACTGAGCTATGAAGGTGCTTATAGATAAAAACGCAGAAAACATAGTGGCTTCGGCGACACACTTTGCCAAAACAACAATCAAGCCACCTGGTCAATGAAAAAGGATGAACAGTGCATATACAAATGAAATCTGGTGTTTGGAGCAGGAGGTGAACCAGCGACCTTTGGACCACAGCGTTTCAGGAACTTCTTAAAGTCATGTGCTCTACCAACTGAGCTATGAAGGTGCTTATAGATAAAAACGCAGAAAACATAGTGGATTGGGCGACACACTTTGCCAAAACAACAATCAAGCCACCTGGTCAATGAAAAAGGTTGAACAGTGCATAGAACATTGAAATCTGGTGTTTGGAGTAGGAGTTGAACGAGCGACCTTTGGACCACAGCGTTTCAGGAACTTCTTACAGTCATGTGCTCTACCAACTGAGCTATGAAAGTGCTTATAGATAAAAACGCAGAAAACATAGTGGCTTCGGCGACACACTTTGCCAAAACCACAATCAAGCCACCTGGTCAATGAAAAAGGATGAACAGTGCATATACAAATGAAATCTGGTGTTTGGAGCAGGAGTTGAACCAGCGTCCTTTGGACCACAGCGTTTCAGGAACTTCTTAAAGTCATGTGCTCTACCAACTGAGCTATGAAGGTGCTTATAGATAAAAACGCAGAAAACATAGTGGCTTCGGCGACACACTTTGCCAACATAACTATTGAACCAACATGGTCAATGAAAAATGTTGAACAGTGCATACACCAATGAAATCTGGTGTTTGGAGCAGGAGTTGAACCAGCGTCCTTTGGACCACAGCGTTTCAGGAACTTCTTAAAGTCATGTGCTCTACCAACTGAGCTATGAAGGTGCTTATAGATAAAAACGCAGAAAACATAGTGGCTTCGGCGACACACTTTGCCAACATAACTATTGAACCAACATGGTCAATGAAAAAGGTTGAACAGTGCATAGACCATAGAAATCTGGTGTTTGGAGCAGGAGTTGAACCAGCGTCCTTTGGACCACAGCGTTTCAGGAACTTCTTAAAGTCATGTGCTCTACCAACTGAGCTATGAAGGTGCTTATAGATAAAAACGCAGAAAACATAGTGGCTTCGGCGACACACTTTGCCAACACAACAATCAAGCCACCTGGTCAATGAAAAAGGATGAACAGTGCATATACAAATGAAATCTGGTGCTTTGAGCTGGAGTTGAACCAGGGACCTTTGGACCACAGCGTTTCAGGAACTTCTTACAGTCATGTGCTCTACCAACTGAGCTATGAAGGTGCTTATAGATGAAAACGCAGAAAACATAGTGGCTTCGGCGACACACTTTGCCAAAACAACAATCAAGCCACCTGGTCAATGAAAAAGGATGAACAGTGCATATACAAATGAAATCTGTTGCTTGGAGCAGGAGTTGAACCAGCGACCTTTGGACCACAGCGTTTCAGGAACTTCTTAAAGTCATGTGCTCTACCAACTGAGCTATGAAGGTGCTTATAGATAAAAACGCAGAAAACATAGTGGCTTCGGCGACACACTTTGCCAAAACAACAATCAAGCCACCTGGTCAATGAAAAAGGTTGAACACTGCATAGAGCATTGAAATCTGGTGTTTGGAGTAGGAGTTGAACCAGCGACCTTTGGACCACAGCGTTTCAGGAACTTCTTACAGTCATGTGCTCTACCAACTGGGCTATGAAGGTGCTTATAGATAAAAATGCAGAAAACATAGTGGCTTCGGCGACACACTTTGCCAAAACAACAATCAAGCCACCTGGTCAATGAAAAAGGATGAACAGTGCATATACAAATGAAATCTGGTGTTTGGAGCAGGAGTTGAACCAGCGTCCTTTGGACCACAGCGTTTCAGGAACTTCTTAAAGTCATGTGCTCTACCAACTGAGCTATGAAGGTGCTTATAGATAAAAACGCAGAAAACATAGTGGCTTCGGCGACACACTTTGCCAAAACAACAATCAAGCCACCTGGTCAATGAAAAAGGTTGAACAGTGCATAGACCATTGAAATCTGGTGTTTGGAGTAGGAGTTGAACCAGTGACCTTTGGACCACAGCGTTTCAGGAACTTCTTTCAGTCATGTGCTCTACCAACTGAGCTATGAAGGTGCTTATAGATAAAAACGCAGAAAACATAGTGGCTTCGGCGACACACTTTGCCAAAACAACAATCAAGCCACCTGGTCAATGAAAAAGGATGAACAGTGCATATACAAATGAAATCTGGTGTTTGGAGCAGGAGTTGAACCAGCGTCATTGGACCACAGCGTTTCAGGAACTTCTTAAAGTCATGTGCTCTACCAACTGAGCTATGAAGGTGCTTATAGATAAAAACGCAGAAAACATAGTGGCTTCGGCGACACACTTTGCCAAAACAACAATCAAGCCACCTGGTCAATGAAAAAGGTTGAACAGTGCATAGACCATTGAAATCTGGTGTTTGGAGTAGGAGTTGAACCAGTGACCTTTGGACCACAGCGTTTCAGGAACTTCTTAAAGTCATGTGCTCTACCAACTGAGCTATGAAGGTGCTTATAGATAAAAACGCAGAAAACATAGTGGCTTCGGCGACACACTTTGCCAAAACAACAATCAAGCCACCTGGTCAATGAAAAAGGTTGAACACTGCATAGAGCATTGAAATCTGGTGTTTGGAGTAGGAGTTGAACCAGCGACCTTTGGACCACAGCGTTTCAGGAACTTCTTACAGTCATGTGCTCTACCAACTGGGCTATGAAGGTGCTTATAGATAAAAATGCAGAAAACATAGTGGCTTCGGCGACACACTTTGCCAAAACAACAATCAAGCCACCTGGTCAATGAAAAAGGATGAACAGTGCATATACAAATGAAATCTGGTGTTTGGAGCAGGAGTTGAACCAGCGTCCTTTGGACCACAGCGTTTCAGGAACTTCTTAAAGTCATGTGCTCTACCAACTGAGCTATGAAGGTGCTTATAGATAAAAACGCAGAAAACATAGTGGCTTCGGCGACACACTTTGCCAAAACAACAATCAAGCCACCTGGTCAATGAAAAAGGTTGAACAGTGCATAGACCATTGAAATCTGGTGTTTGGAGTAGGAGTTGAACCAGTGACCTTTGGACCACAGCGTTTCAGGAACTTCTTTCAGTCATGTGCTCTACCAACTGAGCTATGAAGGTGCTTATAGATAAAAACGCAGAAAACATAGTGGCTTCGGCGACACACTTTGCCAAAACAACAATCAAGCCACCTGGTCAATGAAAAAGGATGAACAGTGCATATACAAATGAAATCTGGTGTTTGGAGCAGGAGTTGAACCAGCGTCATTGGACCACAGCGTTTCAGGAACTTCTTAAAGTCATGTGCTCTACCAACTGAGCTATGAAGGTGCTTATAGATAAAAACGCAGAAAACATAGTGGCTTCGGCGACACACTTTGCCAACATAACTATTGAACCAACATGGTCAATGAAAAAGGTTGAACAGTGCATACACCAATGAAATCTGGTGTTTGGAGCTGGAGTTGAACCAGCGACCTTTGGACCACAGCGTTTCAGGAACTTCTTAAAGTCATGTGCTCTACCAACTGAGCTATGAAGGTGCTTATAGATAAAAACGCAGAAAACATAGTGGCTTGGGCGACACACTTTGCCAAAACAACAATCAAGCCACCTGGTCAATGAAAAAGGATGAACAGTGCATATACAAATGAAATCCGGTGCTTGGAGCTGGAGTTGAACCAGCGACCTTTGGACCACAGCATTTCAGGAACTTCTTAAAGTCATGTGCTCTACCAACTGAGCTATGAAGGTGCTTATAGATAAAAACGCAGAAAACATAGTGGCTTCGGCGACACACTTTGCCAACATAACTATTGAACCAACATGGTCAATGAAAAAGGTTGAACAGTGCATACACCAATGAAATCTGGTGTTTGGAGCTGGAGTTGAACCAGCGTCCTTTGGACCACAGCGTTTCAGGAACTTCTTAAAGTCATGTGCTCTACCAACTGAGCTATGAAGGTGCTTATAGATAAAAACGCAGAAAACATAGTGGCTTCGGCGACACACTTTGCCAAAACAACAATCAAGCCACCTGGTCAATGAAAAAGGATGAACAGTGCATATACAAATGAAATCCGGTGTTTGGAGCTGGAGTTGAACCAGCGACCTTTGGACCACAGCATTTCAGGAACTTCTTAAAGTCATGTGCTCTACCAACTGAGCTATGAAGGTGCTTATAGATAAAAACGCAGAAAACATAGTGGCTTCGGCGACACACTTTGCCAACATAACTATTGAACCAACATGGTCAATGAAAAAGGTTGAACAGTGCATAGACCAATGAAATCTGGTGTTTGGAGCAGGAGTTGAACCAGCGACCTTTGGACCACAGCGTTTCAGGAACTTCTTAAAGTCATGTGCTCTACCAACTGAGCTATGAAGGTGCTTATAGATAAAAACGCAGAAAACATAGTGGCTTCGGCGACACACTTTGCCAACACAACAATGAAGCAAACTGGTCAATGAAAAAGGATGAACAGTGCATATACAAATGAAATCTGGTGTTTGGAGCTGGAGTTGAACCAGCGACCTTTGGACCACAGCGTTTCAGGAACTTCTTAAAGTCATGTGCTCTACCAACTGAGCTATGAAGGTGCTTATAGATGAAAACGCAGAAAACATAGTGGCTTCGGCGACACACTTTGCCAACACAACAATCAAGCCACCTGGTCAATGAAAAAGGTTGAACAGTGCATAGACCAATGAAATCTGGTGTTTGGAGCAGGAGTTGAACCAGCGACCTTTGAACCAGAGCGTTTCTAGAACTTCTTAAAGTCATGTGCTCTACCAAATGAGCTATGAAGGTGCTTATAGATAAAAACGCAGAAAACATAGTGGCTTCGGCGACACACTTTGCCAAAACAACAATCAAGCCACCTGGTCAATGAAAAAGGATGAACAGTGCATATACAAATGAAATCTGTTGCTTGGAGCTGGAGTTGAACCAGCGACCTTTGGACCACAGCGTTTCAGGAACTTCTTAAAGTCATGTGCTCTACCAACTGAGCTATGAAGGTGCTTATAGATAAAAACGCAGAAAACATAGTGGCTTCGGCGACACACTTTGCCAAAACAACAATCAAGCCACCTGGTCAATGAAAAAGGTTGAACAGTGCATAGAACATTGAAATCTGGTGTTTGGAGTAGGAGTTGAACCAGCGACCTTTGGACCACAGCGTTTCGGGAACTTCTTACAGTCATGTGCTCTACCAACTGAGCTATGAAGGTGCTTATAGATAAAAACGCAGAAAACATAGTGGCTTCGGCGACACACTTTGCCAAAACAACAATCAAGCCACCTGGTCAATGAAAAAGGATGAACAGTGCATATACAAATGAAATCTGGTGTTTGGAGCAGGAGTTGAACCAGCGACCTTTGGACCACAGCGTTTCAGGAACTTCTTAAAGTCATGTGCTCTACCAACTGAGCTATGAAGGTGCTTATAGATAAAAACGCAGAAAACATAGTGGCTTCGGCGACACACTTTGCCAAAACAACAATCAAGCCACCTGGTCAATGAAAAAGGTTGAACAGTGCATAGACCATTGAAATCTGGTGTTTGGAGCAGGAGTTGAACCAGCGACCTTTGGACCACAGCGTTTCAGGAACTTCTTAAAGTCATGTGCTCTACCAACTGAGCTATGAAGGTGCTTATAGATAAAAACGCAGAAAACATAGTGGCTTCGGCGACACACTTTGCCATAACAACAATCAAGCCACCTGGTCAATGAAAAAGGTTGAACAGTGCATATACAAATGAAATCTGGTGTTTGGAGCAGGAGTTGAACCAGCGACCTTTGGACCACAGCGTTTCAGGAACTTCTTAAAGTCATGTGCTCTACCAACTGAGCTATGAAGGTGCTTATAGATAAAAACGCAGAAAACATAGTGGCTTCGGCGACACACTTTGCCAACATAACTATTGAACCAACATGGTCAATGAAAAAGGTTGAACAGTGCATACACCAATGAAATCTGGTGTTTGGAGCAGGAGTTGAACCAGCGTCCTTTGGACCACAGCGTTTCAGGAACTTCTTAAAGTCATGTGCTCTACCAACTGAGCTATGAAGGTGCTTATAGATAAAAACGCAGAAAACATAGTGGCTTCGGCGACACACTTTGCCAACACAACAATCAAGCCACCTGGTCAAGGAAAAAGGTTGAACAGTGCATAGACCAATGAAATCTGGTGTTTGGAGCAGGAGTTGAACCAGCGACCTTTGAACCAGAGCGTTTCTAGAACTTCTTAAAGTCATGTGCTCTACCAAATGAGCTATGAAGGTGCTTATAGATAAAAACGCAGAAAACATAGTGGCTTCGGCGACACACTTTGCCAAAACAACAATCAAGCCACCTGGTCAATGAAAAAGGTTGAACAGTGCATAGACCATTGAAATCTGGTGTTTGGAGTAGGAGTTGAACCAGCGACCTTTGGACCACAGCGTTTCAGGAACTTCTTACAGTCATGTGCTCTACCAACTGGGCTATGAAGGTGCTTATAGATAAAAACGCAGAAAACATAGTGGCTTCGGCGACACACTTTGCCAAAACAACAATCAAGCCACCTGGTCAATGAAAAAGGATGAACAGTGCATATACAAATGAAATCTGGTGTTTGGAGCAGGAGTTGAACCAGCGTCCTTTGGACCACAGCGTTTCAGGAACTTCTTAAAGTCATGTGCTCTACCAACTGAGCTATGAAGGTGCTTATAGATAAAAACGCAGAAAACATAGTGGCTTCGGCGACACACTTTGCCAAAACAACAATCAAGCCACCTGGTCAATGAAAAAGGTTGAACAGTGCATAGACCAATGAAATCTGGTGTTTGGAGTAGGAGTTGAACCAGCGACCTTTGGAACACAGCGTTTCAGGAACTTCTTACAGTCATGTGCTCTACCAACTGAGCTATGAAGGTGCTTATAGATAAAAACGCAGAAAACATAGTGGCTTCGGCGACACACTTTGCCAAAACAACAATCAAGCCACCTGGTCAATGAAAAAGGATGAACAGTGCATATACAAATGAAATCTGTTGCTTGGAGCTGGAGTTGAACCAGCGACCTTTGGACCACAGCGTTTCAGGAACTTCTTAAAGTCATGTGCTCTACCAACTGAGCTATGAAGGTGCTTATAGATAAAAACGCAGAAAACATAGTGGCTTCGGCGACACACTTTGCCAAAACAACAATCAAGCCACCTGGTCAATGAAAAAGGTTGAACAGTGCATAGAACATTGAAATCTGGTGTTTGGAGTAGGAGTTGAACCAGCGACCTTTGGACCACAGCGTTTCGGGAACTTCTTACAGTCATGTGCTCTACCAACTGAGCTATGAAGGTGCTTATAGATAAAAACGCAGAAAACATAGTGGCTTCGGCGACACACTTTGCCAAAACAACAATCAAGCCACCTGGTCAATGAAAAAGGTTGAACAGTGCATATACAAATGAAATCTGGTGTTTGGAGCAGGAGTTGAACCAGCGACCTTTGGACCACAGCGTTTCAGGAACTTCTTAAAGTCATGTGCTCTACCAACTGAGCTATGAAGGTGCTTATAGATAAAAACGCAGAAAACATAGTGGCTTCGGCGACACACTTTGCCAAAACAACAATCAAGCCACCTGGTCAATGAAAAAGGTTGAACAGTGCATAGACCATTGAAATCTGGTGTTTGGAGTAGGAGTTGAACCAGCGACCTTTGGACCACAGCGTTTCAGGAACTTCTTACAGTCATGTGCTCTACCAACTGAGCTATGAAAGTGCTTATAGATAAAAACGCAGAAAACATAGTGGCTTCGGCGACACACTTTGCCAAAACAACAATCAAGCCACCTGGTCAATGAAAAAGGATGAACAGTGCATATACAAATGAAATCTGGTGTTTGGAGCAGGAGTTGAACCAGCGTCCTTTGGACCACAGCGTTTCAGGAACTTCTTAAAGTCATGTGCTCTACCAACTGAGCTATGAAGGTGCTTATAGATAAAAACGCAGAAAACATAGTGGCTTCGGCGACACACTTTGCCAACATAACTATTGAACCAACATGGTCAATGGAAAAGGTTGAACAGTGCATACACCAATGAAATCTGGTGTTTGGAGCTGGAGTTGAACCAGCGTCCTTTGGACCACAGCGTTTCAGGAACTTCTTAAAGTCATGTGCTCTACCAACTGAGCTATGAAGGTGCTTATAGATAAAAACGCAGAAAACATAGTGGCTTGGGCGACACACTTTGCCAAAACAACAATCAAGCCACCTGGTCAATGAAAAAGGTTGAACAGTGCATATACAAATGAAATCCGGTGCTTGGAGCTGGAGTTGAACCAGCGACCTTTGGACCACAGCATTTCAGGAACTTCTTAAAGTCATGTGCTCTACCAACTGAGCTATGAAGGTGCTTATAGATAAAAACGCAGAAAACATAGTGGCTTCGGCGACACACTTTGCCAACATAACTATTGAACCAACATGGTCAATGAAAAAGGTTGAACAGTGCATACACCAATGAAATCTGGTGTTTGGAGCTGGAGTTGAACTAGCGACCTTTGGACCACAGCGTTTCAGGAACTTCTTAAAGTCATGTGCTCTACCAACTGAGCTATGAAGGTGCTTATAGATTAAAACGCAGAAAACATAGTGGCTTCGGCGACACACTTTGCCAAAACAACAATCAAGCCACCTGGTCAATGAAAAAGGTTGAACAGTGCATAGAACATTGAAATCTGGTGTTTGGAGTAGGAGTTGAACCAGCGACCTTTGGACCACAGCGTTTCAGGAACTTCTTACAGTCATGTGCTCTACCAACTGAGCTATGAAGATGCTTATAGATAAAAACGCAGAAAACATAGTGGCTTCGGCGACACACTTTGCCAAAACAACAATCAAGCCACCTGGTCAATGAAAAAGGATGAACAGTGCATATACAAATGAAATCTGGTGTTTGGAGCAGGAGTTGAACCAGCGACCTTTGGACCACAGCGTTTCAGGAACTTCTTAAAGTCATGTGCTCTACCAACTGAGCTATGAAGGTGCTTATAGATAAAAACGCAGAAAACATAGTGGCTTCGGCGACACACTTTGCCAAAACAACAATCAAGCCACCTGGTCAATGAAAAAGGTTGAACAGTGCATAGACCATTGAAATCTGGTGTTTGGAGTAGGAGTTGAACCAGCGACCTTTGGACCACAGCGTTTCAGGAACTTCTATCAGTCCTCTGCTCTACAGACTGAGCTATGAAGGTGCTTATAGATAAAAACGCAGAAAACATAGTGGCTTCGGCGACACACTTTGCCAAAACAACAATCAAGCCACCTGGTCAATGAAAAAGGATGAACAGTGCATATACAAATGAAATCTGGTGTTTGGAGCAGGAGTTGAACCAGCGTCCTTTGGACCACAGCGTTTCAGGAACTTCTTAAAGTCATGTGCTCTACCAACTGAGCTATGAAGGTGCTTATAGATAAAAACGCAGAAAACATAGTGGCTTCGGCGACACACTTTGCCAACACAACAATCAAGCCACCTGGTCAATGAAAAAGGTTGAACAGTGCATAGACCAATGAAATCTGGTGTTTGGAGCAGGAGTTGAACCAGCGACCTTTGGACCACAGCGTTTCTTGAACTTCTTAAAGTCATGTGCTCTACCAACTGAGCTATGAAGGTGCTTATAGATAAAAACGCAGAAAACATAGTGGCTTCGGCGACACACTTTGCCAAAACAACAATCAAGCCACATGGTCAATGAAAAAGGATGAACAGTGCATATACAAATGAAATCTGGTGCTTGGAGCTGGAGTTGAACCAGCGACCTTTGGACCACAGCGTTTCAGGAACTTCTTAAAGTCATGTGCTCTACCAACTGAGCTATGAAGGTGCTTATAGATTAAAACGCAGAAAACATAGTGGCTTCGGCGACACACTTTGCCAAAACAACAATCAAGCCACCTGGTCAATGAAAAAGGTTGAACAGTGCATAGACCATTGAAATCTGGTGTTTGGAGTAGGAGTTGAACCAGCGACCTTTGGACCACAGCGTTTCAGGAACTTCTTACAGTCATGTGCTCTACCAACTGAGCTATGAAGGTGCTTATAGATAAAAACGCAGAAAACATAGTGGCTTCGGCGACACACTTTGCCAAAACAACAATCAAGCCACCTGGTCAATGAAAAAGGATGAACAGTGCATATACAAATGAAATCTGGTGTTTGGAGCTGGAGTTGAACCAGCGACCTTTGGACCACAGCGTTTCAGGAACTTCTTAAAGTCATGTGCTCTACCAACTGAGCTATGAAGGTGCTTATAGATTAAAACGCAGAAAACATAGTGGCTTCGGCGACACACTTTGCCAAAACAACAATCAAGCCACCTGGTCAATGAAAAAGGTTGAACAGTGCATAGACCATTGAAATCTGGTGTTTGGAGTAGGAGTTGAACCAGCGACCTTTGGACCACAGCGTTTCAGGAACTTCTTAAAGTCATGTGCTCTACCAACTGAGCTATGAAGGTGCTTATAGATAAAAACGCAGAAAACATAGTGGCTTCGGCGACACACTTTGCCAAAACAACAATCAAGCCACCTGGTCAATGAAAAAGGATGAACAGTGCATATACAAATGAAATCTGGTGTTTTGAGCAGGAGTTGAACCAGCGACCTTTGGACCACAGCGTTTCAGGAACTTCTTAAAGTCATGTGCTCTACCAACTGAGCTATGAAGGTGCTTATAGATAAAAACGCAGAAAACATAGTGGCTTCGGCGACACACTTTGCCAAAACAACAATCAAGCCACCTGGTCAATGAAAAAGGTTGAACAGTGCATAGACCAATGAAATCTGGTGTTTGGAGCAGGAGTTGAACCAGCGACCTTTGGACCACAGCGTTTCAGGAACTTCTTACAGTCATGTGCTCTACCAACTGAGCTATGAAGGTGCTTATAGATAAAAACGCAGAAAACATAGTGGCTTCGGCGACACACTTTGCCAAAACAACAATCAAGCCACCTGGTCAATGAAAAAGGATGAACAGTGCATATACAAATGAAATCTGGTGTTTGGAGCAGGAGTTGAACCAGCGTCCTTTGGACCACAGCGTTTCAGGAACTTCTTAAAGTCATGTGCTCTACCAACTGAGCTATGAAGGTGCTTATAGATAAAAACGCAGAAAACATAGTGGCTTCGGCGACACACTTTGCCAACATAACTATTGAACCAACATGGTCAATGAAAAAGGTTGAACAGTGCATAGACCAATGAAATCTGGTGTTTGGAGCAGGAGTTGAACCAGCGACCTTTGGACCACAGCGTTTCAGGAACTTCTTAAAGTCATGTGCTCTACCAACTGAGCTATGAAGGTGCTTATAGATAAAAACGCAGAAAACATAGTGGCTTCGGCGACACACTTTGCCAACACAACAATGAAGCCACCTGGTCAATGAAAAAGGATGAACAGTGCATATACAAATGAAATCTGGTGCTTGGAGCTGGAGTTGAACAAGCGACCTTTGGACCACAGCGTTTCAGGAACTTCTTACAGTCATGTGCTCTACCAACTGAGCTATGAAGGTGCTTATAGATGAAAACGCAGAAAACATAGTGGCTTCGGCGACACACTTTGCCAACACAACAATCAAGCCACATGGTCAATGAAAAAGGTTGAACAGTGCATAGACCAATGAAATCTGGTGTTTGGAGCAGGAGTTGAACCAGCGACCTTTGAACCAGAGCGTTTCTAGAACTTCTTAAAGTCATGTGCTCTACCAAATGAGCTATGAAGGTGCTTATAGATAAAAACGCAGAAAACATAGTGGCTTCGGCGACACACTTTGCCAAAACAACAATCAAGCCACCTGGTCAATGAAAAAGGATGAACAGTGCATATACAAATGAAATCTGGTGTTTGGAGCTGGAGTTGAACCAGCGACCTTTGGACCACAGCGTTTCAGGAACTTCTTAAAGTCATGTGCTCTACCAACTGAGCTATGAAGGTGCTTATAGATAAAAACGCAGAAAACATAGTGGCTTCGGCGACACACTTTGCCAAAACAACAATCAAGCCACCTGGTCAATGAAAAAGGTTGAACAGTGCATAGACCAATGAAATCTGGTGTTTGGAGCAGGAGTTGAACCAGCGACCTTTGGACCACAGCGTTTCAGGAACTTCTTAAAGTCATGTGCTCTACCAACTGAGCTATGAAGGTGCTTATAGATAAAAACGCAGAAAACATAGTGGCTTCGGCGACACACTTTGCCAAAACAACAATCAAGCCACCTGGTCAATGAAAAAGGATGAACAGTGCATATACAAATGAAATCTGGTGCTTGGAGCTGGAGTTGAACCAGCGACCTTTGGACCACAGCATTTCAGGAACTTCTTAAAGTCATGTGCTCTACCAACTGAGCTATGAAGGTGCTTATAGATAAAAACGCAGAAAACATAGTGGCTTCGGCGACACACTTTGCCAACATAACTATTGAACCAACATGGTCAATGAAAAAGGTTGAACAGTGCATAGACCAATGAAATCTGGTGTTTGGAGCAGGAGTTGAACCAGCGACCTTTGGATCACAGCGTTTCAGGAACTTCTTAAAGTCATGTGCTCTACCAACTGAGCTATGAAGGTACTTATAGATAAAATCGCAGAAAACATAGTGGCTTCGGCGACACACTTTTTCAACATAACTATTGAACCAACATGGTCAATGAAAAAGGTTGAACAGTGCATAGACCATTGAAATCTGGTGTTTGGAGCAGGAGTTGAACCAGCGACCTTTGGACCACAGGGTTTCAGGAACTTCTTAAAGTCATGTGCTCTACCAACTGAGCTATGAAGGTGCTTATAGATAAAAACGCAGAAAACATAGTGGCTTCGGCGACACACTTTGCCAACACAACAATGAAGCCACCTGGTCAATGAAAAAGGATGAACAGTGCATATACAAATGAAATCTGGTGCTTGGAGCTGGAGTTGAACCAGGGACCTTTGGACCACAGCGTTTCAGGAACTTCTTACAGTCATGTGCTCTACCAACTGAGCTATGAAGGTGCTTATAGATGAAAACGGAGAAAACATAGTGGCTTCGGCGACACACTTTGCCAACACAACAATCAAGCCACCTGGTCAATGAAAAAGGTTGAACAGTGCATAGACCAATGAAATCTGGTGTTTGGAGCAGGAGTTGAACCAGCGACCTTTGAACCAGAGCGTTTCTAGAACTTCTTAAAGTCATGTGCTCTACCAAATGAGCTATGAAGGTGCTTATAGATAAAAACGCAGAAAACATAGTGGCTTCGGCGACACACTTTGCCAAAACAACAATCAAGCCACCTGGTCAATGAAAAAGGATGAACAGTGCATATACAAATGAAATCTGTTGCTTGGAGCTGGAGTTGAACCAGCGACCTTTGGACCACAGCGTTTCAGGAACTTCTTAAAGTCATGTGCTCTACCAACTGAGCTATGAAGGTGCTTATAGATAATAACGCAGAAAACATAGTGGCTTCGGCGACACACTTTGCCAAAACAACAATCAAGCCACCTGGTCAATGAAAAAGGTTGAACAGTGCATAGACCATTGAAATCTGGTGTTTGGAGTAGGAGTTGAACCAGCGACCTTTGGACCACAGCGTTTCAGGAACTTCTTAAAGTCATGTGCTCTACCAACTGAGCTATGAAGGTGCTTATAGATAAAAACGCAGAAAACATAGTGGCTTCGGCGACACACTTTGCCAAAACAACAATCAAGCCACCTGGTCAATGAAAAAGGATGAACAGTGCATATACAAATGAAATCTGGTGCTTGGAGCTGGAGTTGAACCAGCGACCTTTGGACCACAGCATTTCAGGAACTTCTTAAAGTCATGTGCTCTACCAACTGAGCTATGAAGGTGCTTATAGATAAAAACGCAGAAAACATAGTGGCTTCGGCGACACACTTTGCCAACATAACTATTGAACCAACATGGTCAATGAAAAAGGTTGAACAGTGCATAGACCAATGAAATCTGGTGTTTGGAGCAGGAGTTGAACCAGCGACCTTTGGACCACAGCGTTTCAGGAACTTCTTAAAGTCATGTGCTCTACCAACTGAGCTATGAAGGTACTTATAGATAAAATCACAGAAAACATAGTGGCTTCGGCGACACACTTTTTCAACATAACTATTGAACCAACATGGTCAATGAAAAAGGTTGAACAGTGCATAGACCAATGAAATCTGGTGTTTGGAGCAGGAATTGAACCAGCGACCTTTGGACCACAGCGTTTCAGGAACTTCTTAAAGTCATGTGCTCTACCAACTGAGCTATGAAGGTGCTTATAGATAAAAACGCAGAAAACATAGTGGCTTCGGCGACACACTTTGCCAACACAACAATCAAGCCACCTGGTCAATGAAAAAGGATGAACAGTGCATATACAAATGAAATCTGGTGTTTGGAGCTGGAGTTGAACCAGCGACCTTTGGACCACAGCGTTTCAGGAACTTCTTAAAGTCATGTGCTCTACCAACTGAGCTATGAAGGTGCTTATAGATGAAAACGCAGAAAACATAGTGGCTTCGGCGACACACTTTGCCAAAACAACAATCAAGCCACCTGGTCAATGAAAAAGGATGAACAGTGCATATACAAATGAAATCTGGTGCTTGGAGCAGGAGTTGAACCAGCGACCTTTGGACCACAGCGTTTCAGGAACTTCTTAAAGTCATGTGCTCTACCAACTGAGCTATGAAGGTGCTTATAGATAAAAACGCAGAAAACATAGTGGCTTCGGCGACACACTTTGCCAAAACAACAATCAAGCCACCTGGTCAATGAAAAAGGTTGAACAGTGCATAGAGCATTGAAATCTGGTGTTTGGAGCAGGAGTTGAACCAGCGACCTTTGGACCACAGCGTTTCAGGAACTTCTTACAGTCATGTGCTCTACCAACTGAGATATGAAGGTGCTTATAGATAAAAACGCAGAAAACATGGTGGCTTCGGCGACACACTTTGCCAAAACAACAATCAAGCCACCTGGTCAATGAAAAAGGATGAACAGTGCACATACAAATGAAATCTGGTGCTTGGAGTTGAACTAGCGACCTTTGGACCACAGCGTTTCAGGAACTTCTTAAAGTCATGTGCTCTACCAACTGAGCTATGAAGGTGCTTATAGATAAAAACGCAGAAAACATAGTGGCTTCGGCGACACACTTTGCCAAAACAACAATCAAGCCACCTGGTCAATGAAAAAGGTTGAACAGTGCATAGACCATTGAAATCTGGTGTTTGGAGCAGGAGTTGAACCAGCGACCTTTGGACCACAGCGTTTCAGGAACTTCTTACAGTCATGTGCTCTACCAACTGGGCTATGAAGGTGCTAATAGATAAAAACGCAGAAAACATAGTGGCTTCGGCGACACACTTTGCCAAAACAACAATCAAGCCACCTGGTCAATGAAAAAGGATGAACAGTGCATATACAAATGAAATCTGGTGTTTGGAGCAGGAGTTGAACCAGCGTCCTTTGGACCACAGCGTTTCAGGAACTTCTTAAAGTCATGTGCTCTACCAACTGAGCTATGAAGGTGCTTATAGATAAAAACGCAGAAAACATAGTGGCTTCGGCGACACACTTTGCCAAAACAACAATCAAGCCACCTGGTCAATGAAAAAGGTTGAACAGTGCATAGACCATTGAAATCTGGTGTTTGGAGTAGGAGTTGAACCAGCGACCTTTGGACCACAGCGTTTCAGGAACTTCTTACAGTCATGTGCTCTACCAACTGAGCTATGAAGGTGCTTATAGATAAAAACGCAGAAAACATAGTGGCTTCGGCGACACACTTTGCCAAAACAACAATCAAGCCACCTGGTCAATGAAAAAGGATGAACAGTGCATATACAAATGAAATCTGGTGTTTGGAGCAGGAGTTGAACCAGCGTCCTTTGGACCACAGCGTTTCAGGAACTTCTTAAAGTCATGTGCTCTACCAACTGAGCTATGAAGGTGCTTATAGATAAAAACGCAGAAAACATAGTGGCTTCGGCGACACACTTTGCCAACATAACTATTGAACCAACATGGTCAATGGAAAAGGTTGAACAGTGCATACACCAATGAAATCTGGTATTTGGAGCAGGAGTTGAACCAGCGACCTTTGGACAACAGTGTTTCAGGAACTTCTTAAAGTCATGTGCTCTACCAACTGAGCTATGAAGGTGCTTATAGATAAAAACGCAGAAAACATAGTGGCTTGGGCGACACACTTTGCCAAAACAACAATCAAGCCACCTGGTCAATGAAAAAGGATGAACAGTGCATATACAAATGAAATCCAGTGCTTGGAGCTGGAGTTGAACCAGCGACCTTTGGACCACAGCATTTCAGGAACTTCTTAAAGTCATGTGCTCTACCAACTGAGCTATGAAGGTGCTTATAGATAAAAACGCAGAAAACATAGTCGCTTCGGCGACACACTTTGCCAAAACAACAATCAAGCCACCTGGTCAATGAAAAAGGATGAACAGTGCATATACAAATGAAATCTGTTGCTTGGAGCTGGAGTTGAACCAGCGACGTTTGGACCACAGCGTTTCAGGAACTTCTTAAAGACATGTGCTCTACCAACTGAGCTATGAAGGTGCTTATAGATAAAAACGCAGAAAACATAGTGGCTTCGGCGACACACTTTTTCAACATAACTATTGAACCAACATGGTCAATGAAAAAGGTTGAACAGTGCATAGACCAATGAAATCTGGTGTTTGGAGCAGGAATTGAACCAGCGTCCTTTGAACCAGAGCGTTTCTAGAACTTCTTAAAGTCATGTGCTCTACCAAATGAGCTATGAAGGTGCTTATAGATAAAAACGCAGAAAACATAGTGGCTTGGGCGACACACTTTGCCAACATAACTATTGAACCAACATGGTCAATGAAAAATGTTGAACAGTGCATACACCAATGAAATCTGGTGTTTGGAGCAGGAGTTGAACCAGCGTCCTTTGGACCACAGCGTTTCAGGAACTTCTTAAAGTCATGTGCTCTACCAACTGAGCTATGAAGGTGCTTATAGATAAAAACGCAGAAAACATAGTGGCTTCGGCGACACACTTTGCCAACACAACAATCAAGCCACCTGGTCAAGGAAAAAGGTTGAACAGTGCATAGACCAATGAAATCTGGTGTTTGGAGCAGGAGTTGAACCAGCGACCTTTGAACCAGAGCGTTTCTAGAACTTCTTAAAGTCATGTGCTCTACCAAATGAGCTATGAAGGTGCTTATAGATAAAAACGCAGAAAACATAGTGGCTTCGGCGACACACTTTGCCAAAACAACAATCAAGCCACCTGGTCAATGAAAAAGGATGAACAGTGCATATACAAATGAAATCTGTTGCTTGGAGCTGGAGTTGAACCAGCGACGTTTGGACCACAGCGTTTCAGGAACTTCTTAAAGTCATGTGCTCTACCAACTGAGCTATGAAGGTGCTTATAGATAAAAACGCAGAAAACATAGTGGCTTCGGCGACACACTTTGCCAACATAACTATTGAACCAACATGGTCAATGAAAAAGGTTGAACAGTGCATAGACCATTGAAATCTGGTGTTTGGAGCTGGAGTTGAACCAGCGTCCTTTGGACCACAGCGTTTCAGGAACTTCTTAAAGTCATGTGCTCTACCAACTGAGCTATGAAGGTGCTTATAGATAAAAACGCAGAAAACATAGTGGCTTCGGCGACACACTTTGCCAACACAACAATCAAGCCACCTGGTCAATGAAAAAGGATGAACAGTGCATATACAAATGAAATCTGGTGTTTGGAGCTGGAGTTGAACCAGCGACCTTTGGACCACAGCGTTTCAGGAACTTCTTACAGTCATGTGCTCTACCAACTGAGCTATGAAGGTGCTTATAGATGAAAACGCAGAAAACATAGTGGCTTCGGCGACACACTTTGCCAAAACAACAATCAAGCCACATGGTCAATGAAAAAGGATGAACAGTGCATAGACCAATGAAATCTGGTGTTTGGAGCAGGAGTTGAACCAGCGACCTTTGGACCACAGCGTTTCAGGAACTTCTTAAAGTCATGTGCTCTACCAACTGAGCTATGAAGGTGCTTATAGATAAAAACGCAGAAAACATAGTGGCTTCGGCGACACACTTTGCCAAAACAACAATCAAGCCACCTGGTCAATGAAAAAGGATGAACAGTGCACATACAAATGAAATCTGGTGCTTGGAGCTGGAGTTGAACTAGCGACCTTTGGACCACAGCGTTTCAGGAACTTCTTAAAGTCATGTGCTCTACCAACTGAGCTATGAAGGTGCTTATAGATAAAAACGCAGAAAACATAGTGGCTTCGGCGACACACTTTGCCAAAACAACAATCAAGCCACCTGGTCAATGAAAAAGGTTGAACAGTGCATAGACCATTGAAATCTGGTGTTTGGAGTAGGAGTTGAACCAGCGACCTTTGGACCACAGCGTTTCAGGAACTTCTTACAGTCATGTGCTCTACCAACTGGGCTATGAAGGTGCTTATAGATAAAAACGCAGAAAACATAGTGGCTTCGGCGACACACTTTGCCAAAACAACAATCAAGCCACCTGGTCAATGAAAAAGGATGAACAGTGCATATACAAATGAAATCTGGTGTTTGGAGCAGGAGTTGAACCAGCGTCCTTTGGACCACAGCGTTTCAGGAACTTCTTAAAGTCATGTGCTCTACCAACTGAGCTATGAAGGTGCTTATAGATAAAAACGCAGAAAACATAGTGGCTTCGGCGACACACTTTGCCAAAACAACAATCAAGCCACCTGGTCAATGAAAAAGGTTGAACAGTGCATAGACCAATGAAATCTGGTGTTTGGAGTAGGAGTTGAACCAGCGACCTTTGGACCACAGCGTTTCAGGAACTTCTTTCAGTCATGTGCTCTACCAACTGAGCTATGAAGGTGCTTATAGATAAAAACGCAGAAAACATAGTGGCTTCGGCGACACACTTTGCCAAAACAACAATCAAGCCACCTGGTCAATGAAAAAGGATGAACAGTGCATATACAAATGAAATCTGGTGTTTGGAGCAGGAGTTGAACCAGCGTCCTTTGGACCACAGCGTTTCAGGAACTTCTTAAAGTCATGTGCTCTACCAACTGAGCTATGAAGGTGCTTATAGATAAAAACGCAGAAAACATAGTGGCTTCGGCGACACACTTTGCCAACATAACTATTGAACCAACATGGTCAATGGAAAAGGTTGAACAGTGCATACACCAATGAAATCTGGTGTTTGGAGCTGGAGTTGAACCAGCGTCCTTTGGACAACAGCGTTTCAGGAACTTCTTAAAGTCATGTGCTCTACCAACTGAGCTATGAAGGTGCTTATAGATAAAAACGCAGAAAACATAGTGGCTTGGGCGACACACTTTGCCAAAACAACAATCAAGCCACCTGGTCAATGAAAAAGGATGAACAGTGCATATACAAATGAAATCCGGTGCTTGGAGCTGGAGTTGAACCAGCGACCTTTGGACCACAGCATTTCAGGAACTTCTTAAAGTCATGTGCTCTACCAACTGAGCTATGAAGGTGCTTATAGATAAAAACGCAGAAAACATAGTGGCTTCGGCGACACACTTTGCCAACATAACTATTGAACCAACATGGTCAATGAAAAAGGTTGAACAGTGCATACACCAATGAAATCTGGTGTTTGGAGCTGGAGTTGAACCAGCGTCCTTTGGACCACAGCGTTTCAGGAACTTCTTAAAGTCATGTGCTCTACCAACTGAGCTATGAAGGTGCTTATAGATAAAAACGCAGAAAACATAGTGGCTTCGGCGACACACTTTGCCAAAACAACAATCAAGCCACCTGGTCAATGAAAAAGGATGAACAGTGCATATACAAATGAAATCCGGTGTTTGGAGCTGGAGTTGAACCAGCGACCTTTGGACCACAGCATTTCAGGAACTTCTTAAAGTCATGTGCTCTACCAACTGAGCTATGAAGGTGCTTATAGATAAAAACGCAGAAAACATAGTGGCTTCGGCGACACACTTTGCCAACATAACTATTGAACCAACATGGTCAATGAAAAAGGTTGAACACTGCATAGACCAATGAAATCTGGTGTTTGGAGCAGGAGTTGAACCAGCGTCCTTTGGACCACAGCGTTTCAGGAACTTCTTAAAGTCATGTGCTCTACCAACTGAGCTATGAAGGTGCTTATAGATGAAAACGCAGAAAACATAGTGGCTTCGGCGACACACTTTGCCAACACAACAATGAAGCAAACTGGTCAATGAAAAAGGATGAACAGTGCATATACAAATGAAATCTGGTGCTTGGAGCTGGAGTTGAACCAGGGACCTTTGGACCACAGCGTTTCAGGAACTTCTTACAGTCATGTGCTCTACCAACTGAGCTATGAAGGTGCTTATAGATGAAAACGCAGAAAACATAGTGGCTTCGGCGACACACTTTGCCAACACAACAATCAAGCCACCTGGTCAATGAAAAAGGTTGAACAGTGCATAGACCAATGAAATCTGGTGTTTGGAGCAGGAGTTGAACCAGCGACCTTTGGACCAGAGCGTTTCAGGAACTTCTTAAAGTCATGTGCTCTACCAACTGAGCTATGAAGGTGCTTATAGATAAAAACGCAGAAAACATAGTGGCTTCGGCGACACACTTTGCCAAAACAACAATCAAGCCACCTGGTCAATGAAAAAGGATGAACAGTGCATATACAAATGAAATCTGGTGCTTGGAGCTGGAGTTGAACCAGCAACCTTTGGACCACAGCGTTTCAGGAACTTCTTAAAGTCATGTGCTCTACCAACTGAGCTATGAAGGTGCTTATAGATAAAAACGCAGAAAACATAGTGGCTTGGGCGACACACTTTGCCAAAACAACAATCAAGCCACCTGGTCAATGAAAAAGGATGAACAGTGCATATACAAATGAAATCTGGTGTTTGGAGCAGGAGTTGAACCAGCGACCTTTGGACCACAGCGTTTCAGGAACTTCTTAAAGTCATGTGCTCTACCAACTGAGCTATGAAGGTGCTTATAGATAAAAACGCAGAAAACATAGTGGCTTCGGCGACACACTTTGCCAAAACAACAATCAAGCCACCTGGTCAATGAAAAAGGTTGAACAGTGCATAGACCATTGAAATCTGGTGTTTGGAGTAGGAGTTGAACCAGCGACCTTTGGACCACAGCGTTTCAGGAACTTCTTACAGTCATGTGCTCTACCAACTGAGCTATGAAAGTGCTTATAGATAAAAACGCAGAAAACATAGTGGCTTCGGCGACACACTTTGCCATAACAACAATCAAGCCACCTGGTCAATGAAAAAGGATGAACAGTGCATATACAAATGAAATCTGGTGTTTGGAGCAGGAGTTGAACCAGCGTCCTTTGGACCACAGCGTTTCAGGAACTTCTTAAAGTCATGTGCTCTACCAACTGAGCTATGAAGGTGCTTATAGATAAAAACGCAGAAAACATAGTGGCTTCGGCGACACACTTTGCCAACATAACTATTGAACCAACATGGTCAATGAAAAATGTTGAACAGTGCATACACCAATGAAATCTGGTGTTTGGAGCAGGAGTTGAACCAGCGTCCTTTGGACCACAGCGTTTCAGGAACTTCTTAAAGTCATGTGCTCTACCAACTGAGCTATGAAGGTGCTTATAGATAAAAACGCAGAAAACATAGTGGCTTCGGCGACACACTTTGCCAAAACAACAATCAAGCCACCTGGTCAATGAAAAAGGTTGAACAGTGCATAGACCAATGAAATCTGGTGTTTGGAGTAGGAGTTGAACCAGCGACCTTTGGACCACAGCGTTTCAGGAACTTCTTACAGTCATGTGCTCTACCAACTGGGCTATGAAGGTGCTTATAGATAAAAACGCAGAAAACATAGTGGCTTCGGCGACACACTTTGCCAAAACAACAATCAAGCCACCTGGTCAATGAAAAAGGATGAACAGTGCATATACAAATGAAATCTGGTGTTTGGAGCAGGAGTTGAACCAGCGACCTTTGGACCACAGCGTTTCAGGAACTTCTTACAGTCATGTGCTCTACCAACTGAGCTATGAAGGTGCTTATAGATAAAAACGCAGAAAACATAGTGGCTTCGGCGACACACTTTGCCAAAACAACAATCAAGCCACCTGGTCAATGAAAAAGGATGAACAGTGTATATACAAATGAAATCTGGTGTTTGGAGCAGGAGTTGAACCAGCGTCCTTTGGACCACAGCGTTTCAGGAACTTCTTAAAGTCATGTGCTCTACCAACTGAGCTATGAAGGTGCTTATAGATAAAAACGCAGAAAACATAGTGGCTTCGGCGACACACTTTGCCAAAACAACAATCAAGCCACCTGGTCAATGAAAAAGGTTGAACAGTGCATAGACCATTGAAATCTGGTGTTTGGAGTAGGAGTTGAACCAGCGACCTTTGGACCACAGCGTTTCAGGAACTTCTTACAGTCATGTGCTCTACCAACTGAGCTATGAAGGTGCTTATAGATAAAAACGCAGAAAACATAGTGGCTTCGGCGACACACTTTGCCAAAACAACAATCAAGCCACCTGGTCAATGAAAAAGGATGAACAGTGGATATACAAATGAAATCTGGTGTTTGGAGCAGGAGTTGAACCAGCGTCCTTTGGACCACAGCGTTTCAGGAACTTCTTAAAGTCATGTGCTCTACCAACTGAGCTATGAAGGTGCTTATAGATAAAAACGCAGAAAACATAGTGGCTTCGGCGACACACTTTGCCAACATAACTATTGAACCAACATGGTCAATGGAAAAGGTTGAACAGTGCATACACCAATGAAATCTGGTGTTTGGAGCTGGAGTTGAACCAGCGTCCTTTGGACAACAGCGTTTCAGGAACTTCTTAAAGTCATGTGCTCTACCAACTAGGCTATGAAGGTGCTTATAGATAAAAACGCAGAAAACATAGTGGCTTGGGCGACACACTTTGCCAAAACAACAATCAAGCCACCTGGTCAATGAAAAAGGATGAACAGTGCATATACAAATGAAATCTGGTGCTTGGAGCTGGAGTTGAACCAGCGACCTTTGGACCACAGCATTTCAGGAACTTCTTAAAGTCATGTGCTCTACCAACTGAGCTATGAAGGTGCTTATAGATAAAAACGCAGAAAACATAGTGGCTTCGGCGACACACTTTGCCAACATAACTATTGAACCAACATGGTCAATGAAAAAGGTTGAACAGTGCATACACCAATGAAATCTGGTGTTTGGAGCTGGAGTTGAACCAGCGACCTTTGGACCACAGCGTTTCAGGAACTTCTTAAAGTCATGTGCTGTACCAACTGAGCTACGAAGGTGCTTATAGATAAAAACGCAGAAAACATAGTGGCTTCGGCGACACACTTTGCCAAAACAACAATCAAGCCACCTGGTCAATGAAAAAGGATGAACAGTGCATATACAAATGAAATCCGGTGTTTGGAGCTGGAGTTGAACCAGCGACCTTTGGACCACAGCATTTCAGGAACTTCTTAAAGTCATGTGCTCTACCAACTGAGCTATGAAGGTGCTTATAGATAAAAACGCAGAAAACATAGTGGCTTCGGCGACACACTTTGCCAACATAACTATTGAACCAACATGGTCAATGAAAAAGGTTGAACAGTGCATAGACCAATGAAATCTGGTGTTTGGAGCAGGAGTTGAACCAGCGACCTTTGGACCACAGCGTTTCAGGAACTTCTTAAAGTCATGTGCTCTACCAACTGAGCTATGAAGGTGCTTATAGATAAAAACGCAGAAAACATAGTGGCTTCGGCGACACACTTTGCCAACACAACAATGAAGCAAACTGGTCAATGAAAAAGGATGAACAGTGCATATACAAATGAAATCTGGTGCTTGGAGCTGGAGTTGAACCAGGGACCTTTGGACCACAGCGTTTCAGGAACTTCTTACAGTCATGTGCTCTACCAAATGAGCTATGAAGGTGCTTATAGATGAAAACGGAGAAAACATAGTGGCTTCGGCGACACACTTTGCCAACACAACAATCAAGCCACCTGGTCAATGAAAAAGGTTGAACAGTGCATAGACCAATGAAATCTGGTGTTTGGAGCAGGAGTTGAACCAGCGACCTTTGAACCAGAGCGTTTCTAGAACTTCTTAAAGTCATGTGCTCTACCAAATGAGCTATGAAGGTGCTTATAGATAAAAACGCAGAAAACATAGTGGCTTCGGCGACACACTTTGCCAAAACAACAATCAAGCCACCTGGTCAATGAAAAAGGATGAACAGTGCATATACAAATGAAATCTGTTGCTTGGAGCTGGAGTTGAACCAGCGACCTTTGGACCACAGCGTTTCAGGAACTTCTTAAAGTCATGTGCTCTACCAACATAGCTATGAAGGTGCTTATAGATAAAAACGCAGAAAACATAGTGGCTTCGGCGACACACTTTGCCAAAACAACAATCAAGCCACCTGGTCAATGAAAAAGGTTGAACAGTGCATAGAACATTGAAATCTGGTGTTTGGAGTAGGAGTTGAACCAGCGACCTTTGGACCACAGCGTTTCAGGAACTTCTTACAGTCATGTGCTCTACCAACTGAGCTATGAAGGTGCTTATAGATAAAAACGCAGAAAACATAGTGGCTTCGGCGACACACTTTGCCAAAACAACAATCAAGCCACCTGGTCAATGAAAAAGGATGAACAGTGCATATACAAATGAAATCTGGTGTTTGGAGCAGGAGGTGAACCAGCGACCTTTGGACCACAGCGTTTCAGGAACTTCTTAAAGTCATGTGCTCTACCAACTGAGCTATGAAGGTGCTTATAGATAAAAACGCAGAAAACATAGTGGATTGGGCGACACACTTTGCCAAAACAACAATCAAGCCACCTGGTCAATGAAAAAGGTTGAACAGTGCATAGAACATTGAAATCTGGTGTTTGGAGTAGGAGTTGAACGAGCGACCTTTGGACCACAGCGTTTCAGGAACTTCTTACAGTCATGTGCTCTACCAACTGAGCTATGAAAGTGCTTATAGATAAAAACGCAGAAAACATAGTGGCTTCGGCGACACACTTTGCCAAAACCACAATCAAGCCACCTGGTCAATGAAAAAGGATGAACAGTGCATATACAAATGAAATCTGGTGTTTGGAGCAGGAGTTGAACCAGCGTCCTTTGGACCACAGCGTTTCAGGAACTTCTTAAAGTCATGTGCTCTACCAACTGAGCTATGAAGGTGCTTATAGATAAAAACGCAGAAAACATAGTGGCTTCGGCGACACACTTTGCCAACATAACTATTGAACCAACATGGTCAATGAAAAAGGTTGAACAGTGCATACACCAATGAAATCTGGTGTTTGGAGCAGGAGTTGAAACAGCGTCCTTTGGACCACAGCGTTTCAGGAACTTCTTAAAGTCATGTGCTCTACCAACTGAGCTATGAAGGTGCTTATAGATAAAAACGCAGAAAACATAGTGGCTTCGGCGACACACTTTGCCAACATAACTATTGAACCAACATGGTCAATGAAAAAGGTTGAACAGTGCATAGACCATTGAAATCTGGTGTTTGGAGCAGGAGTTGAACCAGCGACCTTTGGACCACAGCGTTTCAGGAACTTCTTAAAGTCATCTGCTCAACCAACTGAGCTATGAAGGTGCTTATAGATAAAAACGCAGAAAACATAGTGGCTTCGGCGACACACTTTGCCAACACAACAATCAAGCCACCTGGTCAATGAAAAAGGATGAACAGTGCATATACAAATGAAATCTGGTGCTTTGAGCTGGAGTTGAACCAGGGACCTTTGGACCACAGCGTTTCAGGAACTTCTTACAGTCATGTGCTCTACCAACTGAGCTATGAAGGTGCTTATAGATGAAAACGCAGAAAACATAGTGGCTTCGGCGACACACTTTGCCAAAACAACAATCAAGCCACCTGGTCAATGAAAAAGGATGAACAGTGCATATAGAAATGAAATCTGTTGCTTGGAGCAGGAGTTGAACCAGCGACCTTTGGACCACAGCGTTTCAGGAACTTCTTAAAGTCATGTGCTCTACCAACTGAGCTATGAAGGTGCTTATAGATAAAAACGCAGAAAACATAGTGGCTTCGGCGACACACTTTGCCAAAACAACAATCAAGCCACCTGGTCAATGAAAAAGGTTGAACACTGCATAGAGCATTGAAATCTGGTGTTTGGAGTAGGAGTTGAACCAGCGACCTTTGGACCACAGCGTTTCAGGAACTTCTTACAGTCATGTGCTCTACCAACTGGGCTATGAAGGTGCTTATAGATAAAAATGCAGAAAACATAGTGGCTTCGGCGACACACTTTGCCAAAACAACAATCAAGCCACCTGGTCAATGAAAAAGGATGAACAGTGCATATACAAATGAAATCTGGTGTTTGGAGCAGGAGTTGAACCAGCGTCCTTTGGACCACAGCGTTTCAGGAACTTCTTAAAGTCATGTGCTCTACCAACTGAGCTATGAAGGTGCTTATAGATAAAAACGCAGAAAACATAGTGGCTTCGGCGACACACTTTGCCAAAACAACAATCAAGCCACCTGGTCAATGAAAAAGGTTGAACAGTGCATAGACCATTGAAATCTGGTGTTTGGAGTAGGAGTTGAACCAGTGACCTTTGGACCACAGCGTTTCAGGAACTTCTTTCAGTCATGTGCTCTACCAACTGAGCTATGAAGGTGCTTATAGATAAAAACGCAGAAAACATAGTGGCTTCGGCGACACACTTTGCCAAAACAACAATCAAGCCACCTGGTCAATGAAAAAGGATGAACAGTGCATATACAAATGAAATCTGGTGTTTGGAGCAGGAGTTGAACGAGCGACCTTTGGACCACAGCGTTTCAGGAACTTCTTAAAGTCATGTGCTCTACCAACTGAGCTATGAAGGTGCTTATAGATAAAAACGCAGAAAACATAGTGGCTTCGGCGACACACTTTGCCAACATAACTATTGAACCAACATGGTCAATGGAAAAGGTTGAACAGTGCATACACCAATGAAATCTGGTGTTTGGAGCTGGAGTTGAACCAGCGTCCTTTGGACCACAGCGTTTCAGGAACTTCTTAAAGTCATGTGCTCTACCAACTGAGCTATGAAGGTGCTTATAGATAAAAACGCAGAAAACATAGTGGCTTGGGCGACACACTTTGCCAAAACAACAATCAAGCCACCTGGTCAATGAAAAAGGATGAACAGTGCATATACAAATGAAATCCGGTGCTTGGAGCTGGAGTTGAACCAGCGACCTTTGGACCACAGCATTTCAGGAACTTCTTAAAGTCATGTGCTCTACCAACTGAGCTATGAAGGTGCTTATAGATAAAAACGCAGAAAACATAGTGGCTTCGGCGACACACTTTGCCAACATAACTATTGAACCAACATGGTCAATGAAAAAGGTTGAACAGTGCATACACCAATGAAATCTGGTGTTTGGAGCTGGAGTTGAACCAGCGTCCTTTGGACCACAGCGTTTCAGGAACTTCTTAAAGTCATGTGCTCTACCAACTGAGCTATGAAGGTGCTTATAGATAAAAACGCAGAAAACATAGTGGCTTCGGCGACACACTTTGCCAAAACAACAATCAAGCCACCTGGTCAATGAAAAAGGATGAACAGTGCATATACAAATGAAATCCGGTGTTTGGAGCTGGAGTTGAACCAGCGACCTTTGGACCACAGCATTTCAGGAACTTCTTAAAGTCATGTGCTCTACCAACTGAGCTATGAAGGTGCTTATAGATAAAAACGCAGAAAACATAGTGGCTTCGGCGACACACTTTGCCAACATAACTATTGAACCAACATGGTCAATGAAAAAGGTTGAACAGTGCATAGACCAATGAAATCTGGTGTTTGGAGCAGGAGTTGAACCAGCGTCCTTTGGACCACAGCGTTTCAGGAACTTCTTAAAGTCATGTGCTCTACCAACTGAGCTATGAAGGTGCTTATAGATAAAAACGCAGAAAACATAGTGGCTTCGGCGACACACTTTGCCAAACAACAATGAAGCAAACTGGTCAATGAAAAAGGATGAACAGTGCATATACAAATGAAATCTGGTGTTTGGAGCTGGAGTTGAACCAGGGACCTTTGGACCACAGCGTTTCAGGAACTTCTTACAGTCATGTGCTCTACCAAATGAGCTATGAAGGTGCTTATAGATGAAAACGGAGAAAACATAGTGGCTTCGGCGACACACTTTGCCAACACAACAATCAAGCCACCTGGTCAATGAAAAAGGTTGAACAGTGCATAGACCAATGAAATCTGGTGTTTGGAGCAGGAGTTGAACCAGCGACCTTTGAACCAGAGCGTTTCTAGAACTTCTTAAAGTCATGTGCTCTACCAAATGAGCTATGAAGGTGCTTATAGATAAAAACGCAGAAAACATAGTGGCTTCGGCGACACACTTTGCCAAAACAACAATCAAGCCACCTGGTCAATGAAAAAGGATGAACAGTGCATATACAAATGAAATCTGTTGCTTGGAGCTGGAGTTGAACCAGCGACCTTTGGACCACAGCGTTTCAGGAACTTCTTAAAGTCATGTGCTCTACCAACTGAGCTATGAAGGTGCTTATAGATAAAAACGCAGAAAACATAGTGGCTTCGGCGACACACTTTGCCAAAACAACAATCAAGCCACCTGGTCAATGAAAAAGGTTGAACAGTGCATAGAACATTGAAATCTGGTGTTTGGAGTAGGAGTTGAACCAGCGACCTTTGGACCACAGCGTTTCGGGAACTTCTTACAGTCATGTGCTCTACCAACTGAGCTATGAAGGTGCTTATAGATAAAAACGCAGAAAACATAGTGGCTTCGGCGACACACTTTGCCAAAACAACAATCAAGCCACCTGGTCAATGAAAAAGGATGAACAGTGCATATACAAATGAAATCTGGTGTTTGGAGCAGGAGTTGAACCAGCGACCTTTGGACCACAGCGTTTCAGGAACTTCTTAAAGTCATGTGCTCTACCAACTGAGCTATGAAGGTGCTTATAGATAAAAACGCAGAAAACATAGTGGCTTCGGCGACACACTTTGCCAAAACAACAATCAAGCCACCTGGTCAATGAAAAAGGTTGAACAGTGCATAGACCATTGAAATCTGGTGTTTGGAGTAGGAGTTGAACCAGCGACCTTTGGACCACAGCGTTTCAGGAACTTCTTAAAGTCATGTGCTCTACCAACTGGGCTATGAAGGTGCTTATAGATAAAAACGCAGAAAACATAGTGGCTTCGGCGACACACTTTGCAACAAAACAACAATCAAGCCACCTGGTCAATGAAAAAGGATGAACAGTGCATATACAAATGAAATCTGGTGTTTGGAGCAGGAGTTGAACCAGCGTCCTTTGGACCACAGCGTTTCAGGAACTTCTTAAAGTCATGTGCTCTACCAACTGAGCTATGAAGGTGCTTATAGATAAAAACGCAGAAAACATAGTGGCTTCGGCGACACACTTTGCCAAAACAACAATCAAGCCACCTGGTCAATGAAAAAGGTTGAACAGTGCATAGACCATTGAAATCTGGTGTTTGGAGTAGGAGTTGAACCAGCGACCTTTGGAACACAGCGTTTCAGGAACTTCTTACAGTCATGTGCTCTACCAACTGAGCTATGAAGGTGCTTATAGATAAAAACGCAGAAAACATAGTGGCTTCGGCGACACACTTTGCCAAAACAACAATCAAGCCACCTGGTCAATGAAAAAGGATGAACAGTGCATATACAAATGAAATCTGTTGTTTGGAGCTGGAGTTGAACCAGCGACCTTTGGACCACAGCGTTTCAGGAACTTCTTAAAGTCATGTGCTCTACCAACTGAGCTATGAAGGTGCTTATAGATAAAAACGCAGAAAACATAGTGGCTTCGGCGACACACTTTGCCAAAACAACAATCAAGCCACCTGGTCAATGAAAAAGGTTGAACAGTGCATAGAACATTGAAATCTGGTGTTTGGAGTAGGAGTTGAACCAGCGACCTTTGGACCACAGCGTTTCGGGAACTTCTTACAGTCATGTGCTCTACCAACTGAGCTATGAAGGTGCTTATAGATAAAAACGCAGAAAACATAGTGGCTTCGGCGACACACTTTGCCAAAACAACAATCAAGCCACCTGGTCAATGAAAAAGGATGAACAGTGCATATACAAATGAAATCTGGTGTTTGGAGCAGGAGTTGAACCAGCGACCTTTGGACCACAGCGTTTCAGGAACTTCTTAAAGTCATGTGCTCTACCAACTGAGCTATGAAGGTGCTTATAGATAAAAACGCAGAAAACATAGTGGCTTCGGCGACACACTTTGCCAAAACAACAATCAAGCCACCTGGTCAATGAAAAAGGTTGAACAGTGCATAGACCATTGAAATCTGGTGTTTGGAGTAGGAGTTGAACCAGCGACCTTTGGACCACAGCGTTTCAGGAACTTCTTACAGTCATGTGCTCTACCAACTGAGCTATGAAAGTGCTTATAGATAAAAACGCAGAAAACATAGTGGCTTCGGCGACACACTTTGCCATAACAACAATCAAGCCACCTGGTCAATGAAAAAGGATGAACAGTGCATATACAAATGAAATCTGGTGTTTGGAGCAGGAGTTGAACCAGCGTCCTTTGGACCACAGCGTTTCAGGAACTTCTTAAAGTCATGTGCTCTACCAACTGAGCTATGAAGGTGCTTATAGATAAAAACGCAGAAAACATAGTGGCTTCGGCGACACACTTTGCCAACATAACTATTGAACCAACATGGTCAATGAAAAATGTTGAACAGTGCATACACCAATGAAATCTGGTGTTTGGAGCAGGAGTTGAACCAGCGTCCTTTGGACCACAGCGTTTCAGGAACTTCTTAAAGTCATGTGCTCTACCAACTGAGCTATGAAGGTGCTTATAGATAAAAACGCAGAAAACATAGTGGCTTCGGCGACACACTTTGCCAACACAACAATCAAGCCACCTGGTCAAGGAAAAAGGTTGAACAGTGCATAGACCAATGAAATCTGGTGTTTGGAGCAGGAGTTGAACCAGCGACCTTTGAACCAGAGCGTTTCTAGAACTTCTTAAAGTCATGTGCTCTACCAAATGAGCTATGAAGGTGCTTATAGATAAAAACGCAGAAAACATAGTGGCTTCGGCGACACACTTTGCCAAAACAACAATCAAGCCACCTGGTCAATGAAAAAGGTTGAACAGTGCATAGACCATTGAAATCTGGTGTTTGGAGTAGGAGTTGAACCAGCGACCTTTGGACCACAGCGTTTCAGGAACTTCTTACAGTCATGTGCTCTACCAACTGGGCTATGAAGGTGCTTATAGATAAAAACGCAGAAAACATAGTGGCTTCGGCGACACACTTTGCCAAAACAACAATCAAGCCACCTGGTCAATGAAAAAGGATGAACAGTGCATATACAAATGAAATCTGGTGTTTGGAGCAGGAGTTGAACCAGCGTCCTTTGGACCACAGCGTTTCAGGAACTTCTTAAAGTCATGTGCTCTACCAACTGAGCTATGAAGGTGCTTATAGATAAAAACGCAGAAAACATAGTGGCTTCGGCGACACACTTTGCCAAAACAACAATCAAGCCACCTGGTCAATGAAAAAGGTTGAACAGTGCATAGACCATTGAAATCTGGTGTTTGGAGTAGGAGTTGAACCAGCGACCTTTGGAACACAGCGTTTCAGGAACTTCTTAAAGTCATGTGCTCTACCAACTGAGCTATGAAGGTGCTTATAGATAAAAACGCAGAAAACATAGTGGCTTCGGCGACACACTTTGCCAAAACAACAATCAAGCCACCTGGTCAATGAAAAAGGATGAACAGTGCATATACAAATGAAATCTGGTGTTTGGAGCAGGAGTTGAACCAGCGTCCTTTGGACCACAGCGTTTCAGGAACTTCTTAAAGTCATGTGCTCTACCAACTGAGCTATGAAGGTGCTTATAGATAAAAACGCAGAAAACATAGTGGCTTCGGCGACACACTTTGCCAACAAAACTATTGAACCAACATGGTCAATGGAAAAGGTTGAACAGTGCATACACCAATGAAATCTGGTGTTTGGAGCTGGAGTTGACCAGCGTCCTTTGGACAACAGCGTTTCAGGAACTTCTTAAAGTCATGTGCTCTACCAACTGAGCTATGAAGGTGCTTATAGATAAAAACGCAGAAAACATAGTGGCTTCGGCGACACACTTTGCCAAAACAACAATCAAGCCACCTGGTCAATGAAAAAGGATGAACAGTGCATATACAAATGAAATCCGGTGTTTGGAGCTGGAGTTGAACCAGCGACCTTTGGACCACAGCATTTCAGGAACTTCTTAAAGTCATGTGCTCTACCAACTGAGCTATGAAGGTGCTTATAGATAAAAACGCAGAAAACATAGTGGCTTCGGCGACACACTTTGCCAACATAACTATTGGAACCAACATGGTCAATGAAAAAGGTTGAACAGTGCATAGACCAATGAAATCTGGTGTTTGGAGCAGGAGTTGAACCAGCGTCCTTTGGACCACAGCGTTTCAGGAACTTCTTAAAGTCATGTGCTCTACCAACTGAGCTATGAAGGTGCTTATATATAAAAACGCAGAAAACATAGTGGCTTGGGCGACACACTTTGCCAACACAACAATGAAGCAAACTGGTCAATGAAAAAGGATGAACAGTGCATATACAAATGAAATCTGGTGCTTGGAGCTGGAGTTGAACCAGCGACCTTTGGACCACAGCGTTTCAGGAACTTCTTACAGTCATGTGCTCTACCAACTGAGCTATGAAGGTGCTTATAGATGAAAACGGAGAAAACATAGTGGCTTCGGCGACACACTTTGCCAACACAACAATCAAGCCACCTGGTCAATGAAAAAGGTTGAACAGTGCATAGACCAATGAAATCTGGTGTTTGGAGCAGGAGTTGAACCAGCGACCTTTGAACCAGAGCGTTTCTAGAACTTCTTAAAGTCGTGTGCTCTACCAAATGAGCTATGAAGGTGCTTATAGATAAAAACGCAGAAAACATAGTGGCTTCGGCGACACACTTTGCCAAAACAACAATCAAGCCACCTGGTCAATGAAAAAGGATGAACAGTGCATATACAAATGAAATCTGTTGCTTGGAGCTGGAGTTGAACCAGCGACCTTTGGAACACAGCGTTTCAGGAACTTCTTAAAGTCATGTGCTCTACCAACTGAGCTATGAAGGTGCTTATAGATAAAAACGCAGAAAACATAGTGGCTTCGGCGACACACTTTGCCAAAACAACAATCAAGCCACCTGGTCAATGAAAAAGGTTGAACAGTGCATAGAACATTGAAATCTGGTGTTTGGAGTAGGAGTTGAACCAGCGACCTTTGGACCACAGCGTTTCAGGAACTTCTTACAGTCATGTGCTCTACCAACTGAGCTATGAAGGTGCTTATAGATGAAAACGCAGAAAACATAGTGGCTTCGGCGACACACTTTGCCAAAACAACAATCAAGCCACCTGGTCAATGAAAAAGGATGAACAGTGCATATACAAATGAAATCTGGTGTTTGGAGCAGGAGTTGAACCAGCGACCTTTGGACCACAGCGTTTCAGGAACTTCTTAAAGTCATGTGCTCTACCAACTGAGCTATGAAGGTGCTTATAGATAAAAACGCAGAAAACATAGTGGCTTCGGCGACACACTTTGCCAAAACAACAATCAAGCCACCTGGTCAATGAAAAAGGTTGAACAGTGCATAGACCATTGAAATCTGGTGTTTGGAGTAGGAGTTGAACCAGCGACCTTTGGACCACAGCGTTTCAGGAACTTCTTACAGTCATGTGCTCTACCAACTGAGCTATGAAAGTGCTTATAGATAAAAACGCAGAAAACATAGTGGCTTCGGCGACACACTTTGCCAACACAACAATTAAACTACATGGTCAATGAAAAAGCTTGAACAGTGCATATACCAATGAAATCCGGTGCTTTCTAGCTGGAGTTAAACCAGCGACCTTTGGACCACAGCGTTTCAGGAACTTCTTACAGTCATGTGCTCTACCAACTGAGCTATGAAGGTGCTTATAGATGAAAACGCAGAAAACATAGTGGCTTCGGCGACACACTTTGCCAAAACAACAATCAAGCCACCTGGTCAATGAAAAAGGATGAACAGTGCATATACAAATGAAATCTGTTGCTTGGAGCAGGAGTTGAACCAGCGACCTTTGGACCACAGCGTTTCAGGAACTTCTTAAAGTCATGTGCTCTACCAACTGAGCTATGAAGGTGCTTATAGATAAAAACGCAGAAAACATAGTGGCTTCGGCGACACACTTTGCCAAAACAACAATCAAGCCACCTGGTCAATGAAAAAGGTTGAACAGTGCATAGAGCATTGAAATCTGGTGTTTGGAGCAGGAGTTGAACCAGCGACCTTTGGACCACAGCGTTTCAGGAACTTCTTACAGTCATGTGCTCTACCAACTGAGATATGAAGGTGCTTATAGATAAAAACGCAGAAAACATGGTGGCTTCGGCGACACACTTTGCCAAAACAACAATCAAGCCACCTGGTCAATGAAAAAGGATGAACAGTGCATAGAACATTGAAATCTGGTGCTTGGAGCTGGAGTTGAACTAGCGACCTTTGGACCACAGCGTTTCAGGAACTTCTTAAAGTCATGTGCTCTACCAACTGAGCTATGAAGGTGCTTATAGATAAAAACGCAGAAAACATAGTGGCTTCGGCGACACACTTTGCCAAAACAACAATCAAGCCACCTGGTCAATGAAAAAGGTTGAACAGTGCATATACAAATGAAATCTGGTGTTTGGAGTAGGAGTTGGACCAGCGACCTTTGGACCACAGCGTTTCAGGAACTTCTTAAAGTCATGTGCTCTACCAACTGAGCTATGAAGGTGCTTATAGATAAAAACGCAGAAAACATAGTGGCTTCGGCGACACACTTTGCCAAAACAACAATCAAGCCACCTGGTCAATGAAAAAGGTTGAACAGTGCATAGACCATTGAAATCTGGTGTTTGGAGTAGGAGTTGAACCAGCGACCTTTGGACCACAGCGTTTCAGGAACTTCTTACAGTCATGTGCTCTACCAACTGAGCTATGAAGGTGCTTATAGATAAAAACGCAGAAAACATAGTGGCTTCGGCGACACACTTTGCCAAAACAACAATCAAGCCACCTGGTCAATGAAAAAGGATGAACAGTGCATATACAAATGAAATCTGGTGTTTGGAGCAGGAGTTGAACCAGCGTCCTTTGGACCACAGCGTTTCAGGAACTTCTTAAAGTCATGTGCTCTACCAACTGAGCTATGAAGGTGCTTATAGATAAAAACGCAGAAAACATAGTGGCTTCGGCGACACACTTTGCCAACATAACTATTGAACCAACATGGTCAATGGAAAAGGTTGAACAGTGCATACACCAATGAAATCTGGTGTTTGGAGCTGGAGTTGAACCAGCGTCCTTTGGACAACAGCGTTTCAGGAACTTCTTAAAGTCATGTGCTCTACCAACTGAGCTATGAAGGTGCTTATAGATAAAAACGCAGAAAACATAGTGGCTTGGGCGACACACTTTGCCAAAACAACAATCAAGCCACCTGGTCAATGAAAAAGGATGAACAGTGCATATACAAATGAAATCCGGTGCTTGGAGCTGGAGTTGAACCAGCGACCTTTGGACCACAGCATTTCAGGAACTTCTTAAAGTCATGTGCTTTACCAACTGAGCTATGAAGGTGCTTATAGATAAAAACGCAGAAAACATAGTGGCTTCGGCGACACACTTTGCCAACATAACTATTGAACCAACATGGTCAATGAAAAAGGTTGAACAGTGCATACACCAATGAAATCTGGTGTTTGGAGCTGGAGTTGAACCAGCGTCCTTTGGACCACAGCGTTTCAGGAACTTATTAAAGTCATGTGCTCTACCAACTGAGCTATGAAGGTGCTTATAGATAAAAACGCAGAAAACATAGTGGCTTGGGCGACACACTTTGCCAAAACAACAATCAAGCCACCTGGTCAATGAAAAAGGATGAACAGTGCATATACAAATGAAATCTGGTGCTTGGAGCTGGAGTTGAACCAGCGACCTTTGGACCACAGCATTTCAGGAACTTCTTAAAGTCATGTGCTCTACCAACTGAGCTATGAAGGTGCTTATAGATAAAAACGCAGAAAACATAGTGGCTTCGGCGACACACTTTGCCAACATAACTATTGAACCAACATGGTCAATGAAAAAGGTTGAACAGTGCATACACCAATGAAATCTGGTGTTTGGAGCTGGAGTTGAACCAGCGTCCTTTGGACCACAGCGTTTCAGGAACTTCTTAAAGTCATGTGCTCTACCAACTGAGCTATGAAGGTGCTTATAGATAAAAACGCAGAAAACATAGTGGCTTCGGCGACACACTTTGCCAAAACAACAATCAAGCCACCTGGTCAATGAAAAAGGATGAACAGTGCATATACAAATGAAATCCGGTGTTTGGAGCTGGAGTTGAACCAGCGACCTTTGGACCACAGCATTTCAGGAACTTCTTAAAGTCATGTGCTCTACCAACTGAGCTATGAAGGTGCTTATAGATAAAAACGCAGAAAACATAGTGGCTTCGGCGACACACTTTGCCAACATAACTATTGAACCAACATGGTCAATGAAAAAGGTTGAACAGTGCATAGACCAATGAAATCTGGTGTTTGGAGCAGGAGTTGAACCAGCGTCCTTTGGACCACAGCGTTTCAGGAACTTCTTAAAGTCATGTGCTCTACCAACTGAGCTATGAAGGTGCTTATAGATAAAAACGCAGAAAACATAGTGGCTTCGGCGACACACTTTGCCAACACAACAATGAAGCAAACTGGTCAATGAAAAAGGATGAACAGTGCATATACAAATGAAATCTGGTGCTTGGAGCTGGAGTTGAACCAGGGACCTTTGGACCACAGCGTTTCAGGAACTTCTTACAGTCATGTGCTCTACCAAATGAGCTATGAAGGTGCTTATAGATGAAAACGGAGAAAACATAGTGGCTTCGGCGACACACTTTGCCAACACAACAATCAAGCCACCTGGTCAATGAAAAAGGTTGAACAGTGCATAGACCAATGAAATCTGGTGTTTGGAGCAGGAGTTGAACCAGCGACCTTTGAACCAGAGCGTTTCTAGAACTTCTTAAAGTCATGTGCTCTACCAAATGAGCTATGAAGGTGCTTATAGATAAAAACGCAGAAAACATAGTGGCTTCGGCGACACACTTTGCCAAAACAACAATCAAGCCACCTGGTCAATGAAAAAGGATGAACAGTGCATATACAAATGAAATCTGTTGCTTGGAGCTGGAGTTGAACCAGCGACCTTTGGACCACAGCGTTTCAGGAACTTCTTAAAGTCATGTGCTCTACCAACTGAGCTATGAAGGTGCTTATAGATAAAAACGCAGAAAACATAGTGGCTTCGGCGACACACTTTGCCAAAACAACAATCAAGCCACCTGGTCAATGAAAAAGGTTGAACAGTGCATAGAACATTGAAATCTGGTGTTTGGAGTAGGAGTTGAACCAGCGACCTTTGGACCACAGCGTTTCAGGAACTTCTTACAGTCATGTGCTCTACCAACTGAGCTATGAAGGTGCTTATAGATAAAAACGCAGAAAACATAGTGGCTTCGGCGACACACTTTGCCAAAACAACAATCAAGCCACCTGGTCAATGAAAAAGGATGAACAGTGCATATACAAATGAAATCTGGTGTTTGGAGCAGGAGTTGAACCAGCGACCTTTGGACCACAGCGTTTCAGGAACTTCTTAAAGTCATGTGCTCTACCAACTGAGCTATGAAGGTGCTTATAGATAAAAACGCAGAAAACATAGTGGCTTCGGCGACACACTTTGCCAAAACAACAATCAAGCCACCTGGTCAATGAAAAAGGTTGAACAGTGCATAGACCATTGAAATCTGGTGTTTGGAGTAGGAGTTGAACCAGCGACCTTTGGACCACAGCGTTTCAGGAACTTCTTACAGTCATGTGCTCTACCAACTGAGCTATGAAAGTGCTTATAGATAAAAACGCAGAAAACATAGTGGCTTCGGCGACACACTTTGCCATAACAACAATCAAGCCACCTGGTCAATGAAAAAGGATGAACAGTGCATATACAAATGAAATCTGGTGTTTGGAGCAGGAGTTGAACCAGCGTCCTTTGGACCACAGCGTTTCAGGAACTTCTTAAAGTCATGTGCTCTACCAACTGAGCTATGAAGGTGCTTATAGATAAAAACGCAGAAAACATAGTGGCTTCGGCGACACACTTTGCCAACATAACTATTGATCCAACATGGTCAATGAAAAATGTTGAACAGTGCATACACCAATGAAATCTGGTGTTTGGAGCAGGAGTTGAACCAGCGTCCTTTGGACCACAGCGTTTCAGGAACTTCTTAAAGTCATGTGCTCTACCAACTGAGCTATGAAGGTGCTTATAGATAAAAACGCAGAAAACATAGTGGCTTCGGCGACACACTTTGCCAACACAACAATCAAGCCACCTGGTCAAGGAAAAAGGTTGAACAGTGCATAGACCAATGAAATCTGGTGTTTGGAGCAGGAGTTGAACCAGCGACCTTTGAACCAGAGCGTTTCTAGAACTTCTTAAAGTCATGTGCTCTACCAAATGAGCTATGAAGGTGCTTATAGATAAAAACGCAGAAAACATAGTGGCTTCGGCGACACACTTTGCCAAAACAACAATCAAGCCACCTGGTCAATGAAAAAGGTTGAACAGTGCATAGACCATTGAAATCTGGTGTTTGGAGTAGGAGTTGAACCAGCGACCTTTGGACCACAGCGTTTCAGGAACTTCTTACAGTCATGTGCTCTACCAACTGGGCTATGAAGGTGCTTATAGATAAAAACGCAGAAAACATAGTGGCTTCGGCGACACACTTTGCCAAAACAACAATCAAGCCACCTGGTCAATGAAAAAGGATGAACAGTGCATATACAAATGAAATCTGGTGTTTGGAGCAGGAGTTGAACCAGCGTCCTTTGGACCACAGCGTTTCAGGAACTTCTTAAAGTCATGTGCTCTACCAACTGAGCTATGAAGGTGCTTATAGATAAAAACGCAGAAAACATAGTGGCTTCGGCGACACACTTTGCCAAAACAACAATCAAGCCACCTGGTCAATGAAAAAGGTTGAACAGTGCATAGACCATTGAAATCTGGTGTTTGGAGTAGGAGTTGAACCAGCGACCTTTGGACCACAGCGTTTCAGGAACTTCTTACAGTCATGTGCTCTACCAACTGAGCTATAAAGGTGCTTATAGATAAAAACGCAGAAAACATAGTGGCTTCGGCGACACACTTTGCCAAAACAACAATCAAGCCACCTGGTCAATGAAAAAGGATGAACAGTGCATATACAAATGAAATCTGGTGTTTGGAGCAGGAGTTGAACCAGCGTCCTTTGGACCACAGCGTTTCAGGAACTTCTTAAAGTCATGTGCTCTACCAACTGAGCTATGAAGGTGCTTATAGATAAAAACGCAGAAAACATAGTGGCTTCGGCGACACACTTTGCCAACATAACTATTGAACCAACATGGTCAATGGAAAAGGTTGAACAGTGCATACACCAATGAAATCTGGTGTTTGGAGCTGGAGTTGAACCAGCGTCCTTTGGACAACAGCGTTTCAGGAACTTCTTAAAGTCATGTGCTCTACCAACTGAGCTATGAAGGTGCTTATAGATAAAAACGCAGAAAACATAGTGGCTTGGGCGACACACTTTGCCAAAACAACAATCAAGCCACCTGGTCAATGAAAAAGGATGAACAGTGCATATACAAATGAAATCCGGTGCTTGGAGCTGGAGTTGAACCAGCGACCTTTGGACCACAGCATTTCAGGAACTTCTTAAAGTCATGTGCTCTACCAACTGAGCTATGAAGGTGCTTATAGATAAAAACGCAGAAAACATAGTGGCTTCGGCGACACACTTTGCCAAAACAACAATCAAGCCACCTGGTCAATGAAAAAGGTTGAACAGTGCATACACCAATGAAATCTGGTGTTTGGAGCAGGAGTTGAACCAGCGTCCTTTGGACCACAGCGTTTCAGGAACTTCTTAAAGTCATGTGCTCTACCAACTGAGCTATGAAGGTGCTTATAGATAAAAACGCAGAAAACATAGTGGCTTCGGCGACACACTTTGCCAACACAACAATCAAGCCACCTGGTCAAGGAAAAAGGTTGAACAGTGCATAGACCAATGAAATCTGGTGTTTGGAGCAGGAGTTGAACCAGCGACCTTTGAACCAGAGCGTTTCTAGAACTTCTTAAAGTCATGTGCTCTACCAAATGAGCTATGAAGGTGCTTATAGATAAAAACGCAGAAAACATAGTGGCTTCGGCGACACACTTTGCCAAAACAACAATCAAGCCACCTGGTCAATGAAAAAGGTTGAACAGTGCATAGACCATTGAAATCTGGTGTTTGGAGTAGGAGTTGAACCAGCGACCTTTGGACCACAGCGTTTCAGGAACTTCTTACAGTCATGTGCTCTACCAACTGGGCTATGAAGGTGCTTATAGATAAAAACGCAGAAAACATAGTGGCTTCGGCGACACACTTTGCCAAAACAACAATCAAGCCACCTGGTCAATGAAAAAGGATGAACAGTGCATATACAAATGAAATCTGGTGTTTGGAGCAGGAGTTGAACCAGCGTCCTTTGGACCACAGCGTTTCAGGAACTTCTTAAAGTCATGTGCTCTACCAACTGAGCTATGAAGGTGCTTATAGATAAAAACGCAGAAAACATAGTGGCTTCGGCGACACACTTTGCCAAAACAACAATCAAGCCACCTGGTCAATGAAAAAGGTTGAACAGTGCATAGACCATTGAAATCTGGTGTTTGGAGTAGGAGTTGAACCAGCGACCTTTGGACCACAGCGTTTCAGGAACTTCTTACAGTCATGTGCTCTACCAACTGAGCTATGAAGGTGCTTATAGATAAAAACGCAGAAAACATAGTGGCTTCGGCGACACACTTTGCCAAAACAACAATCAAGCCACCTGGTCAATGAAAAAGGATGAACAGTGCATATACAAATGAAATCTGGTGTTTGGAGCAGGAGTTGAACCAGCGTCCTTTGGACCACAGCGTTTCAGGAACTTCTTAAAGTCATGTGCTCTACCAACTGAGCTATGAAGGTGCTTATAGATAAAAACGCAGAAAACATAGTGGCTTCGGCGACACACTTTGCCAACATAACTATTGAACCAACATGGTCAATGGAAAAGGTTGAACAGTGCATACACCAATGAAATCTGGTGTTTGGAGCTGGAGTTGAACCAGCGTCCTTTGGACAACAGCGTTTCAGGAACTTCTTAAAGTCATGTGCTCTACCAACTGAGCTATGAAGGTGCTTATAGATAAAAACGCAGAAAACATAGTGGCTTGGGCGACACACTTTGCCAAAACAACAATCAAGCCACCTGGTCAATGAAAAAGGATGAACAGTGCATATACAAATGAAATCCGGTGCTTGGAGCTGGAGTTGAACCAGCGACCTTTGGACCACAGCATTTCAGGAACTTCTTAAAGTCATGTGCTCTACCAACTGAGCTATGAAGGTGCTTATAGATAAAAACGCAGAAAACATAGTGGCTTCGGCGACACACTTTGCCAACATAACTATTGAACCAACATGGTCAATGAAAAAGGTTGAACAGTGCATACACCAATGAAATCTGGAGTTTGGAGCTGGAGTTGAACCAGCGTCCTTTGGACCACAGCGTTTCAGGAACTTCTTAAAGTCATGTGCTCTACCAACTGAGCTATGAAGGTGCTTATAGATAAAAACGCAGAAAACATAGTGGCTTCGGCGACACACTTTGCCAACACAACAATGAAGCAAACTGGTCAATGAAAAAGGATGAACAGTGCATATACAAATGAAATCCGGTGTTTGGAGCTGGAGTTGAACCAGCGACCTTTGGACCACAGCATTTCAGGAACTTCTTAAAGTCATGTGCTCTACCAACTGAGCTATGAAGGTGCTTATAGATAAAAACGCAGAAAACATAGTGGCTTCGGCGACACACTTTGCCAACATAACTATTGAACCAACATGGTCAATGAAAAAGGTTGAACAGTGCATAGACCAATGAAATCTGGTGTTTGGAGCAGGAGTTGAACCAGCGTCCTTTGGACCACAGCGTTTCAGGAACTTCTTAAAGTCATGTGCTCTACCAACTGAGCTATGAAGGTGCTTATAGATAAAAACGCAGAAAACATAGTGGCTTCGGCGACACACTTTGCCAACACAACAATGAAGCAAACTGGTCAATGAAAAAGGATGAACAGTGCATATACAAATGAAATCTGGTGCTTGGAGCTGGAGTTGAACCAGGGACCTTTGGACCACAGCGTTTCAGGAACTTCTTACAGTCATGTGCTCTACCAAATGAGCTATGAAGGTGCTTATAGATGAAAACGCAGAAAACATAGTGGCTTCGGCGACACACTTTGCCAACACAACAATCAAGCCACCTGGTCAATGAAAAAGGTTGAACAGTGCATAGACCAATGAAATCTGGTGTTTGGAGCAGGAGTTGAACCAGCGACCTTTGTACCAGAGCGTTTCTAGAACTTCTTAAAGTCATGTGCTCTACCAAATGAGCTATGAAGGTGCTTATAGATAAAAACGCAGAAAACATAGTGGCTTCGGCGACACACTTTGCCAAAACAACAATCAAGCCACCTGGTCAATGAAAAAGGATGAACAGTGCATATACAAATGAAATCTGTTGCTTGGAGCTGGAGTTGAACCAGCGACCTTTGGACCACAGCGTTTCAGGAACTTCTTAAAGTCATGTGCTCTACCAACTGAGCTATGAAGGTGCTTATAGATAAAAACGCAGAAAACATAGTGGCTTCGGCGACACACTTTGCCAAAACAACAATCAAGCCACCTGGTCAATGAAAAAGGTTGAACAGTGCATAGACCATTGAAATCTGGTGTTTGGAGTAGGAGTTGAACCAGCGACCTTTGGACCACAGCGTTTCAGGAACTTCTTACAGTCATGTGCTCTACCAACTGGGCTATGAAGGTGCTTATAGATAAAAACGCAGAAAACATAGTGGCTTCGGCGACACACTTTGCCAAAACAACAATCAAGCCACCTGGTCAATGAAAAAGGATGAACAGTGCACATACAAATGAAATCTGGTGTTTGGAGCAGGAGTTGAACAAGCGTCCTTCGGACCACAGCGTTTCAGGAACTTCTTAAAGTCATGTGCTCTACCAACTGAGCTATGAAGGTGCTTATAGATAAAAACGCAGAAAACATAGTGGCTTCGGCGACACACTTTGCCAAAACAACAATCAAGCCACCTGGTCAATGAAAAAGGATGAACAGTGAATATACAAATGAAATCTGGTGTTTGGAGCAGGAGTTGAACCAGCGACCTTTGGACCACAGCGTTTCAGGAACTTCTTACAGTCATGTGCTCTACCAACTGAGCTATGAAGGTGCTTATAGATAAAAACGCAGAAAACATAGTGGCTTCGGCGACACACTTTGCCAAAACAACAATCAAGCCACCTGGTCAATGAAAAAGGATGAACAGTGCATATACAAATGAAATCTGGTGTTTGGAGCAGGAGTTGAACCAGCGTCCTTTGGACCACAGCGTTTCAGGAACTTCTTAAAGTCATGTGCTCTACCAACTGAGCTATGAAGGTGCTTATAGATAAAAACGCAGAAAACATAGTGGCTTCGGCGACACACTTTGCCAACATAACTATTGAACCAACATGGTCAATGAAAAAGGTTGAACAGTGCATACACCAATGAAATCTGGTGTTTGGAGCTGGAGTTGAACCAGCGTCCTTTGGACCACAGCGTTTCAGGAACTTCTTAAAGTCATGTGCTCTACCAACTGAGCTATGAAGGTGCTTATAGATAAAAACGCAGAAAACATAGTGGCTTCGGCGACACACTTTGCCAAAACAACAATCAAGCCACCTGGTCAATGAAAAAGGATGAACAGTGCATATACAAATGAAATTCGGTGCTTGGAGCTGGAGTTGAACCAGCGACCTTTGGACCACAGCATTTCAGGAACTTCTTAAAGTCATGTGCTCTACCAACTGAGCTATGAAGGTGCTTATAGATAAAAACGCAGAAAACATAGTGGCTTCGGCGACACACTTTGCCAACATAACTATTGAACCAACATGGTCAATGAAAAAGGTTGAACAGTGCATAGACCAATGAAATCTGGTGTTTGGAGCTGGAGTTGAACCAGCGTCCTTTGGACCAGAGCGTTTCAGGAACTTCTTAAAGTCATGTGCTCTACCAACTGAGCTATGAAGGTGCTTATAGATAAAAACGCAGAAAACATAGTGGCTTCGGCGACACACTTTGCCAACATAACTATTGAACCAACATGGTCAATGAAAAAGGTTGAACAGTGCATAGACCAATGAAATCTGGTGTTTGGAGCAGGAGTTGAACGAGCGTCCTTTGGACCAGAGCGTTTCAGGAACTTCTTAAAGTCATGTGCTCTACCAACTGAGCTATGAAGGTGCTTATAGATAAAAACGCAGAAAACATAGTGGCTTCGGCGACACACTTTGCCAACACAACAATCAAGCCACCTGGTCAATGAAAAAGGATGAACAGTGCATATACAAATGAAATCTGGTGCTTGGAGCTGGAGTTGAACCAGGGACCTTTGGACCACAGCGTTTCAGGAACTTCTTACAGTCATGTGCTCTACCAACTGAGCTATGAAGGTGCTTATAGATGAAAACGGAGAAAACATAGTGGCTTCGGCGACACACTTTGCCAACACAACAATCAAGCCACCTGGTCAATGAAAAAGTTTGAACAGTGCATAGACCAATGAAATCTGGTGTTTGGAGCAGGAGTTGAACCAGCGACCTTTGAACCAGAGCGTTTCTAGAACTTCTTAAAGTCATGTGCTCTACCAAATGAGCTATGAAGGTGCTTATAGATAAAAACGCAGAAAACATAGTGGCTTCGGCGACACACTTTGCCAAAACAACAATCAAGCCACCTGGTCAATGAAAAAGGATGAACAGTGCATATACAAATGAAATCTGTTGCTTGGAGCTGGAGTTGAACCAGCGACCTTTGGACCACAGCGTTTCAGGAACTTCTTAAAGTCATGTGCTCTACCAACTGAGCTATGAAGGTGCTTATAGATAAAAACGCAGAAAACATAGTGGCTTCGGCGACAAACTTTGCCAAAACAACAATCAAGCCACCTGGTCAATGAAAAAGGTTGAACAGTGCATAGACCATTGAAATCTGGTGTTTGGAGTAGGAGTTGAACCAGCGACCTTTGGACCACAGCGTTTCAGGAACTTCTTAAAGTCATGTGCTCTACCAACTGAGCTATGAAGGTGCTTATAGATAAAAACGCAGAAAACATAGTGGCTTCGGCGACACACTTTGCCAAAACAACAATCAAGCCACCTGGTCAATGAAAAAGGATGAACAGTGCATATACAAATGAAATCTGGTGCTTGGAGCTGGAGTTGAACCAGCGACCTTTGGACCACAGCATTTCAGGAACTTCTTAAAGTCATGTGCTCTACCAACTGAGCTATGAAGGTGCTTATAGATAAAAACGCAGAAAACATAGTGGCTTCGGCGACACACTTTGCCAACATAACTATTGAACCAACATGGTCAATGAAAAAGGTTGAACAGTGCATAGACCAATGAAATCTGGTGTTTGGAGCAGGAGTTGAACCAGCGACCTTTGGACCACAGCGTTTCAGGAACTTCTTAAAGTCATGTGCTCTAGCAACTGAGCTATGAAGGTACTTATAGATAAAATCGCAGAAAACATAGTGGCTTCGGCGACACACTTTTTCAACATAACTATTGAACCAACATGGTCAATGAAAAAGGTTGAACAGTGCATAGACAAATGAAATCTGCTGTTTGGAGCAGGAATTGAACCAGCGTCCTTTGGACCACAGGGTTTCAGGAACTTCTTAAAGTCATGTGCTCTACCAACTGAGCTATGAAGGTGCTTATAGATAAAAACGCAGAAAACATAGTGGCTTCGGCGACACACTTTGCCAACACAACAATCAAGCCACCTGGTCAATGAAAAAGGATGAACAGTGCATATACAAATGAAATCTGGTGCTTGGAGCTGGAGTTGAACCAGCGACCTTTGGACCACAGCGTTTCAGGAACTTCTTACAGTCATGTGCTCTACCAACTGAGCTATGAAGGTGCTTATAGATGAAAACGCAGAAAACATAGTGGCTTCGGCGACACACTTTGCCAAAACAACAATCAAGCCACCTGGTCAATGAAAAAGGATGAACAGTGCATAGAGCATTGAAATCTGGTGTTTGGAGCAGGAGTTGAACCAGCGACCTTTGGACCACAGCGTTTCAGGAACTTCTTAAAGTCATGTGCTCTACCAACTGAGATATGAAGGTGCTTATAGATAAAAACGCAGAAAACATGGTGGCTTCGGCGACACACTTTGCCAAAACAACAATCAAGCCACCTGGTCAATGAAAAAGGATGAACAGTGCACATACAAATGAAATCTGGTGCTTGGAGCTGGAGTTGAACTAGCGACCTTTGGACCACAGCGTTTCAGGAACTTCTTAAAGTCATTTGCTCTACCAACTGAGCTATGAAGGTGCTTATAGATAAAAACGCAGAAAACATAGTGGCTTCGGCGACACACTTTGCCAAAACAACAATCAAGCCACCTGGTCAATGAAAAAGGTTGAACAGTGCATAGAGCATTGAAATCTGGTGTTTGGAGCAGGAGTTGAACCAGCGACCTTTGGACCACAGCGTTTCAGGAACTTCTTACAGTCATGTGCTCTACCAACTGAGATATGAAGGTGCTTATAGATAAAAACGCAGAAAACATGGTGGCTTCGGCGACACACTTTGCCAAAACAACAATCAAGCCACCTGGTCAATGAAAAAGGATGAACAGTGCACATACAAATGAAATCTGGTGCTTGGAGCTGGAGTTGAACTAGCGACCTTTGGACCACAGCGTTTCAGGAACTTCTTAAAGTCATGTGCTCTACCAACTGAGCTATGAAGGTGCTTATAGATAAAAACGCAGAAAACATAGTGGCTTCGGCGACACACTTTGCCAAAACAACAATCAAGCCACCTGGTCAATGAAAAAGGTTGAACAGTGCATAGACCATTGAAATCTGGTGTTTGGAGTAGGAGTTGAACCAGCGACCTTTGGACCACAGCGTTTCAGGAACTTCTTACAGTCATGTGCTCTACCAACTGAGCTATGAAGGTGCTTATAGATAAAAACGCAGAAAACATAGTGGCTTCGGCGACACACTTTGCCAAAACAACAATCAAGCCACCTGGTCAATGAAAAAGGATGAACAGTGCATATACAAATGAAATCTGGTGTTTGGAGCAGGAGTTGAACCAGCGTCCTTTGGACCACAGCGTTTCAGGAACTTCTTAAAGTCATGTGCTCTACCAACTGAGCTATGAAGGTGCTTATAGATAAAAACGCAGAAAACATAGTGGCTTCGGCGACACACTTTGCCAACATAACTATTGAACCAACATGGTCAATGGAAAAGGTTGAACAGTGCATACACCAATGAAATCTGGTGTTTGGAGCTGGAGTTGAACCAGCGTCCTTTGGACCACAGCGTTTCAGGAACTTCTTAAAGTCATGTGCTCTACCAACTGAGCTATGAAGGTGCTTATAGATAAAAACGCAGAAAACATAGTGGCTTCGGCGACACACTTTGCCAAAACAACAATCAAGCCACCTGGTCAATGAAAAAGGATGAACAGTGCATATACAAATGAAATCCGGTGCTTGGAGCTGGAGTTGAACCAGCGACCTTTGGACCACAGCATTTCAGGAACTTCTTAAAGTCATGTGCTCTACCAACTGAGCTATGAAGGTGCTTATAGATAAAAACGCAGAAAACATAGTGGCTTCGGCGACACACTTTGCCAACATAACTATTGAACCAACCTGGTCAATGAAAAAGGTTGAACAGTGCATAGACAAATGAAATCTGGTGTTTGGAGCAGGAGTTGAACCAGCGTCCTTTGGACCACAGCGTTTCAGGAACTTCTTAAAGTCATGTGCTCTACCAACTGAGCTATGAAGCTGCTTATAGATAAAAACGCAGAAAACATAGTGGCTTCGGCGACACACTTTGCCAACACAACAATGAAGCAAACTGGTCAATGAAAAAGGATGAACAGTGCATATACAAATGAAATCTGGTGCTTGGAGCTGGAGTTGAACCAGGGACCTTTGGACCACAGCGTTTCAGGAACTTCTTACAGTCATGTGCTCTACCAAATGAGCTATGAAGGTGCTTATAGATGAAAACGGAGAAAACATAGTGGCTTCGGCGACACACTTTGCCAACACAACAATCAAGCCACCTGGTCAATGAAAAAGGTTGAACAGTGAATAGACCAATGAAATCTGGTGTTTGGAGCAGGAGTTGAACCAGCGACCTTTGAACCAGAGCGTTTCTAGAACTTCTTAAAGTCATGTGCTCTACCAAATGAGCTATGAAGGTGCTTATAGATAAAAACGCAGAAAACATAGTGGCTTCGGCGACACACTTTGCCAAAACAACAATCAAGCCACCTGGTCAATGAAAAAGGATGAACAGTGCATATACAAATGAAATCTGTTGCTTGGAGCTGGAGTTGAACCAGCGACCTTTGGACCACAGCGTTTCAGGAACTTCTTAAAGTCATGTGCTCTACCAACTGAGCTATGAAGGTGCTTATAGATAAAAACGCAGAAAACATAGTGGCTTCGGCGACACACTTTGCCAAAACAACAATCAAGCCACCTGGTCAATGAAAAAGGTTGAACAGTGCATAGAACATTGAAATCTGGTGTTTGGAGTAGGAGTTGAACCAGCGACCTTTGGACCACAGCGTTTCAGGAACTTCTTACAGTCATGTGCTCTACCAACTGAGCTATGAAGGTGCTTATAGATAAAAACGCAGAAAACATAGTGGCTTCGGCGACACACTTTGCCAAAACAACAATCAAGCCACCTGGTCAATGAAAAAGGATGAACAGTGCATATACGAATGAAATCTGGTGTTTGGAGCAGGAGTTGAACCAGCGACCTTTGGACCACAGCGTTTCAGGAACTTCTTAAAGTCATGTGCTCTACCAACTGAGCTATGAAGGTGCTTATAGATAAAAACGCAGAAAACATAGTGGCTTCGGCGACACACTTTGCCAAAACAACAATCAAGCCACCTGGTCAATGAAAAAGGTTGAACAGTGCATAGACCATTGAAATCTGGTGTTTGGAGTAGGAGTTGAACCAGCGACCTTTGGACCACAGCGTTTCAGGAACTTCTTACAGTCATGTGCTCTACCAACTGAGCTATGAAAGTGCTTATAGATAAAAACGCAGAAAACATAGTGGCTTCGGCGACACACTTTGCCAAAACAACAATCAAGCCACCTGGTCAATGAAAAAGGATGAACAGTGCATATACAAATGAAATCTGGTGTTTGGAGCAGGAGTTGAACCAGCGTCCTTTGGACCACAGCGTTTCAGGAACTTCTTAAAGTCATGTGCTCTACCAACTGAGCTATGAAGGTGCTTATAGATAAAAACGCAGAAAACATAGTGGCTTCGGCGACACACTTTGCCAACATAACTATTGAACCAACATGGTCAATGAAAAAGGTTGAACAGTGCATACACCAATGAAATCTGGTGTTTGGAGCAGGAGTTGAACCAGCGTCCTTTGGACCACAGCGTTTCAGGAACTTCTTAAAGTCATGTGCTCTACCAACTGAGCTATGAAGGTGCTTATAGATATAAACGCAGAAAACATAGTGGCTTCGGCGACACACTTTGCCAAAACAACAATCAAGCCACCTTGTCAAGGAAAAAGGTTGAACAGTGCATAGACCAATGAAATCTGGTGTTTGGAGCAGGAGTTGAACCAGCGACCTTTGAACCAGAGCGTTTCTAGAACTTCTTAAAGTCATGTGCTCTACCAAATGAGCTATGAAGGTGCTTATAGATAAAAACGCAGAAAACATAGTGGCTTCGGCGACACACTTTGCCAAAACAACAATCAAGCCACCTGGTCAATGAAAAAGGATGAACAGTGCATATACAAATGAAATCTGTTGCTTGGAGCTGGAGTTGAACCAGCGACCTTTGGACCACAGCGTTTCAGGAACTTCTTAAAGTCATGTGCTCTACCAACTGAGCTATGAAGGTGCTTATAGATAAAAACGCAGAAAACATAGTGGCTTCGGCGACACACTTTGCCAACATAACTATTGAACCAACATGGTCAATGAAAAAGGTTGAACAGTGCATACACCAATGAAATCTGGTGTTTGGAGCTGGAGTTGAACCAGCGTCCTTTGGACCACAGCGTTTCAGGAACTTCTTAAAGTCATGTGCTCTACCAACTGAGCTATGAAGGTGCTTATAGATAAAAACGCAGAAAACATAGTGGCTTCGGCGACACACTTTGCCAAAACAACAATCAAGCCACCTGGTCAATGAAAAAGGATGAACAGTGCATATACAAATGAAATCTGTTGCTTGGAGCTGGAGTTGAACCAGCGACCTTTGGACCACAGCGTTTCAGGAACTTCTTAAAGTCATGTGCTCTACCAACTGAGCTATGAAGGTGCTTATAGATAAGAACGCAGAAAACATAGTGGCTTCGGCGACACACTTTGCCAACATAACTATTGAACCAACATGGTCAATGAAAAAGGTTGAACAGTGCATACACCAATGAAATCTGGTGTTTGGAGCAGGAGTTGAACCAGCGTCCTTTGGACCACAGCGTTTCAGGAACTTCTTAAAGTCATGTGCTCTACCAACTGAGCTATGAAGGTGCTTATAGATAAAAACGCAGAAAACATAGTGGCTTCGGCGACACACTTTGCCAAAACAACAATCAAGCCACCTTGTCAAGGAAAAAGGTTGAACAGTGCATAGACCAATGAAATCTGGTGTTTGGAGGAGGAGTTGAACCAGCGACCTTTGAACCAGAGCGTTTCTAGAACTTCTTAAAGTCATGTGCTCTACCAAATGAGCTATGAAGGTGCTTATAGATAAAAACGCAGAAAACATAGTGGCTTCGGCGACACACTTTGCCAACACAACAATGAAGCCACCTGGTCAATGAAAAAGGATGAACAGTGCATATACAAATGAAATCTGGTGCTTGCAGCTGGAGTTGAACCAGGGACCTTTGGACCACAGCGTTTCAGGAACTTCTTCAAGTCATGTGCTCTACCAACTGAGCTATGAAGGTACTTATAGATAAAATCGCAGAAAACATAGTGGCTTCGGCGACACACTTTGCCAAAACAACAATCAAGCCACCTGGTCAATGAAAAAGGATGAACAGTGCATATACAAATGAAATCTGGTGCTTGGAGCTGGAGTTGAAACAGCGACCTTTGGACCACAGCATTTCAGGAACTTCTTAAAGTCATGTGCTCTACCAACTGAGCTATGAAGGTGCTTATAGATAAAAACGCAGAAAACATAGTGGCTTCGGCGACACACTTTGCCAACATAACTATTGAACCAACATGGTCAATGAAAAAGGTTGAACAGTGTATAGACCAATGAAATCTGGTGTTTGGAGCAGGAGTTGAACCAGTGACCTTTGGACCACAGCGTTTCAGGAACTTCTTAAAGTCATGTGCTCTACCAACTGAGCTATGAAGGTACTTATAGATAAAAACGCAGAAAACATAGTGGCTTCGGCGACACACTTTGCCAACACAACAATGAAGCCACCTGGTCAATGAAAAAGGATGAACAGTGCATATACAAATGAAATCTGGTGCTTGGAGCTGGAGTTGAACCAGGGACCTTTGGACCACAGCGTTTCAGGAACTTCTTCAAGTCATGTGCTCTACCAACTGAGCTATGAAGGTACTTATAGATAAAATCGCAGAAAACATAGTGGCTTCGGCGACACACTTTGCCAAAACAACAATCAAGCCACCTGGTCAATGAAAAAGGATGAACAGTGCATATACAAATGAAATCTGGTGCTTGGAGCTGGAGTTGAACCAGCGACCTTTGGACCACAGCATTTCAGGAACTTCTTAAAGTCATGTGCTCTACCAACTGAGCTATGAAGGTGCTTATAGATAAAAACGCAGAAAACATAGTGGCTTCGGCGACACACTTTGCCAACATAACTATTGAACCAACATGGTCAATGAAAAAGGTTGAACAGTGCATAGACCAATGAAATCTGGTGTTTGGAGCAGGAGTTGAACCAGTGACCTTTGGACCACAGCGTTTCAGGAACTTCTTAAAGTCATGTGCTCTACCAACTGAGCTATGAAGGTACTTATAGATAAAAACGCAGAAAACATAGTGGCTTCGGCGACACACTTTGCCAACACAACAATGAAGCCACCTGGTCAATGAAAAAGGATGAACAGTGCATATACAAATGAAATCTGGTGCTTGGAGCTGGAGTTGAACCAGGGACCTTTGGACCACAGCGTTTCAGGAACTTCTTCAAGTCATGTGCTCTACCAACTGAGCTATGAAGGTACTTATAGATAAAATCGCAGAAAACATAGTGGCTTCTGCGACACACTTTGCCAAAACAACAATCAAGCCACCTGGTCAATGAAAAAGGATGAACAGTGCATATACAAATGAAATCTGGTGCTTGGAGCTGGAGTTGAACCAGCGACCTTTGGACCACAGCATTTCAGGAACTTCTTAAAGTCATGTGCTCTACCAACTGAGCTATGAAGGTGCTTATAGATAAAAACGCAGAAAACATAGTGGCTTCGGCGACACACTTTGCCAACATAACTATTGAACCAACATGGTCAATGAAAAAGGTTGAACAGTGCATAGACCAATGAAATCTGTTGCTTGGAGCTGGAGTTGAACCAGCGACCTTTGGACCACAGCGTTTCAGGAACTTCTTAAAGTCATGTGCTCTACCAACTGAGCTATGAAGGTACTTATAGATAAAATCGCAGAAAACATAGTGGCTTCGGCGACACACTTTGCCAACATAACTATTGAACCAACATGGTCAATGAAAAAGGTTCAACAGTGCATAGACCAATGAAATCTGGTGTTTGGAGCAGGAATTGAACCAGCGTCCTTTGGACCACAGGGTTTCAGGAACTTCTTAAAGTCATGTGCTCTACCAACTGAGCTATGAAGGTGCTTATAGATAAAAACGCAGAAAACATAGTGGCTTCGGCGACACACTTTGCCAACACAACAATCAAGCCACCTGGTCAATGAAAAAGGATGAACAGTGCATATACAAATGAAATCTGGTGCTTGGAGCTGGAGTTGAACCAGGGACCTTTGGACCACAGCGTTTCAGGAACTTCTTACAGTCATGTGCTCTACCAACTGAGCTATGAAGGTGCTTATAGATGAAAACGCAGAAAACATAGTGGCTTCGGCGACACACTTTGCCAAAACAACAATCAAGCCACCTGGTCAATGAAAAAGGATGAACAGTGCATATACAAATGAAATCTGTTGCTTGGAGCAGGAGTTGAACCAGCGACCTTTGGACCACAGCGTTTCAGGAACTTCTTAAAGTCATGTGCTCTACCAACTGAGCTATGAAGGTGCTTATAGATAAAAACGCAGAAAACATAGTGGCTTCGGCGACACACTTTGCCAAAACAACAATCAAGCCACCTGGTCAATGAAAAAGGTTGAACAGTGCATAGAGCATTGAAATCTGGTGTTTGGAGCAGGAGTTGAACCAGCGACCTTTGGACCACAGCGTTTCAGGAACTTCTTACAGTCATGTGCTCTACCAACTGAGATATGAAGGTGCTTATAGATAAAAACGCAGAAAACATGGTGGCTTCGGCGACACACTTTGCCAAAACAACAATCAAGCCACCTGGTCAATGAAAAAGGATGAACAGTGCACATACAAATGAAATCTGGTGCTTGGAGCTGGAGTTGAACTAGCGACCTTTGGACCACAGCGTTTCAGGAACTTCTTAAAGTCATGTGCTCTACCAACTGAGCTATGAAGGTGCTTATAGATAAAAACGCAGAAAACATAGTGGCTTCGGCGACACACTTTGCCAAAACAACAATCAAGCCACCTGGTCAATGAAAAAGGTTGAACAGTGCATAGACCATTGAAATCTGGTGTTTGGAGTAGGAGTTGAACCAGCGACCTTTGGACCACAGCGTTTCAGGAACTTCTTACAGTCATGTGCTCTACCAACTGAGCTATGAAGGTGCTTATAGATAAAAACGCAGAAAACATAGTGGCTTCGGCGACACACTTTGCCAAAACAACAATCAAGCCACCTGGTCAATGAAAAAGGATGAACAGTGCACATACAAATGAAATCTGGTGCTTGGAGCTGGAGTTGAACTAGCGACCTTTGGACCACAGCGTTTCAGGAACTTCTTAAAGTCATGTGCTCTACCAACTGAGCTATGAAGGTGCTTATAGATAAAAACGCAGAAAACATAGTGGCTTCGGCGACACACTTTGCCAAAACAACAATCAAGCCACCTGGTCAATGAAAAAGGTTGAACAGTGCATAGACCATTGAAATCTGGTGTTTGGAGTAGGAGTTGAACCAGCGACCTTTGGACCACAGCGTTTCAGGAACTTCTTACAGTTATGTGCTCTACCAACTGAGCTATGAAGGTGCTTATAGATAAAAACGCAGAAAACATAGTGGCTTCGGCGACACGCTTTGCCAAAACAACAATCAAGCCACCTGGTCAATGAAAAAGGATGAACAGTGCATATACAAATGAAATCCGGTGCTTGGAGCTGGAGTTGAACCAGCGACCTTTGGACCACAGCATTTCAGGAACTTCTTAAAGTCATGTGCTCTACCAACTGAGCTATGAAGGTGCTTATAGATAAAAACGCAGAAAACATAGTGGCTTCGGCGACACACTTTGCCAAAACAACAATCAAGCCACCTGGTCAATGAAAAAGGATGAACAGTGCATATACAAATGAAATCCGGTGCTTGGAGCTGGAGTTGAACCAGCGACCTTTGGACCACAGCATTTCAGGAACTTCTTAAAGTCATGTGCTCTACCAACTGAGCTATGAAGGTGCTTATAGATAAAATCGCAGAAAACATAGTGGCTTCGGCGACACACTTTGCCAACATAACTATTGAACCAACATGGTCAATGAAAAAGGTTGAACAGTGCATACACCAATGAAATCTGGTGTTTGGAGCTGGAGTTGAACCAGCGTCCTTTGGACCACAGCGTTTCAGGAACTTCTTAAAGTCATGTGCTCTACCAACTGAGCTATGAAGGTGCTTATAGATAAAAACGCAGAAAACATAGTGGCTTCGGCGACACACTTTGCCAAAACAACAATCAAGCCACCTGGTCAATGAAAAAGGATGAACAGTGCATATACAAATGAAATCTGGTGCTTGGAGCTGGAGTTGAACCAGCGACCTTTGGACCACAGCGTTTCAGGAAATTCTTAAAGTCATGTGCTCTACCAACTGAGCTATGAAGGTGCTTATAGATAAAAACGCAGAAAACATAGTGGCTTCGGCGACACACTTTGCCAACATAACTATTGAACCAACATGGTCAATGAAAAAGGTTGAACAGTGCATACACCAATGAAATCTGGTGTTTGGAGCTGGAGTTGAACCAGCGTCCTTTGGACCACAGCGTTTCAGGAACTTCTTAAAGTCATGTGCTCTACCAACTGAGCTATGAAGGTGCTTATAGATAAAAACGCAGAAAACATAGTGGCTTCGGCGACACACTTTGCCAAAACAACAATCAAGCCACCTGGTCAATGAAAAAGGTTGAACAGTGCATAGACCATTGAAATCTGGTGTTTGGAGTAGGAGTTGAACCAGCGACCTTTGGACCACAGCGTTTCAGGAACTTCTTACAGTCATGTGCTCTACCAACTGAGCTATGAAGGTGCTTATAGATAAAAACGCAGAAAACATAGTGGCTTCGGCGACACACTTTGCCAAAACAACAATCAAGCCCCTTGGTCAATGAAAAAGGATGAACAGTGCACATACAAATGAAATCTGGTGCTTGGAGCTGGAGTTGAACTAGCGACCTTTGGACCACAGCGTTTCAGGAACTTCTTAAAGTCATGTGCTCTACCAACTGAGCTATGAAGGTGCTTATAGATAAAAACGCAGAAAACATAGTGGCTTCGGCGACACACTTTGCCAAAACAACAATCAAGCCACCTGGTCAATGAAAAAGGTTGAACAGTGCATAGACCATTGAAATCTGGTGTTTGGAGTAGGAGTTGAACCAGCGACCTTTGGACCACAGCGTTTCAGGAACTTCTTACAGTTATGTGCTCTACCAACTGAGCTATGAAGGTGCTTATAGATAAAAACGCAGAAAACATAGTGGCTTCGGCGACACGCTTTGCCAAAACAACAATCAAGCCACCTGGTCAATGAAAAAGGATGAACAGTGCATATACAAATGAAATCCGGTGCTTGGAGCTGGAGTTGAACCAGCGACCTTTGGACCACAGCATTTCAGGAACTTCTTAAAGTCATGTGCTCTACCAACTGAGCTATGAAGGTGCTTATAGATAAAAACGCAGAAAACATAGTGGCTTCGGCGACAAACTTTGCCAAAACAACAATCAAGCCACCTGGTCAATGAAAAAGGATGAACAGTGCATATACAAATGAAATCCGGTGCTTGGAGCTGGAGTTGAACCAGCGACCTTTGGACCACAGCATTTCAGGAACTTCTTAAAGTCATGTGCTCTACCAACTGAGCTATGAAGGTGCTTATAGATAAAATCGCAGAAAACATAGTGGCTTCGGCGACACACTTTGCCAACATAACTATTGAACCAACATGGTCAATGAAAAAGGTTGAACAGTGCATACACCAATGAAATCTGGTGTTTGGAGCTGGAGTTGAACCAGCGTCCTTTGGACCACAGCGTTTCAGGAACTTCTTAAAGTCATGTGCTCTACCAACTGAGCTATGAAGGTGCTTATAGATAAAAACGCAGAAAACATAGTGGCTTCGGCGACACACTTTGCCAAAACAACAATCAAGCCACCTGGTCAATGAAAAAGGATGAACAGTGCATATACAAATGAAATCTGGTGCTTGGAGCTGGAGTTGAACCAGCGACCTTTGGACCACAGCGTTTCAGGAAATTCTTAAAGTCATGTGCTCTACCAACTGAGCTATGAAGGTGCTTATAGATAAAAACGCAGAAAACATAGTGGCTTCGGCGACACACTTTGCCAACATAACTATTGAACCAACATGGTCAATGAAAAAGGATGAACAGTGCATATACAAATGAAATCTGGTGCTTGGAGCTGGAGTTGAACCAGGGACCTTTGGACCACAGCGTTTCAGGAACTTCTTACAGTCATGTGCTCTACCAACTGAGCTATGAAGGTGCTTATAGATGAAAACGGAGAAAACATAGTGGCTTCGGCGACACACTTTGCCAACACAACAATCAAGCCACCTGGTCAATGAAAAAGGTTGAACAGTGCATAGACCAATGAAATCTGGTGTTTGGAGCAGGAGTTGAACCAGCGACCTTTGAACCAGAGCGTTTCTAGAACTTCTTAAAGTCATGTGCTCTACCAACTGAGCTATGAAGGTGCTTATAGATAAAAACGCAGAAAACATAGTGGCTTCGGCGACACACTTTGCCAAAACAACAATCAAGCCACCTGGTCAATGAAAAAGGATGAACAGTGCATATACAAATGAAATCTGGTGTTTGGAGCAGGAGTTGAACCAGCGTCCTTTGGACCACAGCGTTTCAGGAACTTCTTAAAGTCATGTGCTCTACCAACTGAGCTATGAAGGTGCTTATAGATAAAAACGCAGAAAACATAGTGGCTTCGGCGACACACTTTGCCAACACAACAATCAAGCCACCTGGTCAATGAAAAAGGTTGAACAGTGCATAGACCAATGAAATCTGGTGTTTGGAGCAGGAGTTGAACCAGTGACCTTTGAACCAGAGCGTTTCTAGAACTTCTTAAAGTCATGTGCTCTACCAAATGAGCTATGAAGGTGCTTATAGATAAAAACGCAGAAAACATAGTGGCTTCGGCGACACACTTTGCCAAAACAACAATCAAGCCACCTGGTCAATGAAAAAGGATGAACAGTGCATATACAAATGAAATCTGTTGCGTGGAGCTGGACTTGAGCCAGCGACCTTTGGACCAAAGCGTTTCAGGAACTTCTTAAAGTCATGTGCTCTACCAACAGAGCTATGAAGGTGCTTATAGATAAAAACGCAGAAAACATAGTGGCTTCGGCGACACACTTTGCCAAAACAACAATCAAGCCACCTGGTCAATGAAAAAGGTTGAACAGTGCATAGACCATTGAAATCTGGTGTTTGGAGTAGGAGTTGAACCAGCGACCTTTGGACCACAGCGTTTCAGGAACTTCTTACAGTCATGTGCTCTACCAACTGAGCTATGAAGGTGCTTATAGATAAAAACGCAGAAAACATAGTGGCTTCGGCGACACGCTTTGCCAAAACAACAATCAAGCCACCTGGTCAATGAAAAAGGATGAACAGTGCATATACAAATGAAATCTGGTGTTTGGAGCAGGAGTTGAACCAGCGTCCTTTGGACCACAGCGTTTCAGGAACTTCTTAAAGTCATGTGCTCTACCAACTGAGCTATGAAGGTGCTTATAGATAAAAACGCAGAAAACATAGTGGCTTCGGCGACACACTTTGCCAACATAACTATTGAACCAACATGGTCAATGAAAAAGGTTGAACAGTGCATACACCAATGAAATCTGGTGTTTGGAGCTGGAGTTGAACCAGCGTCCTTTGGACCACAGCGTTTCAGGAACTTCTTAAAGTCATGTGCTCTACCAACTGAGCTATGAAGGTGCTTATAGATAAAAACGGAGAAAACATAGTGGCTTCGGCGACACACTTTGCCAACACAACAATCAAGCCACCTGGTCAATGAAAAAGGTTGAACAGTGCATAGACCAATGAAATCTGGTGTTTGGAGCAGGAGTTGAACCAGCGACCTTTGAACCAGAGCTTTTCTAGAACTTCTTCAAGTCATGTGCTCTACCAAATGAGCTATGAAGGTGCTTATAGATAAAAACGCAGAAAACATAGTGGCTTCGGCGACACACTTTGCCAAAACAACTATCAAGCCACCTGGTCAATGAAAAAGGATGAACAGTGCATATACAAATGAAATCCGGTGCTTGGAGCTGGAGTTGAACCAGCGACCTTTGGACCACAGCATTTCAGGAACTTCTTAAAGTCATGTGCTCTACCAACTGAGATATGAAGGTGCTTATAGATAAAAACGCAGAAAACATAGTGGCTTCGGCGACACACTTTGCCAACATAACTATTGAACCAACATGGTCAATGAAAAAGGTTGAACAGTGCATAGACCAATTAAATCTGGTGTTTGGAGCAGGAGTTGAACCAGCGTCCTTTGGACCACAGCGTTTCAGGAACTTCTTAAAGTCATGTGCTCTAACATCTGAGCTATGAAGGTGCTTATGGATAAAATCGCAGAAAACATAGTGGCTTCGGCGACACACTTTGCCAAAACAACAATCAAGCCACCTGGTCAATGAAAAAGGTTGAACAGTGCATAGACCATTGAAATCTGGTGTTTGGAGTAGGAGTTGAACCAGCGACCTTTGGACCACAGCGTTTCAGGAACTTCTTACAGTCATGTGCTCTACCAACTGAGCTATGAAGGTGCTTATAGATAAAAACGCAGAAAACATAGTGGCTTCGGCGACACGCTTTGCCAAAACAACAATCAAGCCACCTGGTCAATGAAAAAGGATGAACAGTGCACATACAAATGAAATCTGGTGTTTGGAGCAGGAGTTGAACCAGCGTACTTTGGACCACAGCGTTTCAGGAACTTCTTAAAGTCATGTGCTCTACCAACTGAGCTATGAAGGTGCTTATAGATAAAAACGCAGAAAACATAGTGGCTTCGGCGACACACTTTGCCAACATAACTATTGAACCAACATGGTCAATGAAAAAGGTTGAACAGTGCATACACCACTGAAATCTGGTGTTTGGAGCAGGAGTTGAACCAGCGTCCTTTGGACCACAGCGTTTCAGGAACTTCTTAAAGTCATGTGCTCTACCAACTGAGCTATGAAGGTGCTTATAGATAAAAACGGAGAAAACATAGTGGCTTCGGCGACACACTTTGCCAACACAACAATCAAGCCACCTGGTCAATGAAAAAGGTTGAACAGTGCATAGACCAATGAAATCTGGTGTTTGGAGCAGGAGTTCAACCAGCGACCTTTGAACCAGAGCGTTTCTAGAATTTCTTCAAGTCATGTGCTCTACCAAATGAGCTATGAAGGTGCTTATAGATAAAATCGCAGAAAACATAGTGGCTTCGGCGACACACTTTGCCAAAACAACTATCAAGCCACCTGGTCAATGAAAAAGGATGAACAGTGCATATACAAATGAAATCCGGTGCTTGGAGCTGGAGTTGAACCAGCGACCTTTGGACCACAGCATTTCAGGAACTTCTTAAAGTCATGTGCTCTACCAACTGAGCTATGAAGGTGCTTATAGATAAAAACGCAGAAAACATAGTGGCTTCGGCGACACACTTTGCCAACATAACTATTGAACCAACATGGTCAATGAAAAAGTTTGAACAGTGCATAGACCAATGAAATCTGGTGTTTGGAGCAGGAGTTGAACCAGCGTCCTTTGGACCACAGCGTTTCAGGAACTTCTTAAAGTCATGTGCTCTACCATCTGAGCTATGAAGGTGCTTATAGATAAAATCGCAGAAAACATAGTGGCTTCGGCGACACACTTTGCCAAAACAACAATCAAGCCACCTGGTCAATGAAAAAGGATGAACAGTGCATATACAAATGAAATCCGGTGCTTGGAGCTGGAGTTGAACCAGCGACCTTTGGACCACAGCATTTCAGGAAATTCTTAAAGTCATGTGCTCTACCAACTGAGCTATGAAGGTGCTTATAGATAAAAACGCAGAAAACATAGTGGCTTCGGCGACACACTTTGCCAACATAACTATTGAACCAACATGGTCAATGAAAAAGGTTGAACTGTGCATAGACCAATGAAATCTGGTGTTTGGAGCAGGAGTTGAACCAGCGTCCTTTGGACCACAGCGTTTCAGGAACTTCTTAAAGTCATGTGCTCTACCAAATGAGCTATGAAGGTGCTTATAGATAAATACGCAGAAAACATAGTGGCTTCGGCGACACACTTTGCCAACACAACAATCAAGCCACCTGGTCAATGAAAAAGGATGAACAGTGCATATACAAACGAAATCTGGTGCTTGGAGCTGGAGTTGAACCAGGGACCTTTGGACCACAGCGTTTCAGGAACTTCTTACAGTCATGTGCTCTACCAACTGAGCTATGAAGGTGCTTATAGATGAAAACGCAGAAAACATAGTGGCTTCGGCGACACACTTTGCCAAAACAACAATCAAGCCACCTGGTCAATGAAAAAGGTTGAACAGTGCATAGACCAATGAAATCTGGTGTTTGGAGCAGGAGTTGAACCAGCGACCTTTGGACCACAGCGTTTCAAGAACCTCTTAAAGTCATGTGCTCTACCAAATGAGCTATGAAGGTGCTTATAGATAAAAACGCAGAAAACATAGTGGCTTCGGCGACACACTTTGCCAAAACAACAATCAAGCCACCTGGTCAATGAAAAAGGATGAACAGTGCACATACAAATGAAATCTGGTGCTTGGAGCTGGAGTTGAACCAGCGACCTTTGGACCACAGCGTTTCAGGAACTTCTTAAAGTCATGTGCTCTACCAAATGAGCTATGAAGGTGCTTATAGATAAAAACGCAGAAAACATAGTGGCTTCGGCGACACACTTTGCCAAAACAACAATCAAGCCACCTGGTCAATGAAAAAGGATGAACAGTGCACATACAAATGAAATCTGGTGCTTGGAGCTGGAGTTGAACCAGCGACCTTTGGACCACAGCGTTTCAGGAACTTCTTAAAGTCATGTGCTCTACCAACTGAGCTATGAAGGTGCTCATAGATGAAAACGCGGAAAACATAGTGGCTTCGGCGACACACTTTGCGAACACAACAATCAAGCCACCTGGTCAATGAAAAAGGATGAACAGTGCATAGACCAATGAAATCTGATGTTTGGAGCAGGAGTTGGACCGGCGACCTTTGGACCACAGCGTTTCAGGAACTTCTTAAAGTCATGTGCTCTACCAACTGAGCTATGAAGGTGCTCATAGATAAAAACGCAGAAAACATAGTGGCTTCGGCGACACACTTTGCCAAAACAACAATCAAGCCACCTGGTCAATGAAAAAGGATGAACAGTGCACATACAAATGAAATCCGGTGCTTGGAGCTGGAGTTGAACCAGCGACCTTTGGACCACAGCGTTTCAGGAACTTCTTAAAGTCATGTGCTCTACCAACTGAGCTATGAAGGTACTTATAGATAAAATCGCAGAAAACATAGTGGCTTCGGCGACACACTCTGCCAAAACAACAATCAAGCCACCTGGTCAATGAAAAAGGATGAACAGTGCATATACAAATGAAATCCGGTGCTTGGAGCTGGAGTTGAACCAGCGACCTTTGGACCACAGCGTTTCAGGAACTTCTTAAAGTCATGTGCTCTACCAACTGAGCTATGAAGGTGCTTATAGATGAAAACGCAGAAAAAATAGTGGCTTCGGCGACACACTTTGCCAACACAACAATCAAGCCACCTGGTCAATGAAAAAGGATGAACAGTGCATATACAAATGAAATCTGGTGCTTGGAGCTGGAGTTGAACCAGGGAGCTTTGGAGCACAGCGTTTCAGGAACTTCTTACAGTCATGTGCTCTACCAACTGAGCTATGAAGGTGCTTATAGATGAAAACGCAGAAAACATAGTGGCTTCGGCGACACACTTTGCCAACACAACAATCAAGCCACCTGGTCAATGAAAAAGGTTGAACAGTGCATAGACCAATGAAATCTGGTGATTGGAGCAGGAGTTGAACCAGCGACCTTTGGACCACAGCGTTTCAAGAACTTCTTAAAGTCATGTGCTCTACCAAATGAGCTATGAAGGTGCTTATAGATAAAAACGCAGAAAACATAGTGGCTTGGGCGACACACTTTGCCAAAACAACAATCAAGCCACCTGGTCAATGAAAAAGGATGAACAGTGCACATACAAATGAAATCTGGTGCTTGGAGCTGGAGTTGAACCAGCGACCTTTGGACCACAGCGTTTCAGGAACTTCTTAAAGTCATGTGCTCTACCAACTGAGCTATGAAGGTGCTTATAGATACAACCGCAGAAAACATAGTGGCTTCGGCGACACACTTTGCCAACATAACTATTGAACCAACATGGTCAATGAAAAAGGTTGAACTGTGCATAGACCAATGAAATCTGGTGCTTGGAGCAGGAGTTGAACCAGCGTCCTTTGGACCACAGCGTTTCAGGAACTTCTTAAAGTCATGTGCTCTACCAAATGAGCTATGAAGGTGCTTATAGATAAATACGCAGAAAACATAGTGGCTTCGGCGACACACTTTGCCAACACAACAATGAAGCCACCTGGTCAATGAAAAAGGATGAACAGTGCATATACAAACGAAATCTGGTGCTTGGAGCTGGAGTTGAACCAGCGACCTTTGGACCACAGCGTTTCAGGAACTTCTTAAAGTCATGTGCTCTACCAAATGAGCTATGAAGGTGCTTATAGATAAATACGCAGAAAACATAGTGGCTTCGGCGACACACTTTGCCAACACAACAATGAAGCCACCTGGTCAATGAAAAAGGATGAACAGTGCATATACAAACGAAATCTGGTGCTTGGAGCTGGAGTTGAACCAGCGACCTTTGGACCACAGCGTTTCAGGAAATTCTTAAAGTCATGTGCTCTACCAACTGAGCTATGAAGGTGCTTATAGATACAACCGCAGAAAACATAGTGGCTTCGGCGACACACTTTGCCAAAACAACAATCAAGCCACCTGGTCAATGAAAAAGGTTGAACAGTGCATAGACCAATGAAATCTGATGTTTGGAGCAGGAGTTGGACCGGCGACCTTTGGACCACAGCGTTTCAGGAACTTCTTAAAGTCATGTGCTCTACCAACTGAGCTATGAAGGTGCTTATAGATAAAAACGCAGAAAACATAGTGGCTTCAGCGACACACTTTGCCAAAACAACAATCAAGCCACCTGGTCAATGAAAAAGGATGAACAGTGCACATACAAATGAAATCCGGTGCTTGGAGCTGGAGTTGAACTAGCGACCTTTGGACCACAGCGTTTCAGGAACTTCTTAAAGTCATGTTCTCTACCAACTGAGCTATGAAGGTGCTTATAGATAAAAACGCAGAAAACATAGTGGCTTCGGCGACACACTTTGCCAACATAACTATTGAACCAACATGGTCAATGAAAAAGGTTGAACTGTGCATAGACCAATGAAATCTGGTGCTTGGAGCAGGAGTTGAACCAGCGTCCTTTGGACCACAGCGTTTCAGGAACTTCTTAAAGTCATGTGCTCTACCAAATGAGCTATGAAGGTGCTTATAGATAAATACGCAGAAAACATAGTGGCTTCGGCGACACACTTTGCCAACACAACAATGAAGCCACCTGGTCAATGAAAAAGGATGAACAGTGCATATACAAACGAAATCTGGTGCTTGGAGCTGGAGTTGAACCAGGGACCTTTGGACCACAGCGTTTCAGGAACTTCTTACAGTCATGTGCTCTACCAACTGAGCTATGAAGGTGCTTATAGATGAAAACGCAGAAAACATAGTGGCTTCGGCGACACACTTTGCCAACACAACAATCAAGCCACCTGGTCAATGAAAAAGGTTGAACAGTGCATAGACCAATGAAATCTGGTGTTTGGAGCAGGAGTTGAACCAGCGACCTTTGGACCACAGCGTTTCAAGAACTTCTTAAAGTCATGTGCTCTACCAAATGAGCTATGAAGGTGCTTATAGATAAAAACGCAGAAAACATAGTGGCTTCGGCGACACACTTTGCCAAAACAACAATCAAGCCACCTGGTCAATGAAAAAGGATGAACAGTGCACATACAAATGAAATCTGGTGCTTGGAGCTGGAGTTGAACCAGCGACCTTTGGACCACAGCGTTTCAGGAACTTCTTAAAGTCATGTGCTCTACCAACTGAGCTATGAAGGTGCTCATAGATGAAAACGCGGAAAACATAGTGGCTTCGGCGACACACTTTGCGAACACAACAATCAAGCCACCTGGTCAATGAAAAAGGATGAACAGTGCATAGACCAATGAAATCTGATGTTTGGAGCAGGAGTTGGACGGGCGACCTTTGGACCACAGCGTTTCAGGAACTTCTTAAAGTCATGTGCTCTACCAACTGAGCTATGAAGGTGCTTATAGATAAAAACGCAGAAAAAATAGTGGCTTCGGCGACACACTTTGCCAAAACAACAATCAAGCCACCTGGTCAATGAAAAAGGATGAACAGTGCACATACATATGAAATCCGGTGCTTGGAGCTGGAGTTGAACCAGCGACCTTTGGACCACAGCATTTCAGGAACTTCTTAAAGTCATGTGCTCTACCAACTGAGCTATGAAGGTACTTATAGATAAAATCGCAGAAAACATAGTGGCTTCGGCGACACACTTTGCGAACACAACAATCAAGCCACCTGGTCAATGAAAAAGCATGAACAGTGCATATACAAATGAAATCCGGTGCTTGGAGCTGGAGTTGAACCAGCGACTTTTGGACCACAGCGTTTCAGGAACTTCTTAAAGTCATGTGCTCTACCAACTGAGCTATGAAGGTGCTTATAGATGAAAACGCGGAAAACATAGTGGCTTCGGCGACACACTTTGCCAACACAACAATCAAGCCACCTGGTCAATGAAAAAGGATGAACAGTGCATATACAAATGAAATCTGGTGCTTGGAGCTGGAGTTGAACCAGGGAGCTTTGGAGCACAGCGTTTCAGGAACTTCTTACAGTCATGTGCTCTACCAACTGAGCTATGAAGGTGCTTATAGATGAAAACGCAGAAAACATAGTGGCTTCGGCGACACACTTTGCCAACACAACAATCAAGCCACCTGGTCAATGAAAAAGGTTGAACAGTGCATAGACCAATGAAATCTGGTGATTGGAGCAGGAGTTGAAACAGCGACCTTTGGACCACAGCGTTTCAAGAATTTCTTAAAGTCATGTGCTCTACCAAATGAGCTATGAAGGTGCTTATAGATAAAAACGCAGAAAACATAGTGGCTTCGGCGACACACTTTGCCAAAACAACTATCAAGCCACCTGGTCAATGAAAAAGGATGAACAGTGCACATACAAATGAAATCTGGTGCTTGGAGCTGGAGTTGAACCAGCGACCTTTGGACCACAGCGTTTCAGGAACTTCTTAAAGTCATGTGCTCTACCAACTGAGCTATGAAGGTGCTTATAGATACAACCGCAGAAAACATAGTGGCTTCGGCGACACACTTTGCGAACACAACAATCAAGCCACCTGGTCAATGAAAAAGGTTGAACAGTGCATAGCCCAATGAAATCTGATGTTTGGAGCAGGAGTTGGACCGGCGACCTTTGGACCACAGCGTTTCAGGAACTTCTTAAAGTCATGTGCTCTACCAACTGAGCTATGAAGGTGCTTATAGATAAAAACGCAGAAAACATAGTGGCTTCAGCGACACACTTTGCCAAAACAACAATCAAGCCACCTGGTCAATGAAAAAGGATGAACAGTGCACATACAAATGAAATCCGGTGCTTGGAGCTGGAGTTGAACCAGCGACCTTTGGACCACAGCGTTTCAGGAACTTCTTAAAGTCATGTGCTCTACCAACTGAGCTATGAAGGTACTTATAGATAAAATCGCAGAAAACATAGTGGCTTCGGCGACACACTTTGCCAAAACAACAATCAAGCCACCTGGTCAATGAAAAAGGATGAACAGTGCATATACAAATGAAATCCGGTGCTTGGAGCTGGAGTTGAACCAGCGACCTTTGGACCACAGCATTTCAGGAACTTCTTAAAGTCATGTGCTCTACCAACTGAGCTATGAAGGTGCTTATAGATGAAAACGCGGAAAACATAGTGGCTTCGGCGACACACTTTGCCAACACAACAATCAAGCCACCTGGTCAATGAAAAAGGATGAACAGTGCATATACAAATGAAATCTGGTGCTTGGAGCTGGAGTTGAACCAGGGAGCTTTGGAGCACAGCGTTTCAGGAACTTCTTACAGTCATGTGCTCTACCAACTGAGCTATGAAGGTGCTTATAGATGAAAACGCAGAAAACATAGTGGCTTCGGCGACACACTTTGCCAACACAACAATCAAGCCACCTGGTCAATGAAAAAGGTAGAACAGTGCATAGACCAATGAAATCTGGTGATTGGAGCAGGAGTTGAACCAGCGACCTTTGGACCACAGCGTTTCAAGAATTTCTTAAAGTCATGTGCTCTACCAAATGAGCTATGAAGGTGCTTATAGATAAAAACGCAGAAAACATAGTGGCTTGGGCGACACACTTTGCCAAAACAACAATCAAGCCACCTGGTCAATGAAAAAGGATGAACAGTGCACATACAAATGAAATCTGGTGCTTGGAGCTGGAGTTGAACCAGCGACCTTTGGACCACAGCGTTTCAGGAACTTCTTAAAGTCATGTGCTCTACCAACTGAGCTATGAAGGTGCTTATAGATACAACCGCAGAAAACATAGTGGCTTCGGCGACACACTTTGCGAACACAACAATCAAGCCACCTGGTCAATGAAAAAGGTTGAACAGTGCATAGACCAATGAAATCTGGTGTTTGGAGCAGGAGTTGAACCAGCGACCTTTGGACCACAGCGTTTCAGGAACTTCTTAAAGTCATGTGCTCTACCAACTGAGCTATGAAGGTGCTTATAGATAAAAACGAAAAAAACATAGTGGCTTGGGCGACACACTTTGCCAAAAAAACAATCAAGCCACCTGGTCAATGAAAAAGGATGAACAGTGCATATACAAATGAAATCTGGTGCTTGGAGCTGGAGTTGAACCAGCGACCTTTGGACCACAGCGTTTCAGGAACTTCTTAAAGTCATGTGCTCTACCAACTGAGCTATGAAGGTAGTTATAGATAAAGTCGCAGAAAACATAGTGGCTTCGGCGACACACTTTGCCAAAACAACAATCAAGCCACCTGGTCAATGAAAAAGGATGAACAGTGCATATACAAATGAAATCCGGTGCTTGGAGCTGGAGTTGAACCAGCGACCTTTGGACGACAGCATTTCAGGAACTTCTTAAAGTCATGTGCTCTACCAACTGAGCTATGAAGGTGCTTATAGATAAAAACGCAGAAAACATAGTGGCTTCGGCGACACACTTTGCCAACATAACTATTGAACCAACATGGTCAATGAAAAAGGTTGAACAGTGCATAGACCAATTAAATCTGGTGTTTGGAGCAGGAGTTGAACCAGCGTCCTTTGGACCACAGCGTTTCAGGAACTTCTTAAAGTCATGTGCTCTACCAACTGAGCTATGAAGGTGCTTATAGATAAAAACGCAGAAAACATAGTGGCTTCGGCGACACACTTTGCCAACACAACAATCAAGCCACCTGGTCAATGAAAAAGGATGAACAGTGCATATACAAATGAAATCTGGTGCTTGGAGCTGGAGTTGAACCAGGGACCTTTGGACCACAGCGTTTCAGGAACTTCTTCAAGTCATGTGCTCTACCAACTGAGCTATGAAGGTACTTATAGATAAAATCGCAGAAAACATAGTGGCTTCGGCGACACACTTTGCCAAAACAACAATCAAGCCACCTGGTCAATGAAAAAGGATGAACAGTGCATATACAAATGAAATCTGGTGCTTGGAGCTGGAGTTGAACCAGCGACCTTTGGACCACAGCATTTCAGGAACTTCTTAAAGTCATGTGCTCTACCAACTGAGCTATGAAGGTGCTTATAGATAAAAACGCAGAAAACATAGTGGCTTCGGCGACACACTTTGCCAACATAACTATTGAACCAACATGGTCAATGAAAAAGGTTGCACAGTGCATAGACCAATGAAATCTGGTGTTTGGAGCAGGAGTTGAACCAGCGACCTTTGGACCACAGCGTTTCAGGAACTTCTTAAAGTCATGTGCTCTACCAACTGAGCTATGAAGGTGCTTATAGATGAAAACGCAGAAAACATAGTGGCTTCGGCGACACACTTTGCCAAAACAACAATCAAGCCACCTGGTCAATGAAAAAGGATGAACAGTGCATATACAAATGAAATCTGGTGCTTGGAGCTGGAGTTGAACCAGCGACCTTTGGACCACAGCGTTTCAGGAACTTCTTAAAGTCATGTGCTCTACCAACTGAGCTATGAAGGTAGTTATAGATAAAATCGCAGAAAACATAGTGGCTTCGGCGACACACTTTGCCAAAACAACAATCAAGCCACCTGGTCAATGAAAAAGGATGAACAGTGCATATACAAATGAAATCCGGTGCTTGGAGCTGGAGTTGAACCAGCGACCTTTGGACCACAGCATTTCAGGAACTTCTGAAAGTCATGTGCTCTACCAACTGAGCTATGAAGGTGCTTATAGATAGAAACGCAGAAAACATAGTGGCTTCGGCGACACACTTTGCCAACATAACTATTGAACCAACATGGTCAATGAAAAAGGTTGAACAGTGCGTAGACCAATGAAATCTGGTGTTTGGAGCAGGAGTTGAACCAGCGTCCTTTGGACCACAGCGTTTCAGGAACTTCTTAAAGTCATGTGCTCTACCAACTGAGCTATGAAGGTGCTTATAGATAAAAACGCAGAAAACATAGTGGCTTCGGCGACACACTTTGCCAACACAACAATCAAGCCACCTGGTCAATGAAAAAGGATGAACAGTGCATATACAAATGAAATCTGGTGCTTGGAGCTGGAGTTGAACCAGGGACCTTTGGACCACAGCGTTTCAGGAAGTTCTTCAAGTCATGTGCTCTACCAACTGAGCTATGAAGGTACTTATAGATAAAATCGCAGAAAACATAGTGGCTTCGGCGACACACTTTGCCAAAACAACAATCAAGCCACCTGGTCAATGAAAAAGGATGAACAGTGCATATACAAATGAAATCTGGTGCTTGGAGCTGGAGTTGAACCAGCGACCTTTGGACCACAGCATTTCAGGAACTTCTTAAAGTCATGTGCTCTACCAACTGAGCTATGAAGGTGCTTATAGATAAAAACGCAGAAAACATAGTGGCTTCGGCGACACACTTTGCCAACATAACTATTGAACCAACATGGTCAATGAAAAAGGTTGCACAGTGCATAGACCAATGAAATCTGGTGTTTGGAGCAGGAGTTGAACCAGCGACCTTTGGACCACAGCGTTTCAGGAACTTCTTAAAGTCATGTGCTCTACCAACTGAGCTATGAAGGTGCTTATAGATGAAAACGCAGAAAACATAGTGGCTTCGGCGACACACTTTGCCAAAACAACAATCAAGCCACCTGGTCAATGAAAAAGGATGAACAGTGCATATACAAATGAAATCTGGTGCTTGGAGCTGGAGTTGAACCAGCGACCTTTGGACCACAGCGTTTCAGGAACTTCTTAAAGTCATGTGCTCTACCAACTGAGCTATGAAGGTAGTTATAGATAAAATCGCAGAAAACATAGTGGCTTCGGCGACACACTTTGCCAAAACAACAATCAAGCCACCTGGTCAATGAAAAAGGATGAACAGTGCATATACAAATGAAATCCGGTGCTTGGAGCTGGAGTTGAACCAGCGACCTTTGGACCACAGCATTTCAGGAACTTCTGAAAGTCATGTGCTCTACCAACTGAGCTATGAAGGTGCTTATAGATAGAAACGCAGAAAACATAGTGGCTTCGGCGACACACTTTGCCAACATAACTATTGAACCAACATGGTCAATGAAAAAGGTTGAACAGTGCGTAGACCAATGAAATCTGGTGTTTGGAGCAGGAGTTGAACCAGCATCCTTTGGACCACAGCGTTTCAGGAACTTCATAAAGTCATGTGCTCTACCAACTGAGCTATGAAGGTGCTTATAGATAAAAACGCAGAAAACATAGTGGCTTCGGCGACACACTTTGCCAACACAACAATCAAGCCACCTGGTCAATGAAAAAGGGTGAACAGTGCATATACAAATGAAATCTGGTGTTTGGAGCAGGAGTTGAACCAGCGACCTTTGGACCACAGCGTTTCAGGAACTTCTTAAAGTCATGTGCTGTACCAACTGAGCTATGAAGGTGCTTATAGATACAACCGCAGAAAACATAGTGGCTTCGGCGACACACTTTGCGAACACAACAATCAAGCCACCTGGTCAATGAAAAAGGTTGAACAGTGCATAGACCATTGAAATCTGGTGTTTGGAGCAGGAGTTGAACCAGCAACCTTTGGACCACAGCGTTTCAGGAACTTCTTCAAGTCATGTGCTCTACCAACTGAGCTATGAAGGTACTTATAGATAAAAACGCAGAAAACATAGTGGCTTCGGCGACACACTTTGCCAACATAACTATTGAACCAACATGGTCAATGAAAAAGGTTGAACAGTGCATACACCAATGAAATCTGGTGTTTGGAGCAGGAGTTGAACCAGCGACCTTTGGACCACAGCGTTTCAGGAACTTCTTAAACACATGTGCTCTACCAACTGAGCTATGAAGGTACTTATAGATAAAATCGCAGAAAACATAGTGGCTTCGGCGACACACTTTGCCAAAACAACAATCAAGCCACCTGGTCAATGAAAAAGGATGAACAGTGCATATACAAATGAAATCTGGTGCTTGGAGCTGGAGTTGAACCAGCGAGCTTTGGACCACAGGATTTCAGGAACTTCTTAAAGTCATGTGCTCTACCAACTGAGCTATGAAGGTGCTTATAGATAAAAACGCAGAAAACATAGTGGCTTCGGCGACACACTTTGCCAACATAACTATTGAACCAACATGGTCAATGAAAAAGGTTGAACAGTGCATTGACCAATGAAATCTGGTGTTTGGAGCAGGAGTTGAACCAGCGACCTTTGGACCACAGCGTTTCAGGAACTTCTTAAAGTCATGTGCTCTACCAACTGAGCTATGAAGGTGCTTATAGATAAAAACGAAAAAAACATAGTGGCTTGGGCGACACACTTTGCCAAAAAAACAATCAAGCCACCTGGTCAATGAAAAAGGATGAACAGTGCATATACAAATGAAATCTGGTGCTTGGAGCTGGAGTTGAACCAGCGACCTTTGGACCACAGCGTTTCAGGAACTTCTTAAAGTCATGTGCTCTACCAACTGAGCTATGAAGGTAGTTATAGATAAAGTCGCAGAAAACATAGTGGCTTCGGCGACACACTTTGCCAAAACAACAATCAAGCCACCTGGTCAATGAAAAAGGATGAACAGTGCATATACAAATGAAATCCGGTGCTTGGAGCTGGAGTTGAACCAGCGACCTTTGGACCACAGCATTTCAGGAACTTCTTAAAGTCATGTGCTCTACCAACTGAGCTATGAAGGTGCTTATAGATAAAAACGCAGAAAACATAGTGGCTTCGGCGACACACTTTGCCAACATAACTATTGAACCAACATGGTCAATGAAAAAGGTTGAACAGTGCATAGACCAATTAAATCTGGTGTTTGGAGCAGGAGTTGAACCAGCGTCCTTTGGACCACAGCGTTTCAGGAACTTCTTAAAGTCATGTGCTCTACCAACTGAGCTATGAAGGTGCTTATAGATAAAAACGCAGAAAACATAGTGGCTTCGGCGACACACTTTGCCAACACAACAATCAAGCCACCTGGTCAATGAAAAAGGATGAACAGTGCATATACAAATGAAATCTGGTGCTTGGAGCTGGAGTTGAACCAGGGACCTTTGGACCACAGCGTTTCAGGAACTTCTTCAAGTCATGTGCTCTACCAACTGAGCTATGAAGGTACTTATAGATAAAATCGCAGAAAACATAGTGGCTTCGGCGACACACTTTGCCAAAACAACAATCAAGCCACCTGGTCAATGAAAAAGGATGAACAGTGCATATACAAATGAAATCTGGTGCTTGGAGCTGGAGTTGAACCAGCGACCTTTGGACCACAGCATTTCAGGAACTTCTTAAAGTCATGTGCTCTACCAACTGAGCTATGAAGGTGCTTATAGATAAAAACGCAGAAAACATAGTGGCTTCGGCGACACACTTTGCCAACATAACTATTGAACCAACATGGTCAATGAAAAAGGTTGCACAGTGCATAGACCAATGAAATCTGGTGTTTGGAGCAGGAGTTGAACCAGCGACCTTTGGACCACAGCGTTTCAGGAACTTCTTAAAGTCATGTGCTCTACCAACTGAGCTATGAAGGTGCTTATAGATGAAAACGCAGAAAACATAGTGGCTTCGGCGACACACTTTGCCAAAACAACAATCAAGCCACCTGGTCAATGAAAAAGGATGAACAGTGCATATACAAATGAAATCTGGTGCTTGGAGCTGGAGTTGAACCAGCGACCTTTGGACCACAGCGTTTCAGGAACTTCTTAAAGTCATGTGCTCTACCAACTGAGCTATGAAGGTAGTTATAGATAAAATCGCAGAAAACATAGTGGCTTCGGCGACACACTTTGCCAAAACAACAATCAAGCCACCTGGTCAATGAAAAAGGATGAACAGTGCATATACAAATGAAATCCGGTGCTTGGAGCTGGAGTTGAACCAGCGACCTTTGGACCACAGCATTTCAGGAACTTCTGAAAGTCATGTGCTCTACCAACTGAGCTATGAAGGTGCTTATAGATAGAAACGCAGAAAACATAGTGGCTTCGGCGACACACTTTGCCAACATAACTATTGAACCAACATGGTCAATGAAAAAGGTTGAACAGTGCGTAGACCAATGAAATCTGGTGTTTGGAGCAGGAGTTGAACCAGCGTCCTTTGGACCACAGCGTTTCAGGAACTTCTTAAAGTCATGTGCTCTACCAACTGAGCTATGAAGGTGCTTATAGATAAAAACGCAGAAAACATAGTGGCTTCGGCGACACACTTTGCCAACACAACAATCAAGCCACCTGGTCAATGAAAAAGGATGAACAGTGCATATACAAATGAAATCTGGTGCTTGGAGCTGGAGTTGAACCAGGGACCTTTGGACCACAGCGTTTCAGGAAGTTCTTCAAGTCATGTGCTCTACCAACTGAGCTATGAAGGTACTTATAGATAAAATCGCAGAAAACATAGTGGCTTCGGCGACACACTTTGCCAAAACAACAATCAAGCCACCTGGTCAATGAAAAAGGATGAACAGTGCATATACAAATGAAATCTGGTGCTTGGAGCTGGAGTTGAACCAGCGACCTTTGGACCACAGCATTTCAGGAACTTCTTAAAGTCATGTGCTCTACCAACTGAGCTATGAAGGTGCTTATAGATAAAAACGCAGAAAACATAGTGGCTTCGGCGACACACTTTGCCAACATAACTATTGAACCAACATGGTCAATGAAAAAGGTTGCACAGTGCATAGACCAATGAAATCTGGTGTTTGGAGCAGGAGTTGAACCAGCGACCTTTGGACCACAGCGTTTCAGGAACTTCTTAAAGTCATGTGCTCTACCAACTGAGCTATGAAGGTGCTTATAGATGAAAACGCAGAAAACATAGTGGCTTCGGCGACACACTTTGCCAAAACAACAATCAAGCCACCTGGTCAATGAAAAAGGATGAACAGTGCATATACAAATGAAATCTGGTGCTTGGAGCTGGAGTTGAACCAGCGACCTTTGGACCACAGCGTTTCAGGAACTTCTTAAAGTCATGTGCTCTACCAACTGAGCTATGAAGGTAGTTATAGATAAAATCGCAGAAAACATAGTGGCTTCGGCGACACACTTTGCCAAAACAACAATCAAGCCACCTGGTCAATGAAAAAGGATGAACAGTGCATATACAAATGAAATCCGGTGCTTGGAGCTGGAGTTGAACCAGCGACCTTTGGACCACAGCATTTCAGGAACTTCTGAAAGTCATGTGCTCTACCAACTGAGCTATGAAGGTGCTTATAGATAGAAACGCAGAAAACATAGTGGCTTCGGCGACACACTTTGCCAACATAACTATTGAACCAACATGGTCAATGAAAAAGGTTGAACAGTGCGTAGACCAATGAAATCTGGTGTTTGGAGCAGGAGTTGAACCAGCATCCTTTGGACCACAGCGTTTCAGGAACTTCATAAAGTCATGTGCTCTACCAACTGAGCTATGAAGGTGCTTATAGATAAAAACGCAGAAAACATAGTGGCTTCGGCGACACACTTTGCCAACACAACAATCAAGCCACCTGGTCAATGAAAAAGGGTGAACAGTGCATATACAAATGAAATCTGGTGCTTGGAGCTGGAGTTGAACCAGGGACCTTTGGACCACAGCGTTTCAGGAACTTCTTACAGTCATGTGCTCTACCAACTGAGCTATGAAGGTGCTTATAGATGAAAACGCAGAAAACATAGTGGCTTCGGCGACACACTTTGCCAAAACAACAATCAAGCCACCTGGTCAATGAAAAAGGATGAACAGTGCATATACAAATGAAATCTGTTGCTTGGAGCTGGAGTTGAACCAGCGACCTTTGGACCACAGCGTTTCAGGAACTTCTTAAAGTCATGTGCTCTACCAACTGAGCTATGAAGGTGCTTATAGATAAAAACGCAGAAAACATAGTGGCTTCGGCGACACACTTTGCCAAAACAACAATCAAGCCACCTGGTCAATGAAAAAGGTTGAACAGTGCATAGACAATTGAAATCTGGTGTTTGGAGCAGGAGTTGAACCAGCGTCCTATGGACCACAGCGTTTCAGGAACTTCTTAAAGTCATGTGCTCTACCAACTGAGCTATGAAGGTGCTTATAGATAAAAACGCAGAAAACATAGTGGCTTCGGCGACACACTTTGCCAACACAACAATGAAGCCACCTGGTCAATGAAAAAGGATGAACAGTGCATATACAAATGAAATCTGGTGCTTGGAGCTGGAGTTGAACCAGGGACCTTTGGACCACAGCGTTTCAGGAACTTCTTACAGTCATGTGCTCTACCAACTGAGCTATGAAGGTGCTTATAGATGAAAACGCAGAAAACATAGTGGCTTCGGCGACACACTTTGCCAACACAACAATCAAGCCACCTGGTCAATGAAAAAGGTTGAACAGTGCATAGACCAATGAAATCTGGTGTTTGGAGCAGGAGTTGAACCAGCGACCTTTGAACCAGAGCGTTTCAAGAACTTCTTAAAGTCATGTGCTCTACCAAATGAGCTATGAAGGTGCTTATAGATAAAAACGCAGAAAACATAGTGGCTTCGGCGACACACTTTGCCAACATAACTATTGAACCAACATGGTCAATGAAAAAGGTTGAACAGTGCATAGACCAATGAAATCTGGTGTTTGGAGCAGGAGTTGAACCAGCGTCCTTTGGACCACAGCGTTTCAGGAAATTCTTAAAGTCATGTGCTCTACCAACTGAGCTATGAAGGTGCTTATAGATAAAAACGCAGAAAACATAGTGGCTTCGGCGACACACTTTGCCAACATAACTATTGAACCAACATGGTCAATGAAAAAGGTTGAACAGTGCATACACCAATGAAATCTGGTGTTTGGAGCTGGAGTTGAACCAGCGTCCTTTGGACCACAGCGTTTCAGGAACTTCTTAAAATAATGTGCTCTACCAACTGAGCTATGAAGGTGCTTATAGATAAAAACGCAGAAAACATAGTGGCTTCGGCGACACACTTTGCCAAAACAACAATCAAGCCACCTGGTCAATGAAAAAGGATGAACAGTGCATATACAAATGAAATCTGGTGCTTGGAGCTGGAGTTGAACCAGCGACCTTTGGACCACAGCGTTTCAGGAACTTCTTAAAGTCATGTGCTCTACCAACTGAGCTATGAAGGTACTTATATATAAAATCGCAGAAAACATAGTGGCTTCGGCGACACACTTTGCCAACATAACTATTGAACCAACATGGTCAATGAAAAAGGTTGAACAGTGCATAGACCAATGAAATCTGGTGTTTGGAGCAGGAGTTGAACCAGCGACCTTTGGACCACAGCGTTTCAGGAACTTCTTAAAGTCATGTGCTCTACCAACTGAGCTATGAAGGTGCTTATAGATAAAAACGCAGAAAACATAGTGGCTTCGGCGACACACTTTGCCAACACAACAATCAAGCCACCTGGTCAATGAAAAAGGATGAACAGTGCATATACAAATGAAATCTGTTGCTCGGAGCTGGAGTTGAACCAGTGACCTTTGGACCACAGCGTTTCAGGAACTTCTTACAGTCATGTGCTCTACCAAGTGAGCTATGAAGGTGCTTATAGATGAAAACGCAGAAAACATAGTGGCTTCGGCGACACACTTTGCCAACACAACGATAAAGCCACCTGGTCAATGAAAAAGGTTGAACAGTGCATAGACCAATGAAATCTGGTGTTTGGAGCAGGAGTTGAACCAGCGACCTTTGAACCAGAGCGTTTCAAGAACTTCTTACAGTCATGTGCTCTACCAAATGAGCTATGAAGGTGCTTATAGATAAAAACGCAGAAAACATAGTGGCTTCGGCGACACACTTTGCCAACATAACTATTGAACCAACATGGTCAATGAAAAAGGTTGAACAGTGCATAGACCAATGAAATCTGGTGTTTGGAGCAGGAGTTGAACCAGCGTCCTTTGGACCACAGCGTTTCAGGAACTTCTTAAAGTCATGTGCTCTACCAACTGAGCTATGAAGGTGCTTATAGATAAAAACGCAGAAAACATAGTGGCTTCGGCGACACACTTTGCCAACATAACTATTGAACCAACATGGTCAATGAAAAAGGTTGAACAGTGCATACACCAATGAAATCTGGTGTTTGGAGCTGGAGTTGAACCAGCGTCCTTTGGACCACAGCGTTTCAGGAACTTCTTAAAGTCATGTGCTCTACCAACTGAGCTATGAAGGTGCTTATAGATAAAAACGCAGAAAACATAGTGGCTTCGGCGACACACTTTGCCAACATAACTATTGAACCAACATGGTCAATGAAAAAGGTTGAACAGTGCATATACAAATGAAATCTGGTGCTTGGAGCTGGAGTTGAACCAGGGACCTTTGGACCACAGCGTTTCAGGAACTTCTTACAGTCATGTGCTCAACCAACTGAGCTATGAAGGTGCTTATAGATGAAAACGCAGAAAACATAGTGGCTTCGGCGACACACTTTGCCAAAACAACAATCAAGCCACCTGGTCAATGAAAAAGGATGAACAGTGCATATACAAATGAAATCTGTTGCTTGGAGCTGGAGTTGAACCAGCGACCTTTGGACCACAGCGTTTCAGGAACTTCTTAAAGTCATGTGCTCTACCAACTGAGCTATGAAGGTGCTTATAGATAAAAACGCAGAAAACATAGTGGCTTCGGCAACACACTTTGCCAAAACAACAATCAAGCCACCTGGTCAATGAAAAAGGTTGAACAGTGCATAGACCAATGAAATCTGGTGTTTGGAGCAGGAGTTGAACCAGCGTCCTTTTGACCACAGCGTTTCAGGAACTTCTTAAAGTCATGTGCTCTACCAACTGAGCTATGAAGGTGCTTATACATAAAAACGCAGAAAACATAGTGGCTTCGGCGACACACTTTGCCAACACAACAATGAAGCCACCTGGTCAATGAAAAAGGATGAACAGTGCATATACAAATGAAATCTGGTGCTTGGAGCTGGAGTTGAACCAGGGACCTTTGGACCACAGCGTTTCAGGAACTTCTTACAGTCATGTGCTCTACCAACTGAGCTATGAAGGTGCTTATAGATGAAAACGCAGAAAACATAGTGGCTTCGGCGACACACTTTGCCAACACAACAATCAAGCCATGTGGTCAATGAAAAAGGTTGAACAGTGCATAGACCAATGAAATCTGGTGTTTGGAGCAGGAGTTGAACCAGCGACCTTTGAACCAGAGCGTTTCAAGAACTTCTTAAAGTCATGTGCTCTACCAAATGAGCTATGAAGGTGCTTATAGATAAAAACGCAGAAAACATAGTGGCTTCGGCGACACACTTTGCCAACATAACTATTGAACCAACATGGTCAATGAAAAAGGTTGAACAGTGCATAGACCAATGAAATCTGGTGTTTGGAGCAGGAGTTGAACCAGCGTCCTTTGGACCACAGCATTTCAGGAACTTCTTAAAGTCATGTGCTCTACCAACTGAGCTATGAAGGTGCTTATAGATAAAAACGCAGAAAACATAGTGGCTTCGGCGACACACTTTGCCAACATAACTATTGAACC